TTATTTCTCTTTAAGTTCTGTCAGTTTGGCTTCATTTAATTTGAAACTTTATCATTAGATGCCCACATATTCATGATTGTTATGTCATTTTGATGAGTTGATTCATCATGAAATATCCCTCTTTATTACTGGTAATATTCTTTGTTCTGGAGCCTATTTGTCTGATATTTATATAGACACTCCAACTTTTTTGTAGTTAGCATTATATTAGTGTGGTGTAACTTTTTCTCTATTCACTCTTTTAAAAATTTTTTATTGGGCAGCCTGGGTGGCTCAGCGGTTTAGTGTCACCTTCAGCCCAGGGTGTGATCCTGGAGACCCAGGATCGAATCCCATGTTGGACTCCCTGCATGGGGACTGCTTCTCTCTCTGCCTGTGTTTCTGCCTCTTTCTCTGTGTCTCTCATGAATAAATAAATAAAATCTTAAAAAAATTGTTTTTAAATGATTTGAGTAATCGTTATACTCAATGTGGGGATCAAGTTCACGTGCTTTTCTGACTGAGCTAGCCAGGTGCCCTTCTATCTGTTTACTTTTAACTTATCTATCTTTATATTTCAATTGTGTTTCTCCCAGGCATTTTTTTTTTTGAAAAAGTTCAATCCTTTTTGACAATCTCTGCCTTTTAGACCATTTACATGCCATGTAATTATTGTTTAGACTATTTAGATTTAATGTAATTACAGATATGGTTAGACTTAAGTCTGTCATCTTACAGTTATTTTCTATTTGTCCCATCTAGGTTCCTTTTCTTTTTAATATCTTGTCTTCTTTTTGGTTAAATGTTTTTAGTATTCCATTTTACCTCTGTACTGAATTATTAGCTATATCATTTTTAAGAAGAATTACTCTAAAGTTTATAATATGTACCTTTAACTTCACAGTCTACCTTCAAATAATATTATACTAGTTTACATGTAATGAAAGAACCCTATGCACTTTTATCTACTCCCATCCTTTTTGTTCTTCTTATCAAATATTTAGTTCTGTAATTATTACTCTCACAATACATGGCTGTAATTATGTGAAACAGTAAATAATCTTTTAACAACATGCAGATACAGAAAGTCTTTTGTATTTGCCACTTGTAGAACTCTTTATGTCTTTTCATAGGTCTAGCTTCTATCTGGTATCATTTTCCTTCAGGCTTTCTTTAACATTTCTTGTTGTGGAGCTCAGGTGGCAGTGAATTCTCTTATCTTGTATTTGTCTTCAGATAGTCTTTATTTCATATTCATTTTTGAAGGATATTTTCACTGGGTATAGAATTCTAGGTTGACAGTTTTTTTCTTTCAGCCTTTTAAAGATGTCGTTCCATTGTCTTCTGGCTTGCATTGTTTCTGGCGAGAAATCAGTGATCATTCTTATCTTTGTTCCCCTGTAAGTAATGTGTCTTTTTTTCCTGGCTGCTTTTAAGATTTTTCTCTTTATTGTGGCTTTACATTAATTTGATTATAAAGAGTTTTGCTTTGATTTTCTTTGCTCTTATTTTGCTTAAGATTCATTGAGCTTCTTAGATCTGTGGGGTTATAGTTTTTACCAAATTTGAAAATTTTTGGTCATTGTTTCTTCACATATCTCCCTCCTCCCCACTTTTGCTCCTTTTGGACTTTTAACCAGAAGTACTTTATACTGCCCAATATTTTCCCACAGCTCACTGAAGTTCTGTTTATTTTTCTTCCAATGCTTCAGTTTCAGTAGTTTCTTTGCTTATGTCTTCTAATTCACTGTTTTTTTTCCCCTGTGTATTGTTTAATCTGCCATTAAGCCCATTCAGTGATGTTTCCATGTTCTATATTGTATTTTTAATTTTAGAAATTCCATTTGGTTCTTTTATTATATCTTTCATCTCTATTCTCATTGTGTTCTGTTTTCTCTTGAATATGTTTATAATAGCTGTTTTTAAGTCCTTGCTTGCTAACCACCTTGTCTCTATGATTTCTGGGTTTATTTCTATTGGTCAGTTTTTTTTCCCCAGTTAATGGTAACATTTCTTTCCTTTTTCAAATATCAAATAATTTTTTACTGGATGTTGGACTTCATGAGTATTACGTTATTGAGTATCTGGATTTTGTTGTCTTCCATTATTATGTTTCAAAGAGGTTTGTTTTGGCTGTCAAGTTACTGGTGGATCACCTTGACCCTTCTAGGGCTTGTTCTTATGCTTTGTTAGGGTGAGCCTGGAATAACTTTTTCCCTATTGTTATTTTAGCCCTACTGCTAAGGTATAATTTCCTAGAGTCTCTACTGAATGCCCCAGGTTTCCACTGAGTTCCCTTCACTCTGGGTGGAGCTTGAATATCTCCCAGACCTGTATGAAATGTAGGAGTTATTCTACCTACAGACCCCCTATAGTTGTTCTCTATGCAGCCTATGGAGTTTTGTCTTACACATGTTCTGCTTATTATAAAGCCAAAGACCTAAAAGGATTCTTACTCAGATTTCTGGAGCTCTTTCTTTGCATAACTCCCTCTTCTTTGCTATACTACCCAGCAAATATAAATCCACTTGCCTCTTTAAACTCTAGTTTTTGTCCCCTCAATTCAATGAAACCACCTTACTGTGCTTCTCTTTCTTCCATATCTGGGAAGAAACTGCTACCAGGATGAAAGCCAAGGTGATTGTAGGGCTGACTTTATTGTTTTTCTTGTCTCAAGGATGATTGTCCTACAGTAGTCCAATTTCTGAAAACAGTTGTTTTGTATATATTTTCCAGTTTCCTACTTGTTTACGATGGAATGGCAAGTCTAATACCAGTTACAATTACTCTGTTATAGTTGGAAACGTATTTCTTGTCTGCTATGTTTTTATATTATATATTTTTTCTTTTTATTTTCAAATGAAGGGAGCTCTACCATGACTATATTTGCCATATAGTAAGATATGTAGATTGATCCTATATCAGAATCAATTGTAATTCTTTTCCCGATTACAAATACCTGTTCTCTACCCTTAAAGATTTTGATTCAGCAGATTTAACATGAGTTTCAGGTATCATATTTTTGAAACCTTGACAAGTGAATTTTGATACACAAGAAAAGCTAAGAATCCCTGTTCTGGTAAGTGTAAATCTAGTATGACTTTGGTAAACTAAATAAGGTATCCCACAACTTATTTTTAATTCAGTGACACCGTAAAAATGAAATAAAATACTATGGGAATAGGACCTCCTGGATATCCCCACTATCTACATATAAAGCATTAATTTCTGGCAAAGCATGAGTCTTCAGGGCCCTGATCAAGTACTATGGCTATGGTACATTCTTATTTCCTTGTACCTTTGCCATAGCAGTTGTTATATATTTTGAATATTACTTCTATCTCTAAATATCAAGACTTCTTAATGTTTATAAAGTAATCGGCAAATATTCTCATAATATAGGAATTCATTAATGGCTAGCAGATTTTATCTTATGTACCAACTCTGTTTTATTAATGGTAACTTTCTGCAACTCTGTGTTGAGAATGATTCCTAAACCAGTTCTGGACTCAGCAGGAAGGTATGATCTTATGGATTAGTAGTATCTATCAGGACTTTGGGATTGAAGGAATGAGACCTGTCCTGTGTATTTGCAACTCCTATACTGGTTAAAGGCAGTCTTTTTTTTCTAGGTTTCTCTAATTATACTTATCACTACTCTCTATATTCATCTTGACTTTTCCACATGTAGAAAACATTTTATAGTTATGGAATGCCTATATTCAAATTATTTCTTCATTATTCCATCCTTATTTATTTATTCTTTCTTTCTCTCCAAAAATATAATCAATATGATACTGTGTTTTTAGAGTAATGGTTTTTGGTCTGTACTTCTTATCTTCTTTCAAATAAATTAATCCATTGTGTATTTTTTAAAGCCAGTGGCTCTGTTGACCTTCTTTTCCTATATTTCAAGCACATAATCTTATACTTGGTCTAACCATAGACTAGAAGATTTGAAGTTGGAACACCCCTGGACAAAAAACTTTATATGGTCTGGATAATTATTAATAAACATTTTTGAATTGTAATGGGATATATATAACTAAGTAAGAATATCATCTCATCTACAAATTCTTGTATATTAGGCCAATCATAATCCTATATGTAAGATCTAAATATGGCAATTTAGAAACAGTGCCCTATTTCTAAACATGTAATTTTATTGCATTTTAAATGATGGAGTATTGTTAGCTAAGTGCTTTGGACTACTGAATCATCTAGATGATGATAATTACTTGTTGCAACTTTCATTCTGATCTATCCCAGATCGCTTGGTTCTTATATCCTCTTTCTCTGTGCATACTGTGTTAAGGAGTGGGTATTAGCAAACTAGCAGGGGTTAGTCTGTGAGTCACAGTCTGTGGTGTGTGAGAGATATATTTCATTTGGGCAAGAAACTCATCTTTCCATTCTCCACATTTGATGGGAATGGGGTGGGACATGGAATAGTGGAGGTTGACTTACCATTCATTTCAATTATTATCAGTTTGAAACACTTCCTGGTGCCAGAAATTGAGGATGTACAGCTTAGTATGTACTAAAATGAAAAGTGCAATGTTGAGAACCAAGAGATAGAGGTTCTAGTCTTAGCTCGTCATTTACTAACTCCGTGACCCTAGTGGGCTACTTAGCCTTTTTAACTTTCATTTATTCATATATGAAATGAAGTTAATAATCTGCTGTACCTATTCTACAGAGTTGTTGGCAGGATGAAGTGAAACCATAGAGGTAAAAACCTTGGAGAACTTATTAATGGTATATCATTGTGAGGTAATATAATGGTACTGTGTGTGCCACCTTATACTAGCTTGTCTCTCCCCATGGGAAAATAGATGGAGTTGTGATATCTTTGTTCAAGTTTTAAATTTGTCTTAGATTTTAAAAATGTTTATTTTAGGAAGCCTCTCGATGACGGTTATACTCAGGAAGAAGAAACCTAGTCTAATATCTACTATGCTTTTACTAGGGCACCAATAACTTAAATAAGAAGTATTTATCATCTATGCTTTGCTTTACAGCTTGGAATCCTATCCACTGCCAGCACATTGAATGCCACAATGCAATTAACAAGCCAGCTGTGAAGGTACTGTTTTATTAGACCTGGTGCCATATTGTATTGTCAGTGGTCAGATTATCAAGAGCAAATTGCTAAATGAAATGGAGTAGGTTCCATCCTTCTCTGTAAAGCAGAGAGGCCAGTGCTCTATAGTACACTCATGCACCTCCAGGTTCAATATGATTGTACTTGGTGGATTGGTTCAAGACAGGGCAATGAATAGTGGTGACTGGATGTTTGGCGATGAGTTCATGGTCAAGTGCTGTGTAGCAGTGAGTAATTATCAGAATAATCCTGGTGAAACACTTACATAGTTCCTACTTGGCTTCTATCTGAGTTAATAAACTCAGGGAGATGTACTTTGCCCCAGTTTCACTAATTTCAAATTATTAGTGTCTGGTGTATGACTGCGAATCCAAGAGTCCTACGACACAAATAGATAAAATTGTTAAGTCTTGACTCAGATCACAGATATGTTTAGTCAAAATGACTGAGAGGTAGTTGGGCAGCAAACACATGGAAAGGTACGTTAGAGGTAAGGGAACCGTGGTTTAGAGTGGCCAAGACACTTACCTAAGCCAGAACCGGGTACCTTGGCTCTCAGCCTTGTTCTTTTTCTACTACCACAAATTTCCCTGTTTTGTTATAACCCTGAATCTTTGAATTTAAATGTTAAGAAAAATAATCACACCTTTTAACCAAATTATTTATGGTATATTTGTTGGATACAATACTTGGCTGAAGAGATTATGTCTGAATTTGCAAGGATTAACTTTTATATTATGAAGAGTGGGAGTTAGGTCAAGTCATTAGAGTTCACAGATACTTTTTAGGACCTAGTATCCTGGGAGTTTACCTCCCTTCTTCTATAGATAAGAAGACTGTAAAGATTACCAAATAATAGAAACATAATAGTATCATTTTATAGAAACAGAGGAGAAAAGGTAAAATGAGATATAAAAAATATAAATGGAATGAAAAGAAATGTAAATGGACCCCAAAATGTGTTTCATATACCAGAAATGTCAGGAATGCCAATAACATTGTCATCTAGATGTATCTTACTAACATTGTCATCCAGATATATCTTCCGGCAGAGGACGTTCTTGTATTATTTTGCTTGATCTTTGGTTTTGATAAAGGCAAATTGAATGAATTTATGTTGAGGAAGAGCAAGTGAGGGTAAACTACCAATGGTGCTATAGTCTCACCCATTCTATTATGAGTATTCCTCTGAACTTCCACAGACATTTGGGATTCAAAGGTACTTTTCTTTGGTCTGAGGACATTTTGAGCTAAATACCTGTGAGTTCATGTATTATTTATAGAATTCAGCTTAATTCTTTGGGTGATGAGAATTGCGTAGCTTCCTCACTTTAGTTTCTTTATCTGTTTCCTCTTCCTGCTTGTGTTAAAATGCCCTCTTTTGGTTCACTCAGACATCAACAGAAAGGAGGTCTTTTTGTCTGATTTTTCCACTTATTTTTTCTTTGACCTTATGTCATACTGCATTCTCAGGAGTCCTCTGACTTCATTATTAGTAAATGATTTTTGGTTTTCCACTCACAGAAGTCATCATGAATTAGAGTTTCTCCCTCTCTTCTACACAAACAGCTTAGTCCACCCCTCTGGCCCAGCTTTGCTTTGCTTACAGGCTGTTCCCCATAGCTAGTCATGCAGGACAGGCAAAACCATCCTACCTTCTGTACCATTTTTAGGTGAGGTGAAATTCACATAACATAAATTCAACCAATTTTTAAAAATTATTATTAGTATTTAAATTCAATTAGTCAACATATAGTACATCCTTTGTTTCAGATGTATAGTTCAGGGATTTATCCATTACATACAACACCCAGTATTCATCACATTGCTTGCCCTTCTTAATATCCATCACCCAGCTACCCCATCCTCCACATCCCCCCTCAAAGTGCATCATTCATTGGCATTTAGCACATTCACAATGCTGTGCACTACCATCTTTACCTAGTTCCTAAACATTTTTATCACTCACCCCCCCCCCGCCCCCAATTTTACTTTCTGAACTCCAGTGTTCCTAAAGAATTTTCTTTTGTATTTTTACTCTGCTTCCCTGGGAAGGTAACATTTTTGTTAGCGCTTCTTGTGCTGGGGCTGTTTTTGCATGACACCAGGTCTGGCTCAGTATTGTTTTTTCATTGCAATATGAACACTCCCCAAACCCATGTATATATGACTATGTGACATATAGGTCGAGGGTTTCCAACATCTAGATACTTAGGGAAGAATGTTAAATGAAAAGGAAGTCATCCTGTATAGTATGATGCCAATTTAATTTAAAAATCACATAGATGTATATTTATATTCATATTCATAGTGGAAAAACAACCAGTAAAGCTCATCAGAATGTTATTAGTGATTACATTGAGAAGGCAGGTTAATGAGTTATTTAAATTTTCCTCTTTTCTCCATTTTCCTGAGCCTCTACATTGGGCCTAATTGTATTTATAAATGGAAAATAACTATTTTTTAATGCAGCAGTCAGATATGAACTTATTAATGTGTATGTAAACTGACCTGTTCAGACTGTCCACAAATGGGTCTTATGAATGTAGGAGTTTTTCCTTTTGAACGGAATGAAAATATGTCTTTACCTGACAAGAGTATCAATGACTCATTGGAAATGAAAGTGAAGTAAGTATATTGAAGAACAGGTCTACACTGGGTGCATGGTAAAGACTCAGGGAAAATGAATTTATCCTCACAATATGCATATTATCTCCGTATTCATGAGTTTTAGCACTAGGCAGTGATGATTTGCCAAATGGAAATGTATTATCTATTTTTTGCAATACACTGCAAAAACATACTTTTTTTCCTAAGATTTTATTTATGTATTTGAGAGAAAGAGAGAGAGAAAGAGACTGAGACAGAGAATGCAAGAGCAGGAGGGGCAGAGGGAGAGAGAGAAGTGGGCTCCCTGCTTAGGGACTCAATCTCAGGACCCTGGGACCATGACCCAAGCTGAAGGTAGATGCTTAACTGACTGAACTACCCAAATGCCCCCCAAATGTACTTTTTAGGCAAGAGCCAAGAGGTGCGACAGTATTCAAAATGAAAATATGTTACTTAAGAGTTCATTATATCACACTCTGCTTTTGGTTTTACTTGGTTTTGTTTGCAAATCACTGTATAAAATTCTTTAGAGCCCAGATAATTATATAAACGAGAGTTAGCAAACTATGGCCCACAGCCAAATCTGGCCTGCTAACTGTTTTGTAAATAAAGTTTTATTGGAGCACATTTGTTTGTGTATTGTCTATGGCTGCTTTCATGTTACAACAGCAGAGTTGAGTAGTTGTGACAGATAATGTATGGTCCCTACAGCCTGAACTATTTACTCTCTTGTCATTTATGGAAAGTTTGCTAATCCTTCATTTAACACACCAAAAAGTAATTATTCATTGCATCAAAGGAGGTGTGAAACTTATGAAAATTTTCACACTGGCCCTCTAGCATGAAGGAATATATAATTTACAAATTTTGATGATATAAAGATTGAAATTTAAGAATTCCAACTCTTGTTTCCCAGTCATTGTGCTCATTTCAGCAGCCATATACTAAAATTGGAATGATCTAGAGAAAATCTGCTTGGCCCCTGCACAAAGATGACACACAAAACTCTTCAGGTTTTAATTTTAAATGACAGGCTGCTTGGGTTATAAATTTGGTTCATTTTTCCTCCCTAATCAGTAAAAACAACTAAAGAAAAGGCAGAACAGAATTCCAGAAGGATCTGTGTCATAGGCATATTAACTATACAGTCAACTATAGCATGGATTATTTCTTGTAGGACAGGAACAAAATTAAAAATGACTTTGGTAAGTCATAGAAATTAAACCTGATGCAAAGTACAAAGTTCAGCTACTTGTGTTCACTTGATTTTAAACATCCAGGTATTTGAAATACCCTGATTCAACAGTAAAACAAATGCTTTTCATCTGTGTCATTAAGCTCATGGAAACTCAGCCATATATAATGCAAAACTGAACAGGGCAGAGCAGGGTTAAACGAACCACAGGTTATGCGTGGAAGGATAAAAACACCTAAAAATGCGACATTAGATGGTTGATATAGAACTTCGTTTCAGAGTAAGAAAAGCAAATTGCTCAGTGTTAGGTCACACATGAAATTTTTTGAATGAAACTTCTAAGAAGCAAAATTCTCCACTGCCAGAATTTTGGTATCAGTTGTGATTTTTAAATTTTAATATATTTTCCTTTTCCGAAAGAGAGATTGCTGTGTTTCCCACTTTCTTTTCTTTCTTTCTTTTTTTAAACAAGTATTTTTTTAAAATTTATTTATTCAGAGAGAGAGAGAGAGACTGAGAGGCAGAGACCCAGGCAGAGGGAGAAGTGGGCTCCATGCAGGGAGCCTGACGCGGGACTCGATCCTGGGTCTCCAGGATCAGACCCCGGGCTGCAGGCGGCGCTAAACCCTGAGCCACCGGGGGTGCCCTGTTTCCCACTTTCAAGCAGGAATGAATGCACCCGTAACATAGAGGCAATTCCAGCCACCACTGAACAAGATTTTTCCTCATTGTGGAATGAGGGTGGATTTGTTGACATTAGTTGTTACCTAATTGCAGATAACAGGAGAAATGAAATCCCACAGTAGGTGGATTTAAATCTCCAGTGTGGACTCATCAGCCAGTGCAGGAAAAGCATCTATAGGTTAAGTGGGTTTTACTAAAAATATTTATTCTATTTGCTTTTGAAAATCCGTCACAATTGAAACCTTTGCATTCACAATATGGGGGGTGTAATAAACAGCAAAGGAAAGTTCATTCTGCCTTTTCCTGTGTTTCAGATGTGTATAGACCCTTCCCTGTCAGTGGCTCTGGGGGATAAACCACCCCCATTGTATCTCTGTGAAGAATGCAGCCAGAGGATCGCGGGGTAGGTATAAGGATACTCCAAGAAAAGGAAATAGAGCAACAAGGGAAGATAAGAAAAATCAGTTGGACTTAAATTGGCCACATTACTCCCATTTCCCTCTAGTCTCTTTGTTTTTTAAAGGTTCATTTGTCAGATATTTGATATATAGCAAACTTTCATTTGAGAGATTTCAGCTTTGAAAAATTGCAATATTTCTCCCCGTGCAATAAGAGAAAGCAATTCCATGTAATAAAGCAGCCCCAATTTTCAAGTGACCCTGTTAAAAAAGGCCACAGAGAAAAATAAAAGAAAATCGTGGCTTTCAAACATGACATACAATTCAAATGGGTTCTCTTTGCTTGTTAGTTCTGCAGACTCACACTTAGCGTTGTACAAATCATGCTGTACTTTGGTTTGCTTAATTAGCATCTGGAAAGTATCATTTAAAGCTAACTGAATATGATGAAATGCCTATAATTTATAATTTCGCTGAAATGCATTAGACATTTAAAAAGTTTATTATGACAGTGCTCTTAATTACATTTACTTTCTAGTGAAGCCTTCTAGCAATAGCATGCAGCTTATGAACATTCATGTGGAAGGGTAATGTTGCAAGGAAGCTAAAAAATGAATTTTGTTTTTCTTTATAGGGACCACAGTGAATGGTTGATTGATGTTCTTCTGCCACAAGGTATGGTTTACTTCAGAAAGGATGAGTAAGAAGTAATCATGACTAATGGCATGGTTGGTTTGTCTCCTTTTATACTGTATTATTTGTATTATTTTACAAAGACAGTAATCAAAGTATTATATGCTATGAAGAGTCATTGATACGAAGCATTATATCAATGTCGTGTTTATAGCCACACATTTAATAATAAAGGAAGAGGTATAATCTCAACCTAAGTTAAGAGTAGATGCTGGAATTAGGATTCCATATGATAAAAGCCTTGCTGAATTATGTCTTGAGAGATATTCTGTATAGATAACAGGCATTGCCAATATTTGCTGTGCCAGGTCAGAAAGAGAATAGAGAATGTGAGTGGAAAGAATACTGAATAATAGGTCTTTCTCCTACCACTATTATTAGCTCTGTGTTTTGGGGGAAAATCATTTAATGGCTCTGAGACTCAGTCTCTCAGTGAAACGGGGATAAAGTATACGTGACTCATCTCAGTGGAAAGACGGGATGTGTGATTCTCGCTGTTTGTTAGCGTTCTGAAAGCCAAGTCTGCTGTTTGGCAGGTCCCAGACAGAGCATTCCTTTACACCTCTGTACGCAGGCATTGCAGCCACTTAAGTGGAGGCTGAAGTGACTGGGGGAAGTATTGAGGAAAGCAGAGGAAAGATGAAAGGTGGAAAAAGCTGGGGATACACTGAGCACAGATCAAGCCCATAGGAGGAACCTGATACATGATTTCAGAGGTAGATAATAAAAGACTTTCTGTGAAAGGCCATATTTAAAAAGAAAAGTAAAGACCTTATGTTAACTAAATTCTGTGAACATTAGAAAAAACTTAAGGCCATTTTCCTGATTACACAATTTCTTTATAGTCTTTTAATATTAGGTAGTTTCAACTTTAGAAATAAATTAGTTCAGTGAGTGCTCTCCATTTGTAAAATGGATCAGTAATGTTGGCCTCTACATCCTTCAAAAAGGCATTTTGAAAATTTATATAAAGATATCTGTGAAATGATTTGGGCATGTATGGGTAAAAGTAAATTTTCCTCCCTTAAATTAGGCTACCCAAACCTTATAATTTAAGGTTTGGTCAGGATCCAAACTATCCAATATTTTTAAATATTGGATATGTTGCTGAATTCTGGTCACCTTCTCCAGATGATACTCATCTTTGGAAGAAAATTTATAATAACTTCTAATTATTTATCTGGAGATGTGACACTAACTTCAGGTTAAGACAAACTCTGGATATCAAACTGGCAAATAACCTTTAATTATACAAAACCAGTTTTAAAAACTGAGTTATAAATTTCTTTGACTTGGCATCCACTAATTCATAATTTCCAGACAGTTTGGGAGACATTTACCTTTGATCTTTTTAAAAAATTACAACCTAGACTATACTATAAGTAATGCTCTAGTTCATTTTTTGAACACTTAATATTTCAGGGGGAATGTTGACATATTCTTGGAAAAATTATTTTCAGGTACTCTTATGCATTATTTTTCATGGAAATAATTGATATGCCCACTGAAAAGAGTTTGTATCCATTTGTTAAGGTCAATCCCGAAGTAGACAGTAGTTTGACATTCTTTCTCCAACTGGCCAGTCCGTGGGTTTGAAAATTACTTTCTCTGAAATGAGCATGCAGCTGGTTTTACACTAGTTAAGGACTGATATAAGTCAATAGTTCAAGTCTGAGTAATCCAAGTTGGTAAGTTTTTTCTACAGTTTTGAAATAGCAAATCATCTCCATGGTGAAGCTCTAAATATATCACATCAACTCGGTGTCATAGTGTAATGGAAGAGCAGTAAATGGGGAATGTAGAGACATTATCTCTAGATCTGCTTTTATCATTGATAGCTTATGTGATGCTGAAGAAGTCATGCAAATCTTGATTTTGTTCTGTCAAATGAGATGAGATTAATGTCATTTTAATTTGATGATGACATGATCTGAATTCTAAGTCATGTCCGAAGAGGTTGAATTACTTGTAAGAACAGGTGAAGTTATTTGTAGCATGCAGGAGTTCCTGACCTCATTAAACACAGGTAGATGACAATAAGAGAGAAGCTGTTTGGGCCTATTCTAGATATTGTGTTACTAAGCTTGTTTTTACTCCCTTTTGTGGCTGCCCTTATGTAAAATGGGCTGTCTTTCTTTGTTGATATGTTGTGTACCTTCCCCTTACAGCTGAAATATCTGCTATATGTCAGAAGAAGGTAAGAGCAAACTATCTGTGTGGTGGGGCATGATTTGCTGTGTGTATGTAAATTCATTCATTGACATCTGCCTCATTTCTGCCTCCTGGTTTCCCAGTATGTACATGTCACTGTATTTGCAGAGGGGGAAAAGAAATAACTTAGCATGCAAGATCGCTGTGTCCCAATGGTGTGTTTCCATTTCTGCTTTTGCTCACCCATCTTATGAGCACAGTGTTTTGATCAGTAATTGGAAATAAAAACATATGTGTAACTTTAATTACAAAAAGCTTTGAATGACCCTGCAGAACCTGCAACTTAACTTTGGAAAAGGATGTATCTTGTATGCTCAAAGTCTTTCTTGTTTTGAAGTGGAATGCAAATAGTCCAATATATGTGTGTCAAACATACCCAGCTGACTGTTTGAAAATATTCATTTATATGTAAGCTTAATGATACCTCTAGTTAAAGATTTTACCTTCAGATTTCCTTTACCCATTTTTCATAACAATTTCCCTAAACTATTTCCATCCTCTTTTCTTGTTCTAGTTGAAAAGTACAAGACAAGGTAGTGTGGTGTCATACAAAGAACTCTGGCTTAGTTGGTTGAGACACTTGATTGCTGGCCAGCTCTGTCCCCATCTACCTATGAGACCATGTACAAGTCATTTAAACTTTTTAGGACTTGGTCATGAATGAGCACCGTTAGAGGGCTATTTCAGTTATCTATTGTCATATAATAATCCTAAAAAGTCGTGGTTTGTAATGGCAGATATTTATTTGCTCACAGATCTGTGGTTTGGCAATTTGGCCTGTGCTCAACTAGCCAGTGCTTTTTATAAACAATTCCAGGCTCACTCATGTGCCTGTAGTCAACTGGTGGGTAGTCAGGGGATTGGCTGGTCCCAAATGACTTCACTCCTACATCTAAGGCCACAGCTGGGGCAGCTAGGAGGCTTGGGATGACAGGGGTGGCACCCTCCAGGGGGCAAGGCTGGATTTGTTCACAAGGCAGCAGTGTTCTGAGTGAATGAGAGAGTAAGTTGCAAGGCCTTTGAGACTAAAGCTCCGAAGTCACATTGCATCATGGCAATTCTGTGGCATTCTGCCGGTCAAAGCAAGTCCCAAGGGCAGCCCAGATTCAAGGAGAGAAGAAATAGACCTCACCCCTTTAGAGAAGGAATGACAAGAATTCTGTGGTCATATTTAATCTACCATCATCCACCCTCTGGACATAATCACTTACATTTCTCACATGTAAAATACTTCCACCACCTTACAAGATCTCCTAAAATCTTAAATCCATTTATGGCTTCAGTTCATCATCTTGTGATCTGCATATGGTCTAGTACCTGATGAAACTCCTTGGGTGCAAATTCTCTTGATCCAGAGACCTGTGAATTAAAAAGGCAAGATATCTGCCCCCTTCACCCCCTACACATGATGATGAGACAGGGACAGCATAACAGCATTGAACCTCCATTCAGAAGTGGAAGTACATTGCTGTCAGCAGATTTATAGCAATTTCAGCCACGAACATGTCAACAGTTCTTCCATCTCCAGGACGGCAGATGTCCTTGACTAGGATCTGGTTTTACTTCCTGGGCGTTGTTCCGTAATCCATTGCTAGTCTCCTGAATTCTTTGCTCTACTCTTAGGCATCTTTCTTTTCCAAGGAGAAATGGTACATGTTGCAGCTGAGAGACTCCCTTTGCTTTTCCCCTTCATGCCATCCCACAGACTTCCTTTCATATTGAACTGTGTCTGCCCCCTTTATTTTAAATTGGTGCTTTTGCTAGTAAGACTTTCTGTAAAACTCTGGATTTTTAGTAAATCTCATTGAAATTCAGTGCCCCCAAAGCACATCCATAATTCTTTTGGGGGCAGTCTTTTCTATACTTTGGGCATTTTGGTCTGCCCTTAAAATTATTAGAAGCCCTGTTCTAGCTGAAAGGCTCAATGAGGCATTACCTTATATCCTTCTGAAGTTTTAACAAAGGATCATGCAGCCAGTCAGCATACGTTTGATTTGATTTTTATCCTGAGGCTATTTTCCTACTTTGAGAATCTTTTATAAATCAGAGAGACAAGGGTAAGGAACAGTTTTATATTTTAAACTGCATGTCCTGGCTCTGGTTATATGCCTAACATATTTGGCACCCAGAGTGGATAATTTTTTTAACACTGCCCTCCTTTTTACAACAAAATTATTTTTAATAATAAGTTTCAAATTAGCACACTTTTATTACTTATCCTTTATTAAATATGATATTGTATATTTGGAGAGCATTCATTAAGTTCATAATAGTTCAGAATTGCTTGAGCTTGCTTTGGGTACAGTTGTGTCTCCCTCTTGTGGAGGACAGATTCTGACATTTGAATAGTAGGTTTGAAATAGGCATCAAGATGGTAAAGGTAAAGAGACAGACTTCGATTTGTTTCCATTATGTTATTCTATGAGATACATTGGAGTTACTTTTTTATGTTTAAAATTCAAAGCAGTGAAACTGAGTGGTTGGGGAAACCATGCTCAGCTGAATCTGAATCTAAGGGAAGTCTCTTTAGTTTGCTTTTCAGATGAATGCATATAGGTGAGTCCACCTGGGTTTAGGAAGACTGTGGCTTGGAAATACATTATTAAAACTTTTGTTTTAATTGTTAAAACAATTGTTTAGAACTTGAATCAACTAAAGGTTATTTTGGGGCAAAGTATTGTATTGCTGATATTACTTAGAATTGATGGCAATGGTGAGAAAGCAGGTTGACTCTTTGTTGATATTCCTGATGCTAGAATATGCAGTAAATCCAGATAACAGCATAAAAAAATCACTCAAAATGTGGCAGCATAAGATGACAGCCATTTAATTATGTTCCTTGATTCTGTTGGTCAGAGATTTGGATGGGGCACAGTTCATAACCCGTTTCTGCTTGGTGATGTTTAAGGCCTCATCTGGGGAGACTTGAGTAACTGGGGACTGGGGTTATGTAGAGGCTTCCAAGATCATTGTTTGGGCTCTGGGTTGGGATGACTTGAAGGCTGGGCTTAGCCAGTGACATTGACAAGAAACTTACACAGTGCCTCTCCACATGTCTTGACCATGGCAGAGTTCTGAGTATCCCAATAAGGAACCATCTGAGGAGAGAACATTTCAAGAGGGCCAGTGAAAGCTGCAGGTCTTTTGAAATCTGGCCTCAGGAGTCATATAGATATCACATCTGCCATATTCTCTTGGTTGAAGCAGCCAGGAGCTCATCTAGATTCAAGGCAAATGGATGGGTACCTAAGGATGCCAACCCAAAGGGCCTCGTCTGCAACTGGACTTGATTTAAATGACAAGACCTCAAACCTCTAGCCAAGAATTTGCATGTAGGAAGAATGTAAATAATTTGGGACCAGAGAATAGAATAGTTAATCTCAGGCCTTAAACTTCAGGACTTTATTATAGTGAATAACTACCCACTAAACCCATATCCTTATCCTCTTGTTTATAGAATAGTGGGAATCCCAGAGGAACAAAGGCTAATTATAACCAAGAGGAAAAAATTAAGCACTAAGAATGTGCTGTGATATATACCACACTGCTAGTAGTATGGTATTGGTTTGGTTGGGGGGCAGAAGCCCTAAGCCAATAAAGATTCATGTCCTTCCAGAATAAAAGTTAGCATGAGAAAGAAAAGACACTGCAGGGAAAAATATACCACTTGGAGAAGGCATGACTGACTTGGATGCTCATAAGACTTGGACCTCAGCTGCAGAAGAAACACAACTGTATTTTAACAAATAAATTTTAAAAACGTATTAATAGAAAGCAAGATTATAGGGATGCCTGGGTGGGTCAGTGGTTGAACATCTGCCTTTGGCTCATGGCATGATCCTGGGGTCCTGGGATCGAGACCCGCATCGGGCTCCCCACAGGGAGCCTGCTTCTCCCTCTGCCTGTGTCTCTGCCTCTCTCTCTGTGTCTCTCAAGAATAAATAAATACAATCTTAAAAAAAAAAAAAAGAACAAGATTACAGAAACTTTAACCTTGCTTTTATAATTTGTTGGCCTGAGTCCTATGTAGAGAATGAGATATCCCCACACTAGTACACAGAGCCTCATGCTAAAATTGAAGTGAAACAAACCTTACTTTGAAATAGTCATTTGGATAGCCAGTTCAATGTGTTGTCAGTGGTTTGAGTTAGGTTTTATGCTTGCTTCATTCTTCTGTCTCCTCAAGAGATCTGTCATGGAGGGGTCTCAGATCTTTACTGAGCTCTGCGTTCGTCATGGCTTAGGGTAGGACATCCCCTAGAGAAGGTATTCACATCTTTATAAGCTCTATTGAAAGACTGAAAAGCTCTCAGGACACAAGACATTGAGTATGTGGTGTGGCATTTCTAACAGGCTCAGGACACATATTTTTATGGAGGTCAGGAACATTTCCTGACAGCTCCTTAGATGACTTCATATGCATGGTGCACCTCTTTCCTCTGACTCCTGTCAGGGCAGCTCTGACAACAGCACCCCCTGGACTCTGAATTCTCTCTGCACCCCTACTTTTCTCATTGGCATCCCTTCCTTTGTGGATTCCTTGCCTGTAGTTGATGTCAGGTGATTCTGTGAATGGTTCTTGCTGTGTTTTGCCATGTTCCCGTGGTGTCAGTCAACATATTTGACATATTCTTTGGGTCTCAAGGGAAAGAGTGCTGGTGGGAGTGGGCAGGCAGCCTGCTTTGGGCCATCAGCTCAGGGCAGCATGCCCCCCTGCCTGTCACACAGCAAGGACAGAAGAGCTGCACTGGAAAACTGCTCTTTCAGTGGTGGATTTGGTAATTTTGAAAGTTTAATCTGATGGTTAAAACTGTTCCTTTCCTATTCTGATGTGCTGTGATGCACTCTCTCTGGACCAGAGTTTCAGGCTTTTTTTTCTACCTTTCTGCTGAGGATTCAGAATCCAGAAAGCACCCTACCTCCCACTCCCACCCCATGACTGAGATAACTTTACAGAGGGCTTTCAAACATGGTTCCACTCATATCTATGATGTTTCTGCCACTCACACTAATAGAGACTACTTATCTTTATTTTTAACTATGCCTGAAATCTAATCTATTAGAGATGACCTGTCTTGTAGAATCTTTAGAAAACTTGAGGCCACTTCTGCTGTCCTCTTAGCTCTCCATTCTGATGTTCTGATTCCTAGCCAAATTTACTTTGTTGATCAGTTTTAGTTGATTCCCCCCTTCCCGATTTTTTTTTTTTTTTTTTTTTTTTGCCTCTAGAACTGCAGTTCTCACGTAAGAAGAGCGGTTGTCACCTGCTTTTCAGCAGGGTGCTGTGGCCGTCATGGGAACAGGCCTGTTCGGTACTGCAAAAGATGCCACTCGAATCATCATAGCAATGAGGTGGGGGCCGCCTCAGAGACCCACCTATATCAGACCTCCCCTCCACCAATCAACACTCGGGAATGTGGCGCTGAGGAGCTTGTTTGCGCAGTGGAGGCTGTGATCAGGTAACAGGCAGCTTGTTTGGTTGGCCCGCCCCAAAACACTGCCTTGGCTTTGAGTCACCCTTTGTACCCTGAGATGGTGCCCTCAGCCAGCCTAGCCTCCCACCTTCCATGATGCAGTGACATTTTCATTCATTCATTCATTCAACCAATATTTTTAATGGTATGCCAGGCATGTGTTAGGCACTTGGGAGATAGGAGAGAACAGAATGTAGTCTCTGCCTTCAGGTTACCCCTTCAGGGACTATAAAAACAGAAGCACAGAATTGTGATCCACTGTGGTAAGCACTTAGGGAGCACAGAGCCGAGGGTGTTGGGGGAATGAAGCACAGGCGCCCATCAGAGTGATGGGTGGGAAGAGCCTGAGCCCAACCTGCACACAGTGAAGTGCAGGAAAATCTAGGTAATTTGGTACTGGGGTAAACCACCAGCTCTGCAGTAAGCCAGGAGTCTGGTCCTACAGGCTGCTGCTGGCTTTCTGTCCTATCACGTGACAGTAAAAGGAGCTTTGGAAATGATAACTTCCAGACTTGTTCTCTTTTTGTACAATATTCACGGAGTCAAGATTTTTAAAAATTAAAGAAATAGTATTAGAATGTTTTACAGATAGGGACTCTTTTCTGTTGTGTCTCTTATTCCATTGGTTAATACATGTAGAAATGCAATAAATGTTTGTCAAATGAAATATTACAGAAATTTTAGAAGTCAAAAAAATCATACTGATATCATTATGGTCGGTTTTACATGTTCTTCTAGTTGTATTCAAATATATTTCTTATTTATGTAACTAATCACAGTGTATCCACAGTTCTTTTTGATAAAACATTATGCCATTAGCTCTTTTTCCATGTCATTGTATAGTTTCCATATTTACCATTTTTAGCAGAAACACAATTGTCATCTAGTTTATTTCCTTCCACCTTTAGATTTCTAGATTTCTTCCATTCTTCACTATTATAAATTACTCTGATAGATATTCTTATGAATAGTGCTGTTTTTGTGTTTTTTATTTTCTTAGGGTAGATGACAGATACGGTTGGCTGGGTCAAAGGGTATGAATATTTTGATGGCTGTTGATACATTACCAAACTGATTTTCAGAATGTGTATATGAATTTATAATGCCAACAGCACTGTATGAAATGGCTAGTTTTTGATACACCCTTGCCAACATTGGGTTTAACTTTTTAATTAAAAAATATTTTAAAAAGATTTTATGTATTTGAGAGAGAGAGTAAGCATGTGCACAAGAAAGGAGAGGGGCAGAGAGATGAGCAGACTCCCTGCTCATCTTAGGACCATCTTAGGACCTTCAGCTCATGACCTGAGCCAATGTCGTATGCTTAACTGGCTGAGCCACCCAGATGTCCCCAACATTCGGTTTTGTTTTTAAAAATTATGACTTGTTTAGCAGATTGAAAAAGGAGTTTTTATTGTTCATTTTCAGATCTCTGAATATTAGATATTGAATATTGTTCTATTTGGGTACAAATTCCTTAGTCTCTCCTTGTATCATGCATTTGATGTCCACATAATTTCAATTAGTTACAGGGGAAGTATTGACATCTAGTGGGATGGTTGGTAAATTGGAAGCCAGAACGCAGCCATTCTGCTTGATTCTAATTGATTGGAGAAAGCAGTCTCTTTGTGTCTCAGTTTGTTCATTTTTGAAATGGGGATGGAGTTCAAGGAAGGAAACAAAATTAGGCCTATGGGAGGAACTCCTGCCATTTGAAAGGAGAGCCATCAGGAATGTTTGAGTCGGTACTTAGGAAATAGTTACTCTGAATAGGTCATAACCTAGAATGTGTTTTTCTGGAGTCTGACTTGACATTGCTTGTCTTTGGTAGCTTGTTGAAAGAAGCCGAGTTCCATGCTGAGCAGCGCGAATATGAACTGAACCGCCGTAGGCAGCTGGGCCTTTCATCTTCCCACCATTCCCTGGATAACACTGACTTTGACAACAAGGATGACGATAAACATGACCAGAGGCTTCTCAGTCAATTTGGGATATGGTTTTTAGTAAGAAAATACCTTAACTATTCTCTGCTCTTTATTTCTCACAACGTTGCACTAGTGAGGAGTATTTCCTAGTGTTTTTAAAGAAGCAAACAGTAAATAATGAAAAGTTAACATGAGCAGTGGGACTCTATATTCTGGGACAACCTTGGGTGGTGCAGTAGATTTCCCCAAGGAAGCCTTTTAAAGAATAGCAGTGCCTAGATCCCATCCCAGAATCTTGGGAACTTTTTAAAAAAGCTCCCTAATTGATTCTAATGAATAGCCAGGTGTCAAAACCAGTAGACCAGACCCTGGACTGTTCGAAATGCACCTTTGACAGAAAACAATTGGGAAAGTTGCTAGGGTATGTTGTAAGATCTTGGAGTCAATGTAATGTACAGATGTTTCACATCCCATCTATATACATGAAATTTTTCTTGAAAGTTCAGTCTCTGTGGCACTCTAAATAAGCATTTGTGACAAGTCTGCATACAGTGAGAAAAATTAGAGCTGTATTGACACGAATTTGATAGTTTTTGACTTATTCAATGGCAACATTCATCCAGTAAAATCAAACAATCTGCTCCCAAATTCCACATAAACTGAACCTGCCAGTTGTGTAGAGAAGCAGACTTTTGTTTTTGCCCATCAAAGACATAGAGTAAGTCTCCATACCTCTTTCATGTTTTTACATGTTTATCCGAAAAAGTCGTGCTTTGTTTTGTCTTGTTAAATGGATATTTAATTGTTAATTTCACATGTGTTGCTCCTAGAACTTATTATCTAATGACATAATGACTGCTATTGTGAACTCTTTGAAAGCAAGGGTAGCGTTTTGTTTATTTTGTACATTCCTGACCCCTACTATAGTGGTTAATAAAAGATTATTGCAGAATGCATAATGAATAACTGATGAGCTGGGTTTTTTTTAAAAGTCAATTTATAATGCAATGAATTAGGAGGCTTTAAGCTTTCAGAATTATTACTGATAGAAAACTCTTAGCTAAATCTGATAACTTTAGAATGGGAATGTAGGTAGATTATTTTTTCACTGACGATATTTATGAAATTTCACTTTGCAGACTTTTAAAAAAGCATTTGTCTAGTGTAGGTTACAAAATAGACTTCTTGTAGGGGAAAAGTCCTATTGAAAGGTATAATCTCGAGAGGAAATTATTGTTGCAGTCTGTCTCTCCTGTGAAGAACACAGTTTCTAGGTTAACCGACCCTCCATCGTTTATAAAACTGCCTATTCCAAGTGGATTATTGAGAACTTTTTTCCCTTTTAAACGAATATGTAATAATTATGTAAAGATCTATGGAGGCTGAAGCAGAGTCTAATCTGTCCATTTGCAGGTGAGCCTCTGCACGCCTAGTGAGAACACGCCTACAGAAAGCTTGGCCAGGCTGGTGGCCATGGTGTTTCAGTGGTTTCACTCCACAGCATATATGATGGATGACGAAGTTGGAAGTTTGGTGGAAAAATTGAAGCCTCAGTTTGTCACCAAGTGGTTGAAGACAGTATGTGATGTTCGCTTTGATGTCATGGTCATGTGCCTTCTTCCCAAACCAATGGAATTCGCCAGGGTAAGTGGAGGCCCTCAGCTTGGACCTTGTTGAAGAGGAATTGGGGGAAGCACTGCCCAGCTTAGCATGTTATCAGTGTCTGTGGAAGGCAAGTGTCTCTCCTTATTTTAGTTGATACAGCTGAACGAGGTTAGTTGAGCAGCTACATTTTAGGTGATGTGCTGCTTTGATGTTGGTTTGGGATGGGGAAGAATGGCAAGATGAAGGTGTGAAGTATCTTTAAGAATTTAAGGGAGGATTCTTCCTTGATGTTGTTGAATTTTTTTTAAATTGAGTAATGGAAAAAAAAAGTTTCTGTTAGAGCTCAGTCCTTTCCTGGTCAACCGTCTGTGGAAAGATTAACATTTGACTAGCAGCAATTTCTGCGTTTTCACATATATTCCTAGAGATGAATGGTAGAAATCCCTGCCCTTCCATTTGGGATTTTAAAAATGGCGTAGGAAGTACTGAATTACTCCTTTTTCTCTGGCTTACAGGACAAGTTTCTCTGAGCTCATTCTTTTGCTTCTGTCTCAGTGGATTATAGGCTCCAGATTTACAGCTAGTAAGACCCTATATTTTTCAAATCCAATATGATTTGTGTCTAATCTAGCAAGGTGGATGTCCAGAATCAGTTTTTGGCAGGAATATGTGAAATTTTTTCAAGTAATTTTCTGAATTTTATTTGTGATTTTTGGTTTGCTTTCAATGAGATATTGAGGCTTTTTTTTTTTTCAGTCTGAATAAGACATTTCAGGAAAAGAATCAGACATAGACCATCTAAGGGAGTAGCTTTTATTAGATTTCTAGGACACAGCAGTTATGTGTATTTATCAAGATACACTTCTTTCTTCTTTGGTGCCACCTACTGACTCACATATAAAATTGGATTTTTACACAATGAAAATTCCTTATTTCGTGATATTCTTTGATTGTGTTGATATGTTTTCTATTATTTCTTTTGATATAGTAAAGGATTGGTCTGATCTGATTTTGGAAGATAAGAGGAAATAGTTATATTGGGAGGAAAAATTTTCCCCTTCTAAAATGGATCAAGTGTGTGAGGGCCTGCTTATTAACCAGCAACAAGACCTAGTCAGGAGAGAAAAGACAAAATTTATTTACACTTATGTTCAGTACTCAGTGCATCACTGAATACTCAGTGATGGGTAACTCCTCAGGAGCCAGAGATAAAAGGTGTGTTTGGGGGATTGCGGCTGGAATGAGAAGATATGGAAAGTTCTCTTGGGCCTTTTGGTGCTAGTGGCACTGGGTGGGCAGTCTGTCTCCATAGGAATTGAATTTACAGGCAATTCCCTTTAATGGAGATGATATTTTCCAGAAGCTCTGCCTTAGACAAGGCAAGTTGGGGTCAGGTTTCTTTCTGCATCTTCTTTAGCTCAAGTGTTTTCATTAAAATAATCTTTATACCAAGTTTGGGGGTCTGAGTGGTTCCCCACATTTCTCTCCCATCTGTAACTTTAGGAGAAGTTTCATACAAAAAGAAAGCAAGGTCGATTGCTGTGGATTTGGGTTAGGGACTTCCAGGTGAGAGATCTGCAAAGGAGGAAGAGGGCATAGATTAGGAGAAGGAAACAAACAAACAAAAAAGCTAAAGTTAATGGTGTGAGTAGACTATAAACCTAGTTTCTGAGACCAGAGAGCAGTCAGTCAAGATTTGTAGATGTTCGGCTTTAGATGATGGGGTATGGACATTCAATATCTCAGTCATGATTCTTCCCTGGAGCAGAGCATGTCAGATGTGGGTGGTGAGCTTCCTGACTGGCCTGGCCTTGACTGTTGCCCCAGTAAAGTCCTTTGAAGTTCTTAGTAAGTTGTCTTGCTGTAGCTTGCAAGGCTTTGGGACAAGACAACATAGAGTCTCAGTAAGGATTTGGGCAGTCAGGTTTTAATTTTCAGTGACACCAAGTCAGCAGGGTAGCAGAAAAATTGGAAAAATCAGTTACTGACACAATGTGCAAGACAAAGACATATGATTTCACTCATATGTGGAATTTAAGAAACAAAACAGATGAATGTAGGGGAAGGGAAGGAAAAATAAAATAAGATGAAATCAGAGCAGGAGACAAGCCATAAGAGACTCTTAACTCTAGGAAGCGAACTGAGGGTTGCTGGAGGGGATGGGGTAACTGAGTGATGGACTTTAAGGAAGGCACGTGATGGAAGGAGCACTGGGTGTTGTATGCAACTAAGAATCACTAAATTCTACCTCTGAAACTATTCTTATGTTGTATGTTGAGTCAATTGAATTTAAATAAGAAATTTTAAAAAATATGCAAGACAGCTGTGTTCAGTTTATGAAGAGGTGAAAAATAACTCAAAAACAACGAACAAGGGGATGCCTGGGTGGCTCAGTAGTTGAGCATCTGCCTTTGGCTCAGAGTGTGATCCCAGTCCCAGGATTGAGTCCGGCATCGGGCTCCCTGCAGAGAGCCTGCTTCTCCCTCTGCCTGTGTCTGCCTCTCTGTGTATCTCTCATGAATAAATAAATAAAATCTTTAAAACAAACAACGAGCAGGACTATAATCTGATAACTCAAGGGTGGGTTATAGTTGTCCATTGAAATATAAAATCTCTCTAATCACCCCCATTTTGATCAAAAATAATCAAAGTAAGATTAAGTAAGATACTAGTCTAGTATCCTTAAATAAGCCTAATTATTTATGTAAATGCAATGAGAATGGTAATTAACCAAATAGACCTTTTTAATGTTTTCCTTGCTGGAATTTTTATGGAGAATCTCAGATTGGGCTTTTATATGCCTCTGGAGGCTAGGATGCCAAGCCAGTAACTTGTCATCATGCTTCATCTACAATACCTGTAGATTTGGGTAAATTTCTCTCTTTTTGAGATCACCTAAATATTCTTAGCTTCCTTTGCTGGCCAGAGAGTGACAATTTCTTGTTTGCTTGAAGGCTGAGATTCCCATAAGCCAGGTACCAGGCTGGTTCTTCCAAGAGGGCTTTGCAAGCATTGGCTCTTCATGTCAACCATAGTTCCTTAAAACTGTCTAGTCATATCTGATTCTATGCACATCCTTCTAAAATATGACACTCCAGTCAAAGCCTTGGTGATATAACCAGTTTTTTCAATTAAGTTCTATTATAAGGAGAATAGATTTCTTACACTCATTATGAGTGTCTGAATTCTGGAGGGATCACATGCGGGGAGAAAAAAGACAAGTGTTTCATTGTTTACAAAGATGTAATCTACTAAATTGTTGTGAATTATAGATAGCGTAAAACAAACCTTATATCCAGAAAATAGAACAGTAAAGAGCCAGTAATGCTCCAAACTAAAAAAACATAAAAATGATCATAGTTTTTCATTAGGTCATTCAGACCAATGTAATTAATTTTCAGCCCACTTGGTCTTAGGTTAACAATTGTATGAACCCATCAGCTTTTCCACCAGAATTATGGAATCCTTTCTCAGGCCAGTGGTGTGCGATGCCATAGTCCTTTCCATGGGTTTGCAGAGACAGTCCTTTTTGCTGAAGTGAAAGCATTGTCTAGTGGCTTTGCAAGAGCTAGTGTCAATTGCAAGAGCTTTCAGGAAATCATCAGAATAGGGCAGCCCCAGTGGCTCAGCGGTTTAGCGCCACCTTCAGCCCAGGGCGCGATCCTGGAGTCCCATGTCAGGCTCCCTGCGTGGAGCCTGTTTCTCCCTCTGCCTGTGTCTCTGCCTTTCTGTGTCTCTCATGAGTAAATAAATAAAATCTTTAAAAAATAAAAAAGCATCAGAATAAAACAGTAACAATCTGTAAATGATCAAAGACTTAAAATGGCTGTAATCAAAGAACTGATGAGAGTAACAAATTATGATCACATTATGCTGTTGTCTGATACCGGGCAAAGCAGCATGAGGATGTGTCATGAATAGGAAGGGCATTGCCAAATTTCTAGAAATTTCATAGAATTCCTGAAATATTTGTATTAAAAACATTTACCTATACAAATATAAGCTAGGGAAGGTTAAGCATCTCTTTGTATTTAATGATATTTTTCATGCAATTCAACATATCAAGTAAACCTAGTTAGTTTAACATTTTTTTAATTAGAAAATTAAAAATCCTTTGGGATTTTTCTAGAGGGCCTGTCAGAAATCTCAAATTCAGTTTGAGATCAAGACTTTATTTAGGATTTGATTTTGGGAAGGCAAAATATCAAAAGTTGTAAAAAAAATTTTAAAAGTCTTAAACACTTGATTAACCAGGATCACAGGGTCACTGTGAAATAATAGTCATCCATTTAACCAAAATGACAATAAAGATTTCAAAAGCAAATATAGCTTGTGACATGATTATAAAAAAATTAGTTCTTTTTCTTTTTAATTGAGAAGACTTGGTTCTCTTAAATAATTGAGGACATAATAAAGACATAAAATACAGGAAATTTTGGTAAGGCACAGAATCTTTGTTTCATAGATACATTACTGAAAAGGTAAAGAAAAACCCTTTTGTAATTTCTTATTAAGACCAGACCAGTAACCCAAGAAACTTTGTCATTTTTAGAGAAAGAAAACCAAATTCAAGTTTTGTACTGGTACACTATTAATATTAAAGCTCATTTAAAAAAACCTTATAATAAATACATTCAATCTTAGTTTGACTGCTAAGAGAGAGTTTCTCTCCCTCTCCTTCACCCCTACCCTCTGTTCCATCCTTTTGTAACTTTTTATTTCCATTCAGATTTTTGTCTTTCACTTTACTCTTTTTTATTCCGGAAAGCCTCACACAACCTCCAAACAATGATATTAGGGCAGAATTCTCTTTTTGTCCTTACCAAAAACATCATAACATTCCTTGAATACTTTTCATACAGAGTTATTTTCTCCACTCTTGTTATATCTAATAGTTTCATTTATATATATTGATTATACTTTTCAACACTTAGTAACCCTACTTTTCAGAGAAAACCAGGAGGTAGGTAGATTGTGAGTTGCCAGTCACCTACCAGCATTTTGTAGCATATTGGCAAATTTTATGAATAAACTACCTTATAACTTCTAGAGCTATGCTTCATAGTATAATTTCTCAGTATGGCAAAAAGAACATATTTACTAAAGATTGAAATATCTTTAGTCTCTCTCTTGAAATGAGAATCCAAAAGTAGATGAACTTATATTTAACAATTAATGTTTCAGTGTTTTGTCTTATCTAGATAGTCAGCGAATATCATTTCATATAATTTAGTATAACTTTAATTTCAAGCTGCTGAAAAGATTTTGGAAACTTTCTTTCTTTTCTTTTTTTTTAAACTTATATATTCATTTTAGAGATAGAGAGTGTGAGTGGGGGAAGGGACTGGAAGAGGAAGAGAATCCCTAAGCAGAACACCTGCCTCTAAGCCAGAGCTGAGTGCAGAGCCTGACACGGGAGTGGATCATAGGACCCTGAGATCATGACCTGAGCCAAAATGAAGAGTTGGCCACTCAACCAAGTGAGACATCCAGATGCCCCTGGAAACTACTGCTAAGCAGACATATTTTATAAAACACAACTATTGTTGAAATAAAGCTTGTCAGAATGATAATTTAATTTCAATGAAATCTATAAGTTTTATAATCTTAAACATCTAGTAAATATAATATTAGTTTATTTGGCTACTAAATCCATGTAGGATAAAAATGATGATCATAGCATACTCAGTACTGATAACTCAGAAGACATAGCTGTTTTTATTAGACCAACAATACTTAGACTTATTTATTGCTGTGCCACCGGGGCTGCCCTTATTTATCAAAGATTTACCCAGATCACATGAACTTGAAAAGCATTTGGGTTACTTTCTATATTTCTGAGAATTTTGGGACTATTTAATTTATATAAGCTCTTAATGTTTTTAAAGCTCATTTAGAATAGAGATTTTTAAAAATTTATTCATTTGAGAGACACACACACACATGGAGAGAGAGAGCACATATAATGCTCTGGTTGCTACTGAAGTGTTTCTTTAGTGCAGGAAGCCTCTTTTCCAATGTCCTGATTTTTTTTATAGTATCTTCAGGCATCTTGAGATGATAGGGGAGGTTTTGGGATTGGTAAGAAGCATGGGTGGGCTTTGGTATACTTCTAGAACCACAATTATGTTTTCACAAAGATCCAATTAGTAAGGCAAGGACAGTTAGTTTTAATTCTTCAAAGCATGAGATGACAGTCTTGATAATAACATTAATTAAGGAGCTGGCCTGCCTGCTCAACTGCATTTGTTTGAATTCTTTATATTAATGAAAGAAGATTTCCAGCTAAGGGGGAAAACAGAAGATTCCTATGTTCTAAGGCGTGTAGATTTAGAGTAGTGGACCTTTGTAATGTTTTTATAAATTGTTTGACAAAGGCTTGATGTTTTCATTCCCTCTGAGTACATCATCCACTTTAGCCCAATTAAATTTTGGAAGGAAGGCTTCTATAATAGTTCCTATCAGGTTCTGAAATGGGCCTCCAACTGGGTCATTCAGAGGAGGTGGTGGCAGAGGGGAGTTCACCGTGGGGGCAGATTTTAATTTTTGTTTTAAATCTGATTTCCCTTCTAGAATTCTGGTGCGGGAGTCTTTTATGCTGGCTATGATCTTTTTTGTGTCTTATCAAATTGTCTTGTCAATTTGAACCCTGCATATTGGTAATGGAACATTTGTTTAGCGGGGAGAACTTTCTAAAAATCCTTTTAAATCTTAACAACTTTTCCAAATCAAAGAATCCATTGTCTGGCTATTGATAGTCTAGGAACACCAAGGATATACTTGTTCCAAAATATGACTCAAAACCAGTAGGCCTTTATGTGGCTCAACCATAAATTACATGGTCATCAATAATTATAAGGAACCTCAGCAAGGATACTTAGCACCCTGTCAATATTATCAGTGCTCTTCTGAATCTATGGAACTAATGACAACAGTGACAATCCCAGAAATGTAGTTACTTCCTGAAAATATCCAGCCAGTCATCTTTTTTTTTTAAGATTTTATTTATTTATTCATCAGAGAGAGAGAGAGAGAGAGAGAGAGAAAGACGCAGAGACACAGGCAGAGGGAGAAGCAGGCTCCATAGGGAGCCCAACGTGGGACTCGATCCAGGATCTCCAGGATCACACCCTGGGCTGAAGGCGGCGCTAAACCGCTGAGCCACCCAGGCTGCCCTCCAGCCAGTCATCTAGGATTTTGGACAATATGATACCAAGTAGATATTTGAGCTTTAAATGGAATTGATTTAATTGTTTTGAATACCCTAGAATTCTAGGTGTAATAATTAAACATTTAAAATTGGACTTATTTAAAATAAGGTAGTTTCCCACAAATTTTGTGTTACATGGTAAAGATTCAGGACAAGTTGAGCCTTTGTTACTTTGATATGTTTAATAAGAATATAAGTTCTTCATCTAAAATTGGAATTATAAACAGAACCCAAATTTGTGATTCAACTTTTTCTGCACTAGAAAGTTAATATACTACCTTAATTAATAAAAGTTTGTCTTTTTTGTTCATAAATTTGACCTCCTTAGAGCATTTTTAAGGAAAAAATTGTGGTACAATGTGCAGCATAGGGAAACAGTGCTCTCTGCCACTGTATTTTTCCTAATGAAACATATTCAATGCAAAGTGTACAGTAGTAGAAATCTATATTCCTCTGAAACACAGGTATAACTGAATATATTTGTAAGGGGTTTGTCAAGCTTTAGAAATAATAATTCTCCAATAGTATGCTTATCCTGTTAGGAATAAATCTTTGGAATTTTAATTCATGTGTGATCTGGAAAGGCTGCAGTAGAATAGTTCAAATTCAGTATATTTGTAATTATGGTCTCTTTTTTGTAACTAATGATCCTGGTGGTTTACAGGCTCTTACAAATCTTACTCTGCAGCTACTTGGCCCAGGATTCAGGTGTAATGGATTGTAGGCTTTCTTTGTACCCATTTCCTTTAGGAAGTCCTTAGAGTGTAATCTTAACTGGTGCATTTTGCTCTTTTCCCCTGTGGCTGTGGAAAGGTTGGTGGATACTGGGATAAATCCTGCAGCACAGTGACTCAGTTGAAGGAAGGTCTCAACCGAATCCTCTGCCTGATACCCTACAATGTGATCACTCAATCTGTGTGGGAGTGTATTATGCCCGAGTGGCTGGAAGCCATCAGAACAGAAGTCCCAGATAACCAGTTAAAAGAATTCAGGGAAGTATTAAGGTGGGTAAGTAGTTTAATGAAGTCACCGTAATTATAATGATGTCTGACATTTGTATGTTTGTTAAGCATGTAATGTGTGCCAGGCGCTGTTAAGCATTTTATATAATCTTGTTTACTTTTTAACAACCCTGTAGAGAAATTTGAAGGTGCAAAATGAAGTAGTTGCTATAAATTGTGCTGAGATGACTTGTAATCGTTCAAAAAAGGTTTTGTTCTTGTGGAATAATACATACACCATGTTATTTGCTTATTTTCAAATATAATTATGATTTGGATAAAGTGGGGAACATGCAAAGGGAAAATGTTCTTAGATGCTGGGGAGCAACTCTAATTCCTTAGAAATGTAGTTCCTTCTGTTGAACCTAGAATGAGTATGAAAGCTAATGTTATTAACAACAGTATGAAGTCTTCATATCTATTCTAATGATATAAACTATTATAGTAAAATGAAACATGATGATAACATTCAGAACACAGACCAGTTGAAAATGTTTGGCTCCCCCAAATAAGATATAGTTAAAAATGCAACAGTAGACTCTGATACATGCCCATTGGTCATTTACTTCTGTTGCTCTGCTTTCTAGCAAAATGTTTGACATTGAGCTCTGTCCTCTACCTTTTTCATTGGAAGAAATGTTTGGCTTTATTAGTTGTCGGTTCACAGGATACCCTTCCTCTGTGCAGGAGCAAGCTTTACTGTGGCTTCATGTAAGTAAATGACACTTTTAATCATTTGGGGCAATAGTTCTTAGCCTGGGAACTTGAGATCCCTGGGGAGAGGAGCGGGAAGTTATTGCAAAGAGTCCATAAATTCCATGTTTGCTGAGGACTGTCTATAGGCTAATAATTCATTGCACAGATGAATAACCATGTTTCAAATATATGTGCCTACAGTTATGTTTAATAAAAACACAGGTTTATTCAGTACTATTTCTGAATTCGTAATAGCTTTGATCCTTATGTATTTTTCCATGAAAAGATTCTAAAAGTATAGTAGCTATCTTGTCGGATTCTGATAAATCTTTTCATATTAAATAGGTCCTTTACATGGAAAGGTGGAGAGCTATTGATATAGGGAGTAGCTCCTGCTGTTCCCTCAGCCTGGAATAAATACCTTTCTCTCTGGTCTGCATTTGTAATCCAGTTTATTCTTTTTTTTTTTTTAAAGGTTTTTTTTTTTAAAGATTTTATTTATTTATTCATGAGAGATACACAGAGAGGCGCAGAGACACAGGTAGAGGGAAAAACAGGCTCCTTCCAGGGAGCCCGATGTGGGCCTTGATCCCGAGACCAGGATCACACCCTGAGCCAAAGGCAGACGCTCAACTGCTGAGCCACCCAGGCGTCCCTCCAGTTTATTCTTAAAGCCCAACTCAAAAATTATCTCATCTATGAAATTTATTATTGCTTCACACCCCCATTTTCCCTTCAGAATTCATTATTCCTTCCCCCCAGTATTCATACAAGCTCTTTGTGCAGATGTTATTCTGTCAATATTTAGTTCATTTTTGTCTCTTCTGATTACAAATGCCTGGAGTGCAGGGACCAGGCAGGCCTTTTTCATGTTTGAATTCATGCCTTCCTTCATCTTTTCCTCTCAGCATCTGACACATGCCTTGGATTTATTTAGTGAATGTACCTAAACATTTATTAAATTGAGTCGAATGCTTGACGAAAAGTTTGGTCAGTTTCCAAAAAGGAGGATAGAGTCAATGTTTAGATGAACTGTGAGCATCGTTACATTGCTGAACCACAGAGGGAGGTGATACCAAAAGCTTTTCAAATTGTGAAGATGCCTTTCTGGGTTCTAAACTGAGAAACAGTTTTTTTTTTTTTTTTTCAACTGACAAAGAGTAAAGGGGCCGTTTTTTAAAAAGTCATCTTTTGGATACTTTGCATACCTGGGTAGAACTCAGTAAGACAATTTCTCATTTTAGAAAAGCCAGTCCTTCTACAGATGGCTAGGTGTTGTTACTCAGTTACACACCCTTTAGGCTGAGTTATGTAGGGGTGAGCAGATAGGGCTGTAAACCTCTGTCCTCACCATGGCTAGAGCAATGACAGCTACATGTTTTATGGACAGGACTTTCCCATAGTGATGGTTTGAAGACAGGGTGCTGCAGTTGAACGAGGTTTTAAACCACTGGTCTAACTATTTGGGGAATAGAGCAAACAGTATAGTGATAGGAATTGATTCATTTAATGTGGAGACATTTATAGAGTTCCTCTGTGGAGGCACCGTAATTGGCAGTGGGATGAAAATGGGATAAGAAATAGTCCTTTCTTCATACTTCCTTTTTTCAAGGAGCTCACAGTGGGAGAGATAGTATCAAACAATCAACTATAATGAAAAGCGACAATTGCTCTACTAAATGTATTTACAGAGTTCTAAGGAAGAAGAGAAGAGAGATGGATTAATTCTTTCTGAAGGAAGGTGCATCTATTTCTAAAAATTCATTACAGATAGAGAGTAACTTGATTTTGGCAGGATACCTGAACTTGTATCAGCAAAATCAGCCAGGGCAGTCAGATCAGAGTGGGGGATGGACTAGAAGAGGATTGCATGCAGGTTACACTATTCCAAAAGGAAGGTGTTGAACTAAGGCACTATTCTATGGAACGGAGGAGATACTTAGAAGTTTTAGTAGGAATCACATGGTGATTTATGGGATGTGGGGAGCGGGAAAGATGGTAGGTTCAATAATTACTTTATCTTTTAGTATGAAAAATTGAGGGTGGCTGATAGAATATACATAAGGTTAAGCATCCTTATGTTTAATCATTCACTTTGGGGAAAATGTTAAATGCAGGGTTGGTGGGTCTTTTTTGGTTTTGTTTGTTTTGAGTTTTAAAGTTTGTATTTAGAGGGGGGGATATATGCCTTTTTTTCCCCAGGTGTTATCGGAGTTAGACATCATGGTTCCACTTCAACTATTGATAAGTATGTTTTCTGATGGAGTTAATTCTGTTAAAGAACTGGCAAATCAAAGAAAATCAAGAGTCAGTGAACTGGCAGGGAACCTTGCAGCTCGAAGGGTAATTATTGCTACAACTGTTTTTGTCTTGTTAAGATTTTGTCAATTCTACCAGTTCTAAAAGTAACACCATAGTAAACTTCTCTGAAAATACATTTTCATCCCATCTCACTCTGTTAATATTTTAAACACATTAAATCATAGAAAACATTGATCTAAGATACGTTTTGTATACTATGTGGTCAATAAATTATTGAATTTTTTCTCCTGCACATAACTATTAGCTATCTCTTATCCTTGATGAAAGCAAAAAGAGTAGCTTTGAGATATTATTTGGTCTCCTGGTGAATAAGAATTCTTTGCCAGCTGCTAGGCAGATGAGTGCTTCACTTTGGGGACCAGAAGTTAGGATGTTTTGAGATGTGATCATCTGATAGTGACTGTGAGTGATATTTCACTATGGACTAAGTGAGCCCATATTTTGGGACCTATTTGTGCTTTGTGAATGAAAAAAGTCAACATAGTCTAGTCCAAAGTGTAGAAAAACTATTGGGAATTTTTAATAATTTTTCTGTGGAGCACCTGATAGAACTTCTGTGGATATGCTGACATTCCCAGATCAGGATCAGTTCTGGAAAGGTTCAAAGGTTCAATCAAGTGATTGTAGGCAGGAACTATTCTCAACTTTCCCTTGTCAGGTTCTCCAAACCATTTTTCCTACTGTCATTCCTACCTGATATCTAGGAATTAGGAAATACATACATCAGAATCATGGGCTCATGGTTTGCATCCATTGCTTTCTTTTGATTTTAATCATTCTTGCCTCATCTGCCTCATAGGAACCAGCTGGGAAACATTTATATTTTGTTTCTTTCTTCTGTAATCTTTAATGTTATATGACTTAGTTGATGCCTTATACTGTGCAATGTATTCACAATGAATAGTATCACAGAATTGTGTGAGGCGGTTGGAGAAGTCATTATCCTCATATTACAAATACGTAATCTGAGGTTCAATGGGCTGAAGTGATTTGCCATAGGTAACACTGTCAATATCCAGGTATTCTGATTCTTGATGGGGTATTCTTTTTTTTTTTTTTTAACTTCAGTACGGTGCACAGGCACTTGCTGGTAGTTAGAGAGATCTTTAAGAGAGAAACATCTTATATCAGAGTGATATACAGTACAGGTATGTCAGTCTGCATCCCAGAATTTATCCCAGATAGTTCAAATGAGGAGACTTTCATAGAGACTCAGCCTGTAGAGTTTTGGGGAAGGCAGTAAGGGTTGTTGAGGCACATAACTGCCAGTAACAGCTCAGCATTTATACCCCCAGGGCTGAAAGAACAAGGAAAAGAGTTCTAGAGCCCATTGAGAGCTGAAATTTTAAGGAAGGGCTGACTGGAAGAGAGATTAAGAGACTGCTAAAGATGTAACCTCAAATCAGGCGAGGAGTGGGACATATACTTCTGCCTCTCTCTCCTTCAGCTGTAGAGCTTGTGCTGGTACCTCCCATTGACTGAATCTACTTAGAAGCCAGTTAGCAAGAAGGCTGGGAGACACTCTGTTCTTGGCATCCTTGAGCATAGGGCAGGGCAGAGGTGGGCAGTGAGGGTCTTGGGTTAGGCAAATGGACAATGACCAGTACAACAGGTTTGACATATATTATTTTTCCACAGTAGTTAATAATTTAATATCCAGATGCTATTCTTCTTTAACCAGTCACATTAAACTGAGATTTTGTGCTTATCATTCCTAAAGCTGATCTTGTAATAGTTTATTTTTGTAAGGTCTTATTTTTCAGACTATAGTTTTAGGTAGATGCAGATCATTTAGTTTAATTGGAAATGTGGATGGTGTGAACAATATAATGGCGAAGACAGCTACTTTAATTCTTCAGGGTGCTGATGTTTCACTCACCTGACAGTCACAAAGTTCGGATGGTTTTATTTCCTTTTTTTTTAGACATGTGCCCTAGCATCAGTGATTTTGTTTCTTATTTTTATATTTTGAGAAGATCCATACTATTTGGAGGTATTAATGCTATTGACTAAGGAAGGAAATCAGTGTGACAGCTGGAAGTACCTTCCATGAGTCCCCAGATATTTTATCTAGCCATTTTGGCTTCTGTGAGTTCACTTATGGGTATTGATGTTCTTTCTTCTAGGTGAGTGTTGCCTCCGATCCTGGCCGACGAGTTCAGCACAATATGCTGAGTCCATTTCATAGTCCTTTCCAGAGTCCATTTCGGAGTCCTATGCGTAGTCCATTTCGTAGCCCTTTCAAGAATTTTGGACACCCAGGCGGAAGGACTATTGACTTTGATTGTGAAGATGATGAAATGAATCTAAATTGTTTCATCCTCATGTTTGATCTTCTCCTGAAGCAGGTAGCTGAAGCATGAGCTTCCTTTAGTTCAGAGGTGAAGAGTAAGGGAATGTGTTGGACATCTTCATACTTACTGAAATGATGCAACTTCACTCAAGACATTTTGTAAACTACTTTCAGGATTCCCTAAAGAGTCTGAAAAATACTCTATGAATATCTGCAATGATGTTCACATACGAGAATGGATATGAATTTTAGAAACATTCTAGCATCATTAGAATTGGTTCTGTTAAACAAATATGGTGAACTGAGTAATGCTATTGTTGGGAAGAGCAAGATACAACTCTGTAGTTGTAGGCTGATTTAAATATATTCCATAAATTGATTTTTGAAGGTAATTGAAGAAGAGAAGTATAAAAGTCTTTGATTAGGAGAACATTTCATCTTAACTTTTTATTCCGAAATAATTAAGACTTATAGAAAAGTTGCAATAATAGTACAAAGAATTCCTAAATATTCCTCCCTCAGATTGTCCAGATATTAACAGTTATCATATTTCTCTCTCAATCTGTATATGTATGTATGAGTTATAGAATTTTTAAAATACATATTTAAGGATAAGTTGCAAATATGATGCCCCTTTGTCCTTAAACACTTCAGAATGTATTTCCTAAAAAATAAGGACATTCTTTTACATAATCAAGTACAAAATCAAGAAATCAATAAAAATCAAGAAATTAATATTGTTATAATACTATTATCTGACCCACAGAAGTTAATCATTTTAAAAATTGACATAATAATTATATTTTTATAGTAAAAGAAAAAAATGTTTTTGATCTAGAACACAGTCTAGTCTCACTCATTGCAAATATTTGTCCTGTCTCATTACTCTTCTTTAATCCAGAGCAGTTCTTAAGTCTTTGTTCATCTTTTATGTTTTTGACATTTTTGAAGAGTACAGTCCAGTTATTTTGTAGAATGTCTCTCAATTTGAGTTTGTCTGATGTTACAAATTTATTTGGGTTGAGCATTTTTTGACAGTAATGCCACTAGTATGATGTTATATCCTTTTCAGTACATCATATCAAGAGGCACATGACATGATAATGTTGCCTTTCTGGTGATGATAACTTGGTTAAGGTGATTTTCTACCAGATTTCTGTACTCCAGAGTCACTATTTCCCCCTTTGTAATTAATAAGTAGCTTGCAGGCTGAGATTTCCTGTTTCTCATTAGACTTTCATCTACTAGTTTTAGCATCCAGGGCTGATTCCTACCTGGATCAGTTGTTATGATGATGGTAACCAAATGATAATTTTCTAATTTCATTATCTTTTATATTAGCTGGCACTCTACTGAAGAAACAGTTTCCCTTCTCTCCCACTTCTATATTTGCTCATCTTCTTATACCTGCATGTACTCATGAATTCTTATTTTATTCAGTGAGTAAAATCTGTTACTATGATTATTTTTATTTTGATGCTCATATGGTCCCATATTTGACCAGTGGGAATCACTTCAGGTCAGTTCCTGTGTTCTTTTGACATATTCCTCATCATTCTTTGAACACTTCCTTAATTTTTGGCATGACAAGATGTTCCAGGCTCATTTTCTATTTTCCTAGCCCCAACCTTGAAATCAGCCATTTCTCCAAGGAGCCCTGGTTCCTCTTAGTGCATAATGGATAACGGTATTTAGAAACTAAGATCTGGACGCTAGGTGAAGAGTAGCATTTTTAAAACGTGTAAAATTTCACAGAGTGATAAGTTTAAAAAATAACTCTCTTTTAAATATTCTGCGTGATTTTAAAAATAATTCCCATTGCTTGTCTTGTGTTTATATTCTTTTTAAAAGAATCTGTGGAAAGCAATAGATATTCATAGTCTATAATCCTTATCTTTAAATAACTTAATATTTTTGTCAGTAAAAATTATCCTCAATTAGTATGCCAATGGTATATTGGACAAAGGACCAAATTCCTTCTTCTTTTTTCTTTTCTTTTCTCTTTGTTTCTTTCTTTTCTTTTTTTTTTTGCCTTCATTTTGATGTCTTTCAGATGGAGTTGCAAGATGATGGGATCACAATGGGTTTAGAGCACAGCTTATCAAAGGACATTATTTCCATTATAAACAATGTCTTCCAAGCCCCCTGGGGGGGCTCCCACACCTGCCAGAAGGAAGAAAAAGCAATTGAGTGTAACTTATGTCAGTCTAGTATTCTCTGCTATCAGCTTGCTTGTGAACTCCTGGAGAGACTGGCTCCTAAAGAAGAAAGCCGGCTGGTGGTAAGAAGTCAAAGAAATGAGGTGTCCCATGTCTGATAGTGATAATGACTATAGCAGCTGGTGTAACGGGGTCTTCCTCCAATATCATCTTATGCTCCATGCTGGGTCATATGTGAGACTGTTAAAAAGAAAGTTTTCCTATTTCTTCCACCAACTAATGCTCCTGGAAAGGGATATGAGCTGGAGCTACATTATACAGAATTCTTGAGTCTTGAGTCTTGAGTTGAGTCTTGTGGTGCATCCAGTCATATAATTTTCATAAATACAAAGCATTACTGGTATTCTTGAACTTTTATTATAAAGTTCAGTAACAATGAATATTACAAAATATACATATCAAATACTAAGTAGATTGGATACAGATATCGAGAATTCCTAGGTAATACTGGTCTGTAAAACCCATTGACTTTATCTACAACCAATAAAGACTTCATTTCATTTTCTGCTTTCCAAGAAAGTGGTTTCAATAGAGAACAACTAATAATATGCCACACATTAACTACTCCATACTTTATCCCCTGTTTAGCCAGTTTTCATTTAAGACACATATACATATCACCAAAATACTCTCACACCATTAAAAGTAGGTGAATCTGAATTATTTGGTCATGTGTTTACTATCTTCTCTATTCCTTCCTTTCCCTTAATATTTAATATAAATAGAAAGTGACTTCTTTTTTATTTTTTTAAAGATTTTATTTGAGAGAGAGAGAGAGGGAGAAACAGCAAGTAAGCATGAGCCAGGGAGGAAGGGCAGAGGAAGAGGGAGAAGTAGACTAGACTCCCTGCTACGTGTAGAGCACTATGCAAAGCTCCATTCCATGACCTGGAGATCATGACCTGAGCTGATGTTAGCTGCTTAACTGACTAAACCACCTGGCACCTCAAAAGTAGAAAGTGACTTCTTAAAAACTTTTTTTGAGGTATAACATACATGCAGTAAAGTGTTTCTTCAGTTTTTAAATACCTTTCTGCCTGCTAAACTCGTTTGTCCTGTGTGTTGCAAAATAACATCCCTGTACTATGGTCTTTCAGCATTGTCATTGGGTACTTAAGTAAAAAACATAGTCCTACATGATATAAAAACAAATCAAAATCAAGAAACTTAGTCTAATCACGGAGACATTTAATTAAATGAAAAACCATTAGAGTAATGAGCAAGCTGGGAGAGTTCTGAACAAGGGAGCTATAGGGGCAGAGGAGGGAGAGCAGATTCAGCTTTGAGGTGTGATAGGGAGGAGAGAGCTCCTGGGCTCATATTGGGAAGAGTTTCATTAATGAAATGAAGACAGTAGGGGAGAAGCACTTTTGAGACCCAGAAAACTCTGTTTAAGTGATACAGAGGAAAGCAGGGGATGATACATATTCAGGAAACTGCAAGCACTTCAGTGTTCCTAGACAGCAGGATGGGAACATAGTAAAGGCTGAGTCAAGCAGGACAGACGCAGTCTTATTTTCACATTCATTAAGGGCTCAGTCTGCTAGACTCAGAAATTTGGGTTTTGTCTTGGTGAATGAGGGAATCCTGAAGAATTTAATTGAGGTGGTGATATAATTTGATGAATTTGAGCAAAGAGGGTTTGGGGGATTTGGACCCTGGGGACAGGTATCTAGGTAGGTTAATGTGGTCACTCAGGGAGGAAAAGAAGTCTGAAATAAAGCAATGGTGGTGAGGATAAGAGAAGGGGCAGACCTGGTGGATTTTTAGGAAAGACAATCAGCAGCCCTTGGTGTTTAGCTGGTGTTGAGGTATGGAAAAGTTGAGGGCAAACCTATGTTTTCTGGCTTGGGAGCTGATGACCTTGCCATTTATAGAAGATTATTACAGTAGTAAAAGTGATTTTGGGCCAGGAGCGGGTATGATGCAGGCACAGTCAGACATAGCAGGTTGAGATGCCTTTTAGATATTCAGGTGGGGTCTTCATGCCCTATCAGTTATGTGGATCTGGTTTTTAGAAGAAAGGTTAGAAGTAGGTAAAAGTTTGGAGCTGCCAGCTATTGTGCTGGGATGTGTGGAATGAAGAAAGAGCCATCCCTAGCATCTAGGAAGTATCAGCTCTTGAGAGGGCAAACAGGGAAAACGAAGACTAGAAATAAATTGAGAAGAGGCCAGACACAGGAAAAACCGAAGGAGAGCAAGCACTCCAAAACCAAGGTAAGAGGGAGTTTAGAAAAGGTAGGAATAGCTGATCATGAGAGGAAAAATACAGGACTGAAATGTGCCCCGGGGTTCCTGAGATGGGGGAATCCTCTGTGCCCTTGGGGATTGGGAGTAACCCTGGGTTCTGGTGGGGTGTGGTTTAAGAGCAGAATCAGCTGATGATGTGGCTGCATCCAGTACAGACTTATGTTTCAGGGAGAGAATGAGAGGGTGAAGAGGATGGAGGCAGATGCCCTGACCCGTGCCCTGTCTCCAGCAGGCTTTCTGTTTTGTGTTCATTTTCTTAGCACTATCTGGGAAACAGGGAAGAGTAAGTATAAGTATAGAAAAACTGAGCCATCCAAACAACCTCCCACCTGCATGATGCTTTGGACACTTGTCATGTGTTGAAAATAACATATTTGGAGGTGAAGCTGAAGGATTCTGTTCTCTCTCAAAGGTTTATGGGAGAGATGCTCATCAATAGAAGGCGGCTGTGCCTTAGAACACATGGTCTCCACTGTGCGGGTCAGTCCCCTTCACCCTTTAGTTCTCTTCCTGGGACAAGAAGGGGGACAAGAGGGTGAGGATGTGGTGGAGGGGACAGCAGGAGTCTGGAGTTCAAGACAGGCAGCACCAGTCCCTGCGACATGGGAGGATGATTCTGAACCCATGGGTTATCGAAGAGTCAGTACACAGCAGGGAACTCTTGACCATATCGAATTTCATGAAACTCAGTTCATTATTTGATTTAGTGCCTTGCTCATGGGTAACCTAGGGACAGGGTCGGGCTTAGCAAAAACTGTGAAGTTGGCAGAGATACTCTTCAGGGCTCTCCCAGCCACTGTGCTTCTGGCACTTCATCATTCTTGAGCTGGCTGTCAAACAGTTCTTGGAAAAAATGTGTACTGGTTCAATTAGCTCAAAGAGTATGATTTTAAAAGAGGATATTTAAAGTGGGACTTGAAGGAAAGAAAAAGCTGGAATGGGAGCTTAACTGGAGATGGATATTTTAAGTGGCAGCCATAACTAGTGCTCTCTTTCTCTCTCTTAAAAAATCTTCCCAATTTCACCTATTTCTGCAGCTGATTTTATACCTGACATGTATTGTCTATAAATGTATCATGTCAAGTATAGTCACATTGTTGTGCAACTAATCTCCAGAACTTTTTCATCTTGCAAAACTGGAATGCTAAACAAGATCTTCCTGTTCCCCACTCCCCTAAGCCCCTGGACACCTCCATTCTACTCTCTGTGCCTCTGAATCTGACTCCCATAGAGACTTCATATATCTGGAATCATGCAATAATTGTCCTTTTTACAACTGGCTTATTTCACTTAGCACCATGTCCTAAAGGTTCATTCACACTGTAGCAGGTTTCAGGCTTCCTTTTTAAGGCTGACTGATGTCTCACTGCTTGTATATAACACATTTTGTCTGTTCATCTGTTGATGGACATTGCTGTGAATTCCATATTATTCCTTGCTAATTAAGTACTGTTGCTGAATAAAATATGCACGGATTGGAATCACTTTGTGAGTGGGACATGATCATAGGAAAAGCAGGCCTACACTGATTTAATCATGTTTTTGAGACGTTTCCATATTTATTTCAAGGTAATGAAAATGTTTTAGTAACAGCTGATCCAAATTCCCTTTAATTATTGTGGAAATATGCTCACATACCTTCAGAGGCAGGTGCCTTTGCCTTTGGTGCTCAGCACAGGGCTGGGACACACCAGGTCCTCGATGGATGGATCCTTCATGGATCTGAGGAAACCCATTCTTTACACTCCCAGCGGGCTGCTTACCTGGCTGTTTGTCATATTTGTTTTAGGAGCCCACAGACAGTCTTGAGGATAGCCTCCTTTCTTCCAGACCAGACTTCATTATAGGCCCTGAAGGTGAGGAGGAGGAGAATCCAGCAACCAAGCATGGGGAGAACCCAGGCAACTGCACTGAGCCCATGGAACATGCTGGTAAGTCGACTCTGGCATATCCTAGATAGCACAGTTCTGACGTTCAGAACCCTGGTTTTTTAGATTACTGTCAACTTGGGCAAGTTCAGGCTTGGCATTCCTAGTAGAGACTAGTGCAAATGAACCATTTCCCCTCAGATTGTGAAATAAACAGGTAGATCCGAGATGTGCTTCTTGTAGAGCAGAGGTCACTGAGCTTCTTTCTGGTGGCAGTTGCTTCTTATCAGTAGAATCCTGCCATGTTAGCACCTACCTACCTACTTACAGTGTATCATCTTCTCATTGAGAAGTAGGCTAAACAACTGAACAGAGGGTGCTGGCACTCTCGACAGCCACTTAGGGCATTTGGCCAAGGCAGGGTGTTTTGGGATAGAGCTGATGGAACTTAAGTTTCTGAGTCCCAGGGGCTTGACTAGGTCTCTGGACAGGCTCACTGTGTACAGCTGCATGACTTGTGCCCTGAGGTTGGTTGGCTTCACTCAGAGTTGGAGGAAGGATGGCTTCTTTCCACAGTGCTTACAGTCTCTGTGTGGGCTAAGTTGGGGACTATAAAATGGCAGTCAGGCTGGCTTGGAATCCTATTCTAGCTCTTCATGGTCTGAAGGAATTTTGGGAGTTTCAGACATGGCCCCCATATGCCTTTGGGAAAGCTTGATTTCTGGATCTTGATTTCTGGGGAATCACTTGGGGAATTTGTACAGGACCTTGAGTAAATAAGACTCGTTTTTTAATCTTCCTGTTTCTACCATCCTGAACCAGGTGGTCCACCCCTAGAATTAGAGTTTGGGAATCATGGGCTTTCCATCATTCCTTCCGTGAACAGCAAACATCATTAAGTGACTATTGTGTGGGATCTGTTACAGCCCTGGGGGTGTCTCATTCAGATCAAGGTCTGATTAAGATGTTAGTCTCATTAGTGTGAAATGCTTGGTCAGATCTGCTTCTGCATGAATTGTACAAATGATTAGTTGGATATGAATATCTCAGATCACTCTCTTTAGAACCATTGAAACCTAGAAATTGAAAGAACACCTGGGATGACTGACTTCATTGGTTTTCAGCATGTCCTTGGAATTGTACATGCTCTGTGTTGTTTCCTTTGGACCTTCCCTTCTTAGGATGGCAAGTGGTGGGAAGGCATGGGCAAGTAATAACAAACAGCCCAGGCTGCCCACCCTGTTTCACTCCGAGTGCTCTAACTTGCTCTCTTTCATATGTTGGAGTTTTGAGTGAGTTTCTTTAAACAGAGTATTACATAGAAAAAACTTTGAAATCTGTTGATCTAATTCAGCCTTCTCATCTTGCAGATAAGGGAAATATATCCCAGGTGGATTAAATGTGCCCATGGTCATGTAGCTTGTATTTCTCATTCCTAATTTACGCTTTATGCTTACATGTTGCCCGGGCTATAATGGAGCAACAGGATCATCTGAGGAGTTGAAACAAAAATAAAATGAATGAGGTCCACCCACCACCCCCAATTCTGAGTATATCTGGGGAGAAGATCTGGAAATTGGAAATCCAAATATTGAACAACTAGTTAGTGGCAAGATTGAGACAAGAATCCGGGTGTCTTGGTTTACTTAGAATTAATGACTTTCTGAGACCTGGGCCTAGGGCTTATTTCTATCAGGCATAAATGCCTAAAGGAAGCAAGGATTTCATTTATGATCCAATAACCTGTACTCTTTATATACAAATATATTTTTCAGATCTCAGATGGCACACAAATCAATTAACTGTCACTTTGATTTATTTGTAACATTTTATATGAACAGTGGTGAAAATTAAGCAATTTCTTTTTATAAATTAGTCTTTTCCTTGCTTAAATGTTTGTTCTATTCGTCTCCTTCAAACACTACTTTGGGCTCCTGTCACTGCTTCCGGGCTATTTTCCTGCTTTTATGCTCTGCTATCTTACGGGGTCACAGTTATAAATTGTCTCCTCAGGGAAGCCTCCCTTAATTTTCCTTTGAAACCAGCCTTGCCTGCTACTCTGAGCCCAATACTGCTTCTGTTCTGTGGGCCTTCAGGCTGTGGTCTCGAGCACCTCTGTCAGAGCAAATGTGTTCTATCTGCATGTGTTCTATGATTCTTTCTTCCTTTGAGAGTATTTCCTATTTCTGCATTTTGTGGCCTGGTGCCTGTTTCTTATAACAGTCAGATATATCCTCCACTAAAAATACTCTTTAAAACTCTCACACTAGAAAAAATAGATTTGAGGGCTGGTGACATATATTTGAAATACATTAAAGTGGAAGCTCACCAATGGACTGTTCAGTATATATGCCAAGAGAGTTTGACTCCTGTTGTCTCTAGTTCCAGTAATTTTTTTTGGCAAAAAATTGCCAAAACTTAGAATGGTGATTTAAAAATGTTTTACACTAGCTTCTACATATGGCTAACTTGTGAATTCTTTTCTCTAGCGTGCCTCATGTACCATATACTGCCATCCTACCTGTAGGGGCGAAGGTATTAGAGAGACTCACAAGAAGATTAAAGCCATGAGTAGTTGTTCTGATTAAACTATGCCTAACTTTTTTAAGACGCTCCCTTTGGCATGAGTCCATGGGATAAATTCCTCCTTAGGTGCTAATGCAACTCTAATACCTTCTTTAATACCTTCTTATCTCCCTTTCAATAAGGAAGGCATACCTGCCCAGGTGCCAGTCCATGGGATAAATTCCTCCTTAGGTGCTAATGCAACTCTAATACCTTCTCTTTAATACCTTCTTATCTCCCTTTCAATAAGGAAGGCATACCTGCCCAGGTGCCAGGCCCCTGGTAGCAGCAGAATTTGCTGCCCATGGGGCCAGGCTGGGGTTGCTTTAGGGAGCTGAGGATGTTTGACTATATTGTGAGCTACATGAAGGCTGAGATCCCTGTATATAGAAGGTTTCCTGCAATGGCATCATCGAAGGGGTATATGCCACCTTGGAGAGCAAATAAAAACATGACACAAAATACCTTTTACCATTTGTATATTTATTTTCACTCCTCTTGGTTTTATGGACTTGATCAGGTCATGAGTGGTGGGGAAAAGGAGGAGCTATGCTAACCTTTGGGTAATTATTTCTTCACAGCAATAAAGAATGACACTGAGAGAAAGTTTTGCTACCAACAGCTTCCAGTAACTTTGAGGCTAATATACACCATTTTCCAGGTATATTTTTTTCCAGGTATATTTTTTGAGATATTTAAGTGTTTGGTGTGGTGACATTGCTATTTTAGATAACTCAGTAGTAACCCGTAACCCCGTGGTTCTTTGCATAGGAAATGGCGAAGTTTGAAGAGCCAGACATTCTTTTTAATATGCTCAATTGCCTGAAGATTCTCTGTCTACATGGAGAGTGTTTATACATTGCTAGAAAAGACCACCCTCAATTTTTAGCCTACATTCAGGATCATATGTTGATTGCAAGGTAGGTCTTCCTAACAGTTTTTTGTTGCTGTTGTTTAAATTTTAGGCTTTAGCTGTGAAAATCAAAGTTAGGACAAGATTTACAAACTCATTTGGCTCATTTCTCTTAGCCAGGAGAGCCTAATCACTTATGGGAATGACTTACACGTAAACATTAGACTCAGTAAAAGAAGTAAGTCAACATGAGGAATAGTAATTTTCTTTGCTAGGTACTATAGAAATATAAAAGGGAAAATAAGGACTATTTGGTAATCAGTTGTTGGACAGCTTAAGAGTATAGTGTCCCATAGAAAAATGTCAAAAGCATTAAGTCACTATTTACCTAGTATTATCTAGTACAATATTAATACCAAAGACTTATTCAATTTCTTGCTTGAAATGGAACTGCTTGTGGACATCAAAAAATCTCTCTACATATCATCTAATAAAGTATCTTTAGAGATTGTTAAAGCATTTTGAGAAAAATAATAAAATATTGCCCAGGCTTTATGTAGAGTTTTTCTTCCAAGAACCTTAAAATAACTGTTACGGTCTTCCTGGAAGTAAGTCAGAAAAATAGTATCCTTGTTTAAATGTAAGAGAATGAGGTAATAAGAAAAAAGAAAATGTTGGCTTAAGTTAACTTGGTGACAAAACCACTTTGAGGCGCTCTCTGTCTTTACTCATTTTATTCATTCATTCATTCATTCATCCAACAAATATTAGGGGCTTGCTATATATGTTATTATTCTATGTACTTTGGGAATTTGCAATCTAATTTGGAAGGGGGTGAATGTTATTTATACAAAAGATGACCACATAATTTATTCTTCCCATTGGCCTACTTTTGAGAGTGAAGGAGGGATGATCTTCATAATGACCTCAAACAATTAGTATAATGTAGACCAAGATCTTGGATAAACTAAGATATATGGTCACCCTGTGTATATGTGAGTCACTGTCAATCTGAAAGATGTGTGATGGATGACTGTTTTGTATAGTTCAGAGGTAGGAGAGGTCTGAATGATTAGAAAAAGGCTCAGGAGCAGATAGGATTTGAATGGGCATTGAGAGAATGATAAAATTTTAACAGGTAGAGATTTGAGATGGGCAGGACATTTTGTGGAAAGTGGGAATGTTAAGAGTAAAGATGGCAGAGTTAGAATGAAGGAATTAGAAGTGAGTAGGGCATACTTAGGTGATACCAAAGTTTTGTTTTTGCTGTGTGATATGGTTTTAGGTGAGTAATGGAAAATGAAGCTGGAGAAGTAGGTTGGGACCATAGTGTAAAGGGTCTCAAAGATAGGGGTTTCACTTGATGATGTTTGGAGATCTATGGATATCTTAAAACAATGAACAGGATCAGAGTTGTACTTTAGTAACAGGAGTATGGAGAAAAAGAGACCCTTAAGGACTGCCTACATTTAAGGGAATACAAAGAGCATGTTTCAGTGGCTTTGGGAATGTCAAGATGTAACACAGAACATTCTTCTGTAAAGTTTATTAGAAAAGGAAGGGAGAGAGATCAGATATTTAGAGGGGGGAAAAGGAGTGGATGTTAAGGATTTTTAGGATAAAGATCTGAAACTATGTATGGTCAATGCAAAGGATCAGAGGAAAGGAAATAGTGAGTAGAGCCAGGCCCTGGAAGGCAAGAATATATGATCAAGAACAAAAGATGAGTAGAAAAGAGGAGGGATGCTCTTTCCTTTGAAAGGAGATATATTTTGAAGAAAAGAGAAATAAAGTGTCAGGGGGAGCTCATTACTGAACCTTAAGGGTAGTGGGTGCTGATGTCTTTAGTGAAAGGCAGGAGGATAGGGATTGGGTTGGGAGCTCAAGGCACATGAGAAAAAGTATAGTTCATGAAGGAAAGCAATAAGGTGTCAACAAAAAATAGTCTAAGAATGGCCAGCTTCAGGGTGAAACTGAACTTAGCTAGCACTAGTTTGTGGTTGCCCAAGTTAGTAGGAATTAGTAGGACCAAGTTAATTTCAGGGTCTGGGAATGGATGAGAAAAGGGAGCAGTGTGGATTTATTCAGGAGTAGGGAGTTGTGATCGGATTATGTTGGAAGTCAGGGGGATGAGGAATTTTGGAGTGAGGAAATAGTTAACTCTGAGATCCAGTCTAAGATGGGAGGCAAATGAAATCAGAAAAGGATTGATGTTTGGGAGAAGAGTATGGAAAAGAGGGAAAAGAAGTCTTAATATTAGGAATACTTTGGATGGGGACATTGTTCAGCCCAGTGCAGAAGCATAGAATGGGAAAAGTGAAGAGTCTCCAGAAGTTTCCTCATGATAAAATGGGAATTCTACAGGTGAAATGGGAGGAGCTGGTGGAAGGGTAGACCTGGCTGACCTGGATTTGGGGAAGAGTAGGACTGATCTGAACAGATGGATGAGCAAGTCTAAGCAAAAGCCATAAAGGAGTAGGGTTGGGAGTTAGGCAGAAGCTCTGTTCATTCTGTGGGAGTGGGAATACTAAATAGGCCAACTTTGATTGTTAAAGCAGCCTCTACAGGGAACACCAGGGTGGCTCACTTGGTTGACTCTTGATTTTGGCTCAGGTCATGATCCTCAGGATCCTGAGATCAAGCGCCACATCAGGCTCTTAACTGAGCATGGAGTCTGCTTGAGATTCTCTCTCTGTGTCCCTCTGTCCCACCCGTTGCCTCCCTAAACAAACAAACAAACAAACAAACAAACACAGCCTCTATAGGACATTTATCCAGGCCAAGTGGATTGCCAGTGCTGGGGATCTCTGCCTCAGCCTTTGGGTACATATCCCAGTTTTTTCCTCAAAGTACCACCCTGACACAAAAGCTATGATGAGCAATGAAGGGATCTGGGGAAGGATGCTATTTTCCTGGTTTCAAACAAGGCTGCTCTAGAAAATTGGGAAAGCCATAGGGGACTGGTGAAACCTAGGCTTTTTTGTTACTGGGATAGTTTTCTAGCAATGCTGCATATGGTTTGCTTCCTTCAACTACTTTGATCAGCTTGGATTTTGTGTTCACTCTTATGATATAGGAAGGGGTGGATCTTGACTGACAGCCTTGCCAGTTGGTGGAGAGGCTGTTCTTAATAAAAATAGACTCGTTCTTTGCTAGAATAAGAGAAAAAGGCTGCTGGTCAGGCAAACCCAACAAAGCTCTCCAGATGTTCACAGTAAGAAAACTTTTTTAAAAATCACTTTTCACTCATCATCTTAACAGAACTAATATCAATTTTGTATCGCTCATTTATATACCTGAATATCTAATATCTAATTTTTATTTTTTATGTTAAGATATAGTATTAAATGGTGTTTACACCCTTGTTACATAAGAGTAATTTCTTTAAAAAAATGAACAGAACAGAGATTTAGGAAAGGTTTATCAGAGGACTATAGTCTTGTGGATAAGAGTAATTTCACCAAAAGTATCTCTCGCAGCTGCCTGTTAACAACATTTCCCTTAAACTGAGATAATTGTGTTTGTTTTCTAGAAAGGTTATCATAACTGTAACCACTTTGCTTCTCACTTCCTCAGCCTGTGGAGAGTCGTCAAATCTGAGTTCTCCCAACTTTCTTCATTGGCAGTCCCTCTGCTTCTCCATGCTTTGTCACTTCCTCATGGTGCTGACATCTTCTGGACAATCATAAATGGCAATTTCAACAGCAAAGACTGGAAGATGAGGTTTGAAGCAGGTACCTCTGTATGAGCTTAAAAATTCTCTGGGGGGTCACAAGGTAAACCAGATGTCCAGTCATGACATCTCTTGTTGACCCTCCTTTCTCCTTCTTTTTTTCTAGAACTTTTAAAAAAGATTTTATTTGTTTGTTTGTTTGTTTATTTATTTAGAGAGAGGGAGAGTACACATGCAAGTGGGGAGGTGGGAGAGAGAGAATCTCAGGCCGACTCTGCATTGAGTATGGAGCTTGATGTGGTGTTCTATCTCATGACCCTGAAATCCTGACCTGAGCCAAAATCAAGAGTTGGACACTCAACAGATTGAGCCACCCAGGTGCCCCTTCCCTTTCTTTTTAAAGAGTATTACCTTCCTTGCTAGTGTCCTTTGGTGGTTCTACTTTAACTAAGTTTCCTTTATACTCGTATTTTGCAGAGTGACCCTCAGCTAGGATGACCCTGTTTAGGTTTGCCTAGGATAGTCCTAATTTATGCTTGTTGTCCAATTGTATTTATTAATTGTATGCTTATTTATTCTCAAATGATCCTGGCTTGATTGAGAAATTATACAGTCATCATAATACATGATATTATGCAGTCTATATAATATATAATATGACATGATACAATAGGTGACTTGCGTCAAAGTAACTGGGAATGTTTGTTAAACACTCGCCATTTCTAGACCTACTGAATTAGAATCTGGGTGGCTCAGTCCATTAAATGTCTGCCTTCAGCTCAGGTCCTGATCTCAGGTCCTGGGATCAAGCCCAAGTCAGGCTCTGCTCTGTGGGGGGTCTGCTTCTCTCTCTCAAATACATAAATGAAAATCTTTAAAAAAAAAAAAAAAAGATTCTTAGGGGGTAAGGCCAGGAATCTACGTCTTTAACAAGGTCTCCAGATAATTGAGTTCAAGTTTGAGAATCTCTGCTGTTATACCTTTTCCACTGAAGCATCAGGGATCAAATCTGGGCCAGTGATGGGTATAATTTCCTGGTGCTTAGAATGGCAAGTTCTCAGAGGAACATGGTGAGGAAGGAACCTGGACGTGTTCTCTTAGCCTCACATCTGCTGCCTTCACTGTCACCCCAATCTGCTAGTACTCCCATTCTTGGGAGCAGCAAACAGGGCCCACATGCCATGGTGTACCTTATCAAAATGGCTCTGTGTATTTCCATGTCTCCAAAATTTGGCAAAGAAATGGAAGTTCCATTAGGTGAGTTAACTATTATGCATTCCATAATATCTGGCCCCCTCAAAGAGTTCTTACTTTTTGATGCCCTGAGAATCCCTGGGGCTGATTTATATGATAACATCAGCTGTTGTAGAGAATTAGAGTAATAACATTTCCTAGCCTTGGGGACGCCTGGTATTGGCAACATTTTACAGGTATTTAAATACAAGTAAAGCAAATAAATATTTATGCTCTTTCATTCCAATTTAAGAATTATATTATTCTGAATCACAGCTTTGATTATGCTGTTTTTCTATTCAAAAAAACCTATGGAATGAATAAAGTTCAAAATAAAGTACTTACACGGACAATCAAAACATCTTCTGGTCTAACTGCCTTTATAGCCTCATTTCCTGCTCTTTCTGACACCCTGTTGCAACTTCTCCATTGCTTCCTGCTTCCCTCACCTTTTTCTTGGCCACTCTACTATCTGACATCCTCTTCTCTTCAAGGTCCATTCAAATGCCACCTCCATTGGATCTACCTTCACATGCCACCAGTGAGTTCCACCTTTTCAGTTCCCCTGGTGGAAAGTGATTTCTTTGTCCCTTGGTCTCCCTAGCATTTTATTTATACCTCATTAGTAGTATCTATAGCTCTTTATATTACATTTCAGTTATAGCCATACCTGTCTTATTTCTTTAGTCGACTTTTACACCAAGACTTGGGAGTGATTCATAGGTTGCTCAGGTTGTAACAGAGTGCCATAGAATGGGGGGCTCAAACAACAGACATTTATTTCACACAGTTCTGGAGGCTGGGAAGTCCAAGATCATGGTGCCAGGAACATATGGTTACTCTCTTCTCTGTGTCCCCACATAGCAGAGAGAAAGTTAGAGAGCTCAGATTCCCATCCTCTTCTTAAAAGAATACAAAGTCCAGCACGGGGGGTCTTACCTTCATGAGATCATTTAAACCTAATTATCTCCCAAAGGCCCCACCTCTGAATGCCATCAGATTTGGGGGTTAGTGCTTCAACATATGGATTTTGGTGGCAGGAGGAGAAGAAACACAAACACTGAATCCTTAACAATTCATTTTTCTATTTACTTCCATCCTCCAAGTATCTAGGATAGTTTCTTAGTTTTATATGTGTGTGTGTGTGTGTGTACATATTTTTAAGTATATATTTTAAATATATATATATAAATGTATTTTTTTTAAAATAAGTAAACTGGCAAATTTACTGAATAAATATTACATGTACTAGGCACTATGGGACCAATAAAAAGAAGTATTTAATTGATGAAACAAAATATAAACATGGAGGAGGTTAAGAAACTAAAGATATAAATATAATTCAAGAGCACAAAAAAAGAAAACATGTCCTGTAGCTACATATGAACATACAAATGCCTTATGTGAACAAACAGGTTGTAAACAAATAGTATTTTTTCAGGAGCTCATGGGACCAAAAGGCCACTCTAGGTCAGAGTAGACTTCACAGAACAGATAGAATTTTACCAGCAGGTTCTTTAAGGATGGTAAGAACATCAATAAGCAGAGAGGAACAGAAAGAATATTCCAGGCTACTGGAATAGCTTAAGTAAAGTACTAAAATGTTTTGTTTTCATGGCACTAGATTACTTCCCTAGCTACTTTAACGTTTTATAAAGCCATGTTTTAAGAATACCTGGAATCACTTAGCAGATTTGCAGAATGATTGGAAATCCATCTCTGACTGCCTTGCAGAGTTGGGTAGGGGATGGGGAAATAGGGGATGGGGATTAATGAGCGCACCTAGCATGATGAGTACTGAATAATGTATGGAATTGTTGAATCACTGTATTATACATCTGAATCTAATATAACATTGAGTGTTAACTATACTGGAATTAAAATAAGAAACTTAATTAGGGGCATCTGGGTGGTTCAGTTGGCTAAGCATCTGCCTTTGGCTCAGGTCATGCTTCTGAGTCCTGGGATTGACTCCTGCTTTGTCTCTTTGCTCAGTGGAGAGTCTGCTTCTCCCTCCTCCCTTCCCTCTGCTCGTTCCCCTCCCCCCACCTCATTGTCTCTCAAATAAATAAAATCTTAAAAAAATGCTTAATTAAAAAAAAAGAAATCTATCAAGTAAGCATGCATCTATTGCATATAAGGGCAGCCCGGGTGGCTCAGCAGTTTAGTACAGCCTTAAGTCCAGGGTGTGATCCTGGAGGCCTAGGATCGAGTCCTGCGTCGGGCTCCTTGCATGGAGCCTGCTTCTCCCTCGCCTGTGTTTCTCCCTTCCTCCCTCCTTCTCTCTCTCTCTCTCTCTCTCTCTCTCTCTCTCTCATGAATAAATAAAATCTTAAAAAAAAAAAACCAAAACATATGACTGCTATAGCCTTAGGAAGTCTGTTTGTCATTTCACATCATCATACACTAAGAATGTAGCAGGGGGTCCAGAATCCAAAGTCAGCTTAGTGGGTACCTCCTGTCTTCCTGTGTGGTCCATAGAAGGGCCCCTGGAATGGACAAAGAAATGAGCATGGAGGAATTTTGAATACTTTGAAATGTAGTTTGAATTAAATAATGAGGAGGACCATTAAAAAAAAAAAAAAAAAAGACAAGTCACAGCTAAATCAAGGCTGCCCAGCAGAAAAGTACTGCAGTAAGTAGAAACATTTTCTGTTGAACAGATGAAATGGGACATTCAAGAAGGTGGCATTAGAATTTCCTTTTGGTTTTTCAAAGCAGGGTGTGGGGAGCCCCAGAGTTAACTTTTTCTCTGTGGGTTAAGTTCTTGTCTAAATAAGTGTCATTTTTTTTGTCCTCTGCCTTTTACATTGCAGTGGAAAAAGTGGCTGTGATTTGTAGATTTTTGGACATTCACTCAGTGACCAAAAACCACCTGCTGAAGTATTCCTTGGCACATGCCTTCTGCTGCTTTCTCACAGCTGTGGAAGATGTCAACCCAGCAGTGGCTACCAGGGCCGGTCTCCTGCTTGACACCATAAAGAGGCCAGCATTGCAGGTGATGTCCCTCAGATGTGTGTTATCTGCTCTGTGGATGGTGCTCTGCTCTACTAAACACATACAGTACTAATGATGATGACAGCAAGAACAGTGGGAATTTTTAAATGGAGAAAAACATCCCAGATCCACACCTTATTAACAGATCTCTTGTTTTTATTTCTCACTGCTCTTTTCAGTCTTTGTCCATATAGTGATACCACTTTTGACAGATACAATACTTCTATAACTTTTTTTGTGTGGCAGATTTTTTAACTAGGCTGGTTTATCTTCTACTATTTAGCTAGCTCCTGGGCTGGGAGCTCTTGTCATTAGAGCCTAGATACTAAGAGAAATCATCTCCACAATGAATTATAGCATAAATCAAAGCAAGACCTGAGAAGGCAAATATGCCTACCAAAAGGAAAGTCAAAGGAGCGTGAAATATGAGACCTGGAGAGAGTCGTATATTTATTTTATTTGGTGCCTTTATTTTATAACTGAAGAAACCAAATCTCGAGATAATGTGAATCTTCAAAGGACACAATTCTTCTAACGTTCTAGTCTCCTGCCTTCCCACAATGGCATCTTGTTTATTACTATATCATTGTAATTAAAGCTAATAATAATGGCAAGAGCTAAAATTGGCCAAATAGGTATTGTCTTTCCAGGATAGTCTATTAAGCTTCTCATTATCCATTGTCTCATTTAATCCCCACAATAATCTTGTGGGTTCCCATTTTACAGATGGAGAAGCTGAAGGTTGGGAGAGGTAGGTAACTTTTTCAAAGTCACATGGCTAGTATGTGGCAGAGCAAACTCAGGTTCTGAGTTATAATAATGTCCATGTTCTTAACTGTATCTGTGTCTATACACTGCTTCCAATCCAGTATAAGCGTTCCTCCTGTAAAAGAGACCGAGAAGAAAGTGCAGGATCTGAGAAATTAGGTGGTTATGCTGACTGTGGACCCGCACTCCCCCTTATAAAAATTCCCACTTATCTTCTGTATACTCCTTCTTTGTTGGTCTTAAGATTAGGTAGTTGTGTGTCCCACCCCTGCCCAGGACCTGTAATGTAGGAAGCACTCAATAGGTGAGAATGGCATGAATTAATAGAATTTCCTGGATGAATTATGGATTTTAAATTTCATTCAGTTAGAAAAAAATGAGAATGGTAAGCAGGCTCAAATACTGGAAAAATGGATGCTCAATCCAATCAAACTTGATTCTTTGAGAGTCTGTGTATCACTAACATTCCAAGAAGACAAAATGAGTTTACTTTCTTTTAGAACCATGGCATTTAGCATTGAAGAGGAATTAGAAAACTGTATTGTATATTCTAAAATGTAGCTTTGGAAGCATGCTTCTTTTAATAGAAACTATAGACATTGAAAAAAGAAACATGAGTTTGGGAGCATTTGGATTAAGTGGTTATTAATGAATGCATTTGAAAACCTGTAACATACATTTAGTTTAGATTCCTGAACTAAAATTCAAGAGATATTCTATAATTAGAAGAAGTTCCTCTTCTGCACTTTATTTCTACCAAACTTGTAATAAAAGATTTCATTTGGATTATTCTACATGATATGTGTGAATTGTGGTGGTTGCCTTGTTTCACTGACTTTGCATAGTGTATTTAATTCGTTTGAAATAACTTAGACGTTTACATCTGACTTAACCTTTCTTCCCCCCCACCCGCCCCAGGGCCTGTGTCTCTGTCTTGATTTCCAGTTTGATACTGTGGTTAAAGATCGACCCACAATACTGAGCAAGCTTTTACTCTTGCATTTTCTTAAGCAAGATATTCCTGCCTTGAGCTGGGAGTTCTTTGTCAACAGATTTGAGACACTTTCTTTGGAAGCTCAGCTACATTTGGATTGTAACAAAGAATTTCCTTTTCCTACAAGTAAGCAAAATAAAGAACTTGCTTTAAACAGTCACAGTTCCTCTTCTATCTGCTAGCTAGGCAGACCATACTATGTATGTAGCTTAATTTCCCATTCTGGAGGATGCCTTGACTTCATGAACTCAGTTTTTCAAATATTTATTGAGTAACTCTGTAGTAATCCATAATAGATGAACTATTTTCTGGCATTGCAAAAGTGAAACTCTGCTCATTTCCTTGAGGACCTATGATAACCATTTTTGACTGTGTATTCCTTACATTTAACTCAGTTGTCATGTTTACAGTGTTTGTGAGCAATTTTGTGAGATAAATTTGCACCTTGTAAATTCACTTTAGCATGCTTATTAATAAGTTGGTTACCTACAGCTCTAAATAGATGGGAAGAATTGTCCACTCAACTATCTAATGATAATAAAAAAATTAGACAATGTAATCTTACGGTCTAAGTGGAAAAATCATAGACAATGGTCATGATAGGTAATAGTGATGACTTTTTATGTAAGATTCACCATAAAGAGATGAATGATTCATGTGTCCATGAAAGCGGTTAATCTTGAAAATACACAAAGAGGGATTGTTTTAAACTAGTTGTGCTGCATGACCCATTAAAGAAAATAACATCTAATTCCTTTTGCAAGCTATCACTGCTGTAAGGACTAACGTCGCTAACCTCAGTGATGCAGCGCTGTGGAAGATCAAGAGGGCTCGTTTTGCGAGGAACCGTCAGAAGAGTGTGCGTTCTCTGAGAGACAGCGTGAAGGGGCCTGTGGAATCCAAGAGGGCACTCTCTCTTCCTGAGACCTTGACCTCCAAAATTCGTTGAGTATCTTCTTCCATCCTTCCTTTAAATCTGTTTAATGTCTTTCTGAGGCTGACTTGTCTTGTTGAGTGTTCATAGAGAGTAGCATGTTTAGCAAACTAAGCTCCTTTAATAGGTTTGGGCTTCAGATTCCCTAGAGGGTCACCCCCAAGAATGTCAGTGTCCTGGGGGGCTTTTTCCAGTTTGTGGGTGAAGCAAAGCCCTGGTCCAGCAGTAGATTGTTTTGAAATGCAGAAGGCAGCAAATCCACTGACTTGGCTAGAAACATAGAAGCAGCATCTGCTCCTGAGTCCTAGGACATAAGTGTAGGTACTACCAGCCCTTGTAACCTAAGAGCTTCCTGAAAAAGATTTGGGACAGGTCAGACCCATGGCAGCTGAGGAGGCAGAGTGGAAATTTGGAGTGGATTTGCTTTTCATATATGATGGAAACAGCCAAACAAGCTCCCAGACAAACCAAAAATAATGGTTGCTTTTGAAAAGGAAAAGCCAGCTGAGGAGAAGTTGAATTTCTGTGCAGCTCCACCAGATAATTTATAAATAAAAATAAGCTTCATTGGCAACTTAAAAAAAAAAGACCATGTATACTTGTTTTCTAAAGGTCTTTCTTTATATTGTGCTTTGAAAGAAAACAAAAATTTCCCTAAATTACCAGATGACTAAATGAACTCTAATGATTAGCAGTGGCTCATCAGTGACAAATAAAAATTCATAACTAAATAACCATATTAGTGAATGAGTATATTTAAGTATGTTACTAACTTGTAAACTTTATCAAGTGATTTAATTTTTAAATAACTTCTATGAAATTCATAACACAAAACCATAAAACATATTTCTTATCCTGTCAGAAGTGGAAAGGTTTGCTTTTCTCACTGGCATTGTATTAGAAGACAACCTTATATAACATAATCATTTTTAATCACAAATATGATTTGATTTTTTTTATTACATTTTTCTCTATTTTATGACAAGCTATAAAAATGTGGTATTGCGAACTTTGGAAGAAGTCAGTGAAAGCCCTTCAGCAATCAATAACTCAGTTTATCAGGGAGCAGAGATTATAGTAGGTGGCCATTTAAGAATAACCTGTGGTAGTCCTATGCCCCAGGGAAGACCGAATCAGATACTAGAAGCCAATATCTAGATTAAATAAATTATAATTTCTATGAATTTCCCAGTTCTTTTATAACTTAACCAGCCACTTTGGGATATAAGGTTAACTTCTTGTTCTTTTCTTGTTAATTGATTCACATAACAATTTTGAAGACTACGAATTTAAGTAACACTGAAAGGTGTTCCTGAGATTCACAGAAAAACACAAAGCTTTTGTGATGCAAACATCTTTTGTGAGATGTTAATTACAAATAGGAAAACTAAACTTAAAACATGCCCCTACTATCCAGTGAGTTAGAACTGAGTGTATTTTCTAGGCTCAAGTTGTTTTTAATGCTTATTTCAATAGAGTTGTTGTTGATTTTTAAGCTATGAGGTTGACCAGGCATGAGCAGTCTGCTCCAGCTCTCGGTGGGACACCTGAACAGACACCAGGTGGGTACTTCTGACGTGGAAGGGCTGTATGCAAGTGTCTATCCCAGGTGGACAAGGTAAAGAATGCAGTGTCTCTAACTGGACCAGAGTGCTATATTTAGAATTTGCAAACTTGAAGGGTCTTACCCCAGATGCTCAAGCATTTGAGCCCCTGACATAGCAATTCTTTCTATCTTAACATGGGCAGATGTCTTTTGATCCCATTAACTTTTGGTCCAGTAAGAGGTATTACGTTAACTGAATATGCACTTTTCCCCAGAGAGCCAGTATGACCAGAACTATACATAGTACTTATATTTGTATGTGTATTTGTACATACAAATATTGTATTCATATATATCCGCTATAGGAAAAACATACATTTCATTGACATTTTAAAAGGCTATATATTTGAGCCACCATCATTCACTCATCCCTGTAGCCATTCTTGATTCTTTGCAACTCTACATGCATTTCTGTCTCTCAGGGAAAGGAGGATTTTGATTGTTTGGAGAACCCTAGGATCATATTTGACTTGGTACAGTGTAACTACTATTCGATATCCCATGAAAGATTGTAGTTTATCATGAAGGATCTTAAGGATCGAAGGGATACTGGCAAGACTATTACAGACTGAATGTTATCTATGCAAATGGTGCCACAGTGCACTGGGAAGATTGTGAAGGGTCTGAATAGCTGCTCATTTGTCAAAAACAAACTTGGTAACTACCACCTGCATGTCATGCTATAGAAAGAACATTCGGTTTTTCATCTAAAAATAGTTTTAAGGTAAACTTTTCAGAATGGCCTGAGAAGGAGGCCTTTAGGACCAAGTATGCTAAATGTTATAAACCTGATGCCAGAAAGAGAGGCAATTAGGGATGAGGGTGATGGGAAGAGAGAGCCCCAAAGATGATGAATGCTGACAGCAGGTGTTGACCAGAGTGTATTTTCTCTTTTAAAATTGTTGACAAAGAAGGATTAGCAAACCCCTGGCCTGATCTCCCTACCTGTTTTCTGTATCAGTCGGGCTTCAAATGTACTGGGATTAAAAAAAAGAGAGTAAAAGTAAGGTCTTCTGATCCTGAGCTCTGCCACAATGCAAAATCCATGTGGTTCCCCTTCAGTGAGATCATTTGGAGATGCATCTTAAGCAATTTCATAAATTATCTTTATTTTACCCCATCTTTCTGTTTTTAAGGCTTAGTTGAATTAATTATTCAATTAAATCCTTTAATTATTATTATTACCCATTTTCACAATACGAAAGAGTCCTCTCACATCTCTGTGGGAAAATGTATTCATATGTTTCCTGAGGTTAAAAAAAAAAAGCCTTTGGGCCTCTAATTGTCCCACCAAATGTGACCAGATGGAAATGGGGCAGATAACAGTGTTATTTATATTAAAATATAAAGCTAAAGCTTCTAGAAAGATAATTTACACACCACCGCTCTAATAAAACCTTGCTTAGATTTGGAAACAACTGGCTTAGCTTCTAAGGCCATTTCAAACTAGTTTCTCATTTTTGCACTGTTATTTACTAGACAGTAAATTTTTTAACTTGGGAACAAAGACATGCCAGGATAATCATGAGATCATAGAGGATGGTTTAAGATAGTAATTACGTGGAAGCTGAAGAACCCGATACTCACCGAACATACTTTTATTTGGTGTAAGTCTTAAGCTTCTCTGGACAGGACCTCTTATTGGTTGGGCCTGAAATAAAGTCTGTTCCCTCTAGTTACACAGCAGGAGTTGATTTTAACAGCTGTTTAGGCTGAGCTTTTTTGACATTGGACTTACAACTACTGGCTTTCTGATCGTATCTTTTACATATTACCTACAAGAAATTATGCGTCAGAAGCACACTTATCTGAAGGTATATTCCACAAGGCTAGTGAAGAGCTGCATTCCTTTATGATTAGCATGAGTAAAATCAAAGACCTTTGCTCATGTGAATGACATTCATAGGAAATTACAGCTGGAATATTAGAGATATGCTAACGTTATTATTTTACAGAAGAGGAAACTGAAGTTCCCAATAAGAAACATGTTTCACAAAAAAAAAAAAAAGAAAGAAACATGTTTCACAAACTTGTTGGTGATAGATCTGGGTCTCAAGCCCAAGCATCTTGATTTCTTATGCAAGGCATGCATGGTAAATGCCAATAAGAGCTCAGTACTTTTCTTTAATCCTGATTGGTGAAATATAGTTTCACCTGCTAATCTGAAATTGGTATTATAGTTACTTATAAGGTGTATTTCCACTTATTCTGTGAAAACGAGGAATTATCTTTGGTGATTCAGAATAATAATTATTGATTAATAATCAGTAGGTTATTGATTATACCTAATCAATAGGTTATTGGTTATTAATAACAATAATCTGTGTTGACAATTTAGTATAATATAACAGTTTTGATAGGTTTTCATAGCACAACACTGAAAGACTGGTATCTACTCCATGTGGTCACGGGGAATTCAATTATATCTTGTTCCTCAGCCCCTGAAATGAATAAATAAACAATGGTAGGTATTTAGTAATGATAATAACAACACTTGATGTATCTGTAGTACCTCTTTATCTCTTAAGAGTGTTTTTAATACAAATAATCTAATTCTGATTTCACAATGACTCTGGATATATGTAAAGTATTATTATGATTTTTTTTGTTTCACATATGGAAAGGAAAACTGAGGTCCTGGGGGATTAATTAATTCTACTAAGATAACTTGAGATCATATATAACTGACTAGCTGCTGACTAAAGCTTGGGTCTAGAAGACTTGATTTGCTTTCTTTCCACTATAATTACCTCTTGATGCCTTGGTATTAGGGCGTTCCTGTCCTGTGGCACATGAAGACACCAGTCTGGTTTTAGAGCTAATGTGGGCACTCATGTCTGCTACAGTGTGCTTAAAGATCATGAACGTCCACACCAAGAGACCTTTCCATTTAGGACCTACAGATTGGTCTAGAAGTGTCCTACTCCCTAAAGCAACATGGATACTCTCAGTTCCAGCTTGAAGAGAAATCTTGAGAAGATCTCTTGGTCTGAATTTGTATGGGCCTTTCTCATATGGGCCTCTCCTGCCCCCTTCCTGCCCCCCCCCCGCCTCCACCCTGCTCCTGTTAGTGTCCCAGCATAAAACTCCAAATTACTTCTCTTTGGGCTCTCTCTTTCTTTCTAGAGGTGATCAACAACTCACATCTTCACTAATTTGCAAAATACCTATTGATCATGAAGATTCAATAACTCAGAACAGTTATTTTTTTAAATTAAATTCAATTAGCCAACATGTAGTACATCATCAGTTTCAGATATAGTGTTTAATAATAATTTTAATAGGAATGCCCTTGTTTGAAATAATAGTTTGGGAAATGGCAATTTCTATTGAACAGATATTTATTGGGCACCTTTGATACTAGGAAATATAAAGAATGCAAAAATACCTTGGAAATCTCTATATTCTCAACTTGATATAGTCAAGGAAGGCAGATAAAGTGTGAACATGAGTAAACTCATCTCGTGTGAATGTGACAGTGCTATGGGATGGTTCACATCAGGCACAGTGGGAAGAGAGCTGGGGGCAACAGGGACAGTCTTGTAGAGAGGTGGTTTTCCAGCCAGGCCTTGACTGGTGGATAGGATGTAAAGGAATGTTTGTGGGATAGGAAGAGGCAAAGGCAAGGATGAGGAACATGGGACAATATGGAGTTAGTCACTGGCCACAGCTTTGCAGCCCTTTTACTGTGTATGCACACAACAGAACTGCTGTGAATGGAACTTTAAATTGGATTAATGGGTTAGGGAGATCAGAGAGGTGGTTTAATTAGAGCTAGCAACATAATGCAAATTCATTTATGGTGCTTGTTCATTGGTTTCTCTGCAACAAATGCAGAGTAAGCTCATGGAAGTGGTGCTTCCTTCCTCTACCTAATTTGCATTTGTTGGTTTAACAGAGGGCTTGGTGTGAGTCGGTTTACACAGATGAATATTCCCCATTTCCTTGCTGTTTGGGGACTTCATCAGTTTTTCTCATATATAGAAGTAATATTTATCTGAGATGTTTATTTGAATCCAGTGTACTTAGACACTTAAGAATAAGCACCTAGTATATATGTCAGACGCTGCCCCCTATTCTGTGAGGGATATAAAAATGAATAAAACATGGCAAGTTACCTTCAAGGAGCCTTTGGTCTCCTTGGGGAAATTGGCAAATGAGTAAATTGAGAGTTCTGCCTCGCAATTTGCCACATGTTAGGAAATGGTAAAAGCAATTTTCCTCTGTTCTTCTCTCTCTCATCCTCCCTCTTTTCTTGTCTTTGGTGATTTATAGAATTTAGAGATCACACCCAATTCCTGAGAGGAGGGTGGGAATGTGTAGTAAGAATGGCTTCTGAGGACCGAATTCACAGGATGAGATTGGCTAGGGGTGTGGGTGCGGGGAGAATAGATCACCCTGAGCAAAGACACAAAGGTGGAAAAGTGTTGGCTGTTGTTCTGAGATCTATGAGTAGCCCAGCTTGTAAGAACATTGAGCATTTGGGGTGCAATAATAAGAGATAAGTCTGGAAAAGCAGATCCTGATCCTGCCTGGTTTCAAATCATCAAAGAAATAAAATCATATTACACTTTGGAGCTTCAATCAGTTGTGCCACTTTGTAGACAGATTGTGATGGACCTGGTCCATGATAAAGTTACAGTAGGAATAACTCTGCTTCATGATTCTAAAAATGCTTACATTTTTCTTTAGAGAAATGATAAAATCAAAAATTTTAACAAGTTAAATATCTATGGTTACATATAGGAATTTCATAGACTAGAATTCAAAAATGTTTTAAATGTCCTATCTTAGAGACAATATCGTAGGCATTAAGTTTTAAAATGGAAATTTCATACCCTTTGTAGATAACTAAAGCAATATACTGTCTTTATGAATAAAGAAAATTCTGGCTTTTCTAAGCTAATTTTTTCTTAGTTGATTAAGGAAACTTTCCTTTATGAAGAGTATACCAGTAACAAGCTTATGCTATTTTAAAGAAAGATAATAGATAAGGCATAGACTTGCAAAGCCCTCAACTAGATGAATATATTTTTGGAATGAAGTTTTTTTTCACTTAATGCAAAAGGCTTTATCCACTAGTTCTTTTTTTTTTTTTTCAGTACATTTAATGGTTTGTTAAAGATCATTCATTATTGCCTGTTCAGAGAAAGCAAAGAGCAGCAAACTTAAAGCTAAAACATGGAAGATCAGCAAAGACGTACTTCAAATGAAAATAGGGCACTTATGAAATGGTACTTAATCATTAGGAAAATATGATTTGATGGGAAAAGTTAGGTTGCACATTTTATCTTAGTTTACTATTTTTTTTTGAGGAGGGGTGCAGCAGAAAGAGGGAGAGAGAATCTCAAGTAGGCTCCATGCTCAGTGCAGAGCCTGCTGCAGGACTCAATCTGGACCTTGAGATCATGACCTGAATCAAAATCAAGAGTCAGAAGCTTAATTGACTGAGCCCCCTCAGGGGCCCCAGGCTGTACACTTTTTAAATGAACGTCTACTTGCAATGAGAAAAAGAATTTTGAAATATTAATATTTAGAGATGAAGTCTAATGACTTATTTTCTACAGAGCTAGGATAGAATCAAATAAGGAGCCAGTGTCTTCGTGTTGGGCCTTGTGTGGGAGCTCCCTGGATTTTCAGGGCTATAAAACAAAGGGGTAGCTCCTTCCCCTACAGCTCCATAGCTCCATTTTTAACATGGGGACTTTGGAGTCTAGCCAGTCTGAACTTGGAGGGGACTGAGCCAGGCAGTGCTACAGGGTCTCTTAAACCTTACCCCCCAGAGCTGAAACAAATGGAGGAGTGAAGCTATATTCTAATAGCCATCCTTGCTGCTGTAATAGCATTGAATCCTGCAGGGAGCCTGCATTCTCACACTTGTCACATTCTTGGCCCAAGCTCGCCCAAAGCAATAACTCCTTCTAGTTGTAAAGTAAATATTCTGTAGGAGAAAGAAATCAAGATTAAATATTTCTCAGTGCTGGAAAGATAGTTCTCTAAACTTTTTCTATTTTATTTTATGGGGATTTACATTAGTAGTGCATTTGGTCTGATCTTTTATTCCAAACATTTAATTATAGTACATAGCAATGCTTCACACTTCTGGCCTTTTGGTGAATGAAATAGGGTGTTCCACAAAAATTGACTTTTTATCCTGGTGGCTGATGTGTGCCTCATGGAATGAGGGTATTAACAATTTACTGATCACTGTCATTGATGCCTGTAGAACGCTGTAATAAACAAGTCCTTAGGATTTATTTGAATGATTTTGGATAAAAGCTTCCCTAACGTACATCACCCACATTTACTTTTCATACACAGACTCTAGGAGACAGAAAATGTTAATGTCCTAGGGTCATATTGAAGTTTATCAGATGGTTTCCTCTAAATGGGAGGCTCTTAGATTTGATTTTGTTGCTCTTCACCCACTATCAATGATCCCTTCTCAGTATATCACTTTTGAGCCAGATGGACATTATTCTGAGCGCCTGAGGGAAAACTAGACAACCAAGCTTGTTACCTTACATGTAGTTCTAGACTAGTAAATTCTGAATTTACATTACCTTCATTTTTTTTAACATTACCTTCATGCCACTACTCCAGAGAAAAGTGTTTGACCTTGAGACAGTTAATTTCCACAGTCTCCAGAAGCATTTCTTCTATCCTACTTCCCTTGGCTGTGTCCTGAAAGATTGAGATTTTGCTAAATTAGTTGAGGAGTTAATGGATATAAATTACCACCTATTTCCTTTTTGTATCTTTTTGCCATAATTATATGATATATATGATATATGACATAAACATGGTTTGGTTTATGATGGTTCATAACCAAAGCCTGTTGTTTAGCAGAAATTTTCTTTGCAGGGTAGGAGATGAGAACTGTGGTGGGTGTCACCTAAGCCTCCCAGCAAAAACCTTATTTTCAGTCTAGAAATTCTGATGTTGTTTGTCAAAGAAGGGATAAGAATGCAAAGTGTATTTTGAATAAGTTCCCAAACATAGAGAAGAGCAAATCTCATTCTTCCTTCACCAAAAGTCCTCAACTAAACCAGATCAGGAGAGAGAGAAAAACAAGCGGAGATAGGGTATAATTTCTGACTTTGACCAATAACAGAGAGAAAGTCAAAGTCAGGGAGATTCTCAGATACAATTATTTGTTAAGAGTGAGTCCAGTGCTAAGGTATTTTTTTCTTTTCGTGTAAACTTTCAGCTCACCTTCATGTGGTGTTTTTCTGTTTTTAAAAGCTCATGCTTCTTTCTTCCTGTCTGTCCCCTCCCTTATGTGTTTCTCATTTCATCCAGCAGGGCTTATAATTTGCTATTTATAATTTTGACTATATTCTTCAGAGAGTACCCACTGCTAATATCTCAGGATTTGGAAAAGAAAACTTTCCCCCCCACCAGCTGATTTATGAACATAACTGAATTGAGATAATAATTTAAGCAAAATAGCTCAGTGGATTTTAGAATATTATTTTTGTGGTTATTTTTATGTACTTATTTTTACAAAGCTGGAGGAGAAACTTCTCTTTATCACTGAGGATAAAACTTTGCCAAGATATTTTAAAAATCACTAAATACAAAGTTTATTTAGCTATTTTTCTTGCCATTTGAAGAGAACCTTGCTATATATAGTGCCTTATTTCTATTTCTATTCCCTTATTATCCCCAAATTGCTTGGTTGTTGATGAACACAATAACTTCCATCCCTGGACTTTGCTTAGTAGAACATATTTTGCCTTTAAGTTTGTCTAGAACACAACCTTTAAATATTCAGTGGAAGCAGAAGGAAGGATGCTGTACCCATAGGTGAGATTTTAGTGTGACCTTAACTTCATTGTGAGGGAGCCACCCACTGATGGCCTTTGTTGTACTGACAGGACAACAATCTCCTGAGAATGACAACACCATCAAGGACTTGCTCCCAGAAGATGCTGGGATCGACCACCAGACAGTTCACCAGCTGATTACAGTGCTCATGAAGTTCATGGCGAAGGATGAGAGCAGTGCCGAATCAGACATCAGCAGTGCGAAGGCCTTCAACACAGTCAAGCGGCACCTGTATGTCTTACTCGGCTATGACCAACAGGAAGGTTGCTTCATGATTGCACCACAAAAAATGCGCCTGTCAACTTGCTTTAATGCATTTATTGCCGGAATTGCCCAAGTAAGTGTAAGCTTTCAGGAGTCATACCATTAGGGTTTTAGTAGAAACAAATTATTAAATTCCATTTAGCCAACATTAGTTCTGTGTAGAGGTTTGTGCAAGTTACTTTATTAGGCAGGAGTATGTGGAAGGGAGTATAAGATGAATAAGACTAATAAGAATTTTTTTTGAGGGGGCAGTGAGAGTAGAGTATACCTTACACATGAAATTTACCATTTTAACCATTTTAAAGTGTGAAATTCAGTGACATTTTTTTTTCCAGTGGCATTAACGAGAGTCACATTATTATGTAACTGGAACAACTATCCATCTCCAGAATTTTTTCATTATCCTGAACTGAAACTCTACCTATAAAACAACAGGGGAGTGTAGAAGTTTTGTGTATGGGTTTTTTTTTTTTTAGGATTTTATTTATTTATTTATTCATGAGAGACAGAGAGAGTGGCAGAGACACAGGCAGAGGGAGAAGCAGGCTCCATGTAGGGAGCCCGATGTGGGACTCGATCCCGGGACCCCAGGATGATACCCTGGGCTGAAGGTAGGTACTAAACCACTGGGCGACCCAGAGATCCCCTGTGTATGGTTTTTTTAAAAAAAATCTTTTATCCTTTTTGGCTTCAAGTGGAGAGTTGAGATAATCATACAACTTATTTCGTGTTACATTATCATCAATGGCTTTTTCTAGATTTGTCTGCTACTCCTAATGGCTGTATTTTATACTATGGTGTACATTTGCCATGCTTTAACTATCCATTCTCCCAGTGATGAACACCCATATTGCTTGCTCCCAACTACTTACCACTCCAGACAGCTCAGCAATGAACATTTTGCACATGCACCTTATCCACCATGGAATTCCTTTGACATATGTATGCAAGAGCAGAATTAATGGATTATTTTTTTCTGTATGCCTAACTTGACCAGTGCTACAAATCTCACTCTCCAGAATGGCTGCAGCAGTCTGCAAGGGTGTAGAACTTGAGGCTGGAGAGAAATTGATATGAATTTCAACTCTGCCACTGTTATTATCTGTTGTGACCTTAGGCATCCTCTGCTTCTTTGCCCATGGGTTACAGTTTTTGTTTTGAAAGATTAGAGATAACATATTGCAGAGCACTTAATCAGTGCCTGTTTCATGATAGGAACTATAATGGTAACTGTTATCAATTTGCTCAAATAGATTATAATATAATGAACACAGATAAGTAAAGTAGGAGCAATATGTATATAGTTGTCTTTTGTCAATGCTGGTGACTAGATGGATCACCACTAATACTCAGTTGTTTGTGATGTGTGAAGAGAGGATGCACCATTTCAGATACTGAACGCTGTCTTCCTCCTTTCTTCCCTCACTTTGCTCTTTCTATATTTAAATTACGCATATTTATTTAATAAAGTAAAACATTAAATACAAATCTCCACAAAACCCATGACAAAATAAGTCACTAACATTTTGGTGCATATTTCTGGCTACAAATTTATTACTTTCATATTTACATATATACATTTATATGTGTATGCACAGATTTTCTACAGCATATTATCTGTATTGATAAATATATGTAACCTTTTTTTAAGCCTAAAATTGATTATGAAGTTGATATCATGTAAATAAATTTGCATCATATCCCAGTGAATGGCTACATAGTATTCTATTGTCATACAAATACTCTTTCACTTAACTCATCTTGTATTGTTGAACATGGAGGTTATTTTGAACAGGGAGGTTATTTTTGATCTGGGGTGACTATAAGGCTAGATATCTTTATGTATCCATTTTGGAATAGTTGTCTGACTTTTTCCATAGGATATATACATTTAAAGGCAGGCTATGTACCTTTCCTTCCTTCTGAGTAGATATTGCTAAATTGCTTTCCTGAATTTAGCAGTATGTGTTGAGTAATCCTCTTGCCAGTGGCATCTAAGAATGCCGTTTCCCCCAGTGTTTACCAATAGTAGGTGTTTTCATTGATTCTAATATAATTCTAGTTAATAGCTTCAAAGGACACTTGAATAGATAAAGTTTTATTTTCAATAGCTAATGCAGTAGATACATGAAATAAGTAGTTAAGTGGATTGAAATGATTTTAATTTATAAGTTTTTTTAAAATTTCTCCCTTTGTGGTAACTGGCCATTATGTTAACATTCTGTGAGATGCCTTTTCAGTATTTTGCCTGTTGTTTGATGGTTCAGATTTTCCTTTTGGCTTCTGGGTGTTCTCTATAGTTTTTCTTCAATTCTTAATATTTTTCCTGTTTCAGGTAATGGACTATAACATTAACTTAGGAAAACACCTTCTCCCTCTGGTGGTTCAGGTGCTCAAATACTGCTCTTGTCCTCAACTGCGCCATTATTTCCAGCAGCCTCCTCGTTGTTCTCTCTGGTCCCTAAAACCTCATATCCGGCAGATGTGGTTGAAGGCCTTGCTTGTCATCCTTTACAAGGTGAGTTGCTATGGTCAGTCTTTTGTAGGGTGAACTTTATTCTCTTAGAGAGGAGAACACTTAAGGGATCTAAATGGAGAATTTTGTAGGATAGAAATTTGACCTCCAGGGGACAAACCATGATGTGTACAATTAGTGTTGAGAACTAAAGGATCATTGGAATGCAAACAGCAGTAGAGACCATGTCAATGTATGTGCTACAAGTGTTTGAAACAAACAAAAATGATGAGGTGTAGGAGGTTGTGATCCACAATCTCTGTGTACACTCAGCATCTCTTATTTTATCTATGTGTAAATCATTCTGTCAGAAAGCAAGGAAAATATTTAAAATTGTATTCATACACCAAGCGTTTATGCCAGATAATTTTCTTGAGAGAAATTTTAACTGTGAACTGGCATGCCTTGCCGTCTGTGGTTTGGTGCAAGAGTAAGGGAATACAGTCCCTTGTCAAAATAAGGCCCTGATAAAAACTTCTGGTTTTGCTTTTCTGTATATTTCTTTTTAACTCCAAGAAGTACTAAGAAAAGTATCTAGCAAGATCATGTGGAAAAACTTACCCTTCAAAATAACCATTTATATTTTTCTCCCTCCATTTTATTGAGCAGTATCCATATCGAGACTGTGATATCAGCAAGGTCCTGCTGCATCTGATTCACATCACAGTCAATACACTCAATGCACAGTATCATAGCTGCAAGCCACATGCCACGGCAGGACCTTTGTACAGTGACAACAGTAACATAAGCAGATACAGCGAAAAAGAAAAAGGTACTTTACATATCTCACTTCTATCCCAAACTTAGCTTGTATATGTAGTACATTTCTGAATAATGTTTTTCTTAGAAGATAGTGGAGCACCCGCAGATATCATTCTGAAATCAAAAAAATCACCTACTACTTCATTAATATTCCAACTTTCTCATGTATGTTGCTGCTTTAATTTTTTAAATGAGCATTCAAGAGAAATAGTTGATATACTTCTGAAGCCCATTTCATGAGAAATGTTTTGTAAAAAAAAAAAAAAATTGCTGTTTGGTTAAGGAGCCTTTGTACGCCTTGCCCTATGTGTTGGAAGCATCTTGTTTTGGGCCGTGAAGTAAATCTTGGTAGTCGGTGGAGCCATGGTCTTGTCTCTAGTTTGCTTCTGAACTTTGTGCTCACAGATTTGAATGGAATTTAAATTTGCTGAAATGTTTCTTCCCATCCTCCTTGTTCAATAAGAAAATGTTTTAAGGCAACAATAATGAAATTTTTTTTCTGCATAGGTTTAAATTATTTCTAGTATCAACACCTTTTTTATTGATAGCTTTTCTGCAAAGGAGGCAGTCAAATGAAACTTTAGATAGAGTAAAATCCCAACCAGGATTTTTTCGGGTGAGAACTGTCTTTAGTATAAGTCACAAGGTGTCTAGACTCTTGTAAAAGGTGGCATCATCTAATCTATCTTGGGAGAAAGCCAAGCACCCCATGACCCTTTGTGGTGTTAGTAGATTCTGACTTGGTAGGACTGCTCTAGAAATAACCTCACTAGGGTGGATCGAAGCTAGTGTTCATTTATTGCTAAAAGATCCAAGAATATAGGTTGGCCACAGACAGAACTGTGAGAACGAAGTTCTGGTGCAATTCAGAACTTTCCTGAAGAATATCTTGTCTACCAGCTTAGGTCCCAATTTCTGGAGAATTGGATAGAGTGCATCAAAGTATAGCTGTCCTCAATCCAGGCTCCGTGTTTGGGCCAATCTCAGAAAAGCCTCTCTGAAGGGGAGGAGCCATCTCCAAGTCCTTCCATCTCTCATTTAGGACATTTGAGAATTATTTCAAAATCATGTAATGGAAGTCACACAACCATTTCCTTGAAAAACTGTATTTTTCAAAAGGGAATATATTTTTTAAAGGATATAAAGAAATAAAACAGATTATAGTGTTGCATCTTCCCAGGAACATGGGAACTTGATAGGCTTTGTCATCTTTGCAGAAGTTCATCAGGAGTTTTGTATCATTTTGATCATTAACACTCATTTTTTTTATTTGACTAAAGAAGATTAGTATGATTATTTTATCTATCATCTGTTGCTTCAAATTTTACTTCGTTGTAGAGTCTTGTGTTTGAGGACAGGATTAGTCCTTAAAATTTGGCTCTCTTCTTATACAACTCCCTGAATACTCAAGAAATCTTAGTCATAATCACACACACCTGAGCCTCATTTTATCATATAGATAGATATAAAATAGGCCAAATACTATGGCTTCAGTGATATTCATCTTGAATTCCATTTATTGTGGTATGAAGTGTATTTTTGTAGCTTTTTAAATTCTACTTTGTACCAAATTTTGGCCTTTCCAAAGGATGAAAGAAGAAATATTATTAAGTGAACTCTATGGGTTGCAACATAGCAATCCTTTCCTCATTAATGTATTTATGACTTTACCTTTGGTTTAAAAGTGGCCAAATAGAGATAAAAGAGTACATAGAAATAATCTTGCTAGGCACTCTAAGTGACAGATTTGTTTACAGAGCCTCAGTATCGTCAAAGAGTCTCTAGGATGCATAATAGTTACATGTGGCAAATTCCACAGAGAAGGGTCTGACTTTAATATGGGGGAATGTTATTTTTTGTTTTCTTTTTCCTTTGTTTACTTTTTCAGTCCATAATCATTTGTGGAGCTTTTGAAATGACCAGTGGCTTTTCTAAGCTTTTCTGTGTGTTGTGTGTTTCATTACCAAGTGTAGAGTACAGTATTTTGCATTCACAAAGTATAAGGTGCATGTACTGTTAGGCTGTGTCTATGCCAGTTCTCACATCCCAGGAAGGCTTATATATTTTTGGAAAGGGCGAGATCTACTCATTTTGTTCAATTTTCTTTTGCCAAATTAGTCTGAAATTCACTCAAAGCAGGCATGTTCAAGGAGTGTCAGAGATTCTCAAAATGTGTGCGTGTTATCTGATTTTAAGACCAGTGGAAAAATTTCCCCATGAAGGCCCTATTGGAATATTGACATGCCTCTCTTGAAAATGCTGCCAGTTGTCACATGGAAAACGAGAGGCGACCTTGTAACAGGTTGCTCAATCAACATTTGGATAATTTGACATCTGAATGAAATACCAATGGCCAGAACTTGAGCTGGTGTAGCTATCAGCCCAGACTTGTTCCCTCATGCTTTCATTGAAATGCTTGTGTAGACACAGCCTAAGAGAGAGTAACCTCCCAAGTGTAATTTTGACTTTCTCTCCCCAATTAGAAGAAGATAGTGTTTTTGATGAATCTGATATTCATGATACACCTACTGGACCCTGCAATAAAGAGTCTCAAACTTTTTTTGCAAGATTGAAAAGGATAGGCGGCAGCAAAATGGTGAAATATCAGCCGGTTGAGATGAATGTTCAGAGAAGTATGAATTTTTTCCTCTTAGTAATTTTATGCAGAAATGTTGTACTCTACCGTTTGTTTGGGGTGAAATCTTAATTTTATTATGTTACTACACATTTTAATACCGTTGATTTTATATATATGTATGCACAAACAGTATATATATATCCACACTTATATATATACGTGACTTGACAGATACATCATTAACGTCATGATCGTCTTAGAGGGCCATTGCTTGATTTGATTTGTTGCAAAATGTTTGCTTCTCTTCCACACGAATTGAATACAGTTTCCCAGATCTGCCTCAGCCCAAAAGCGATCCCCTCTCCTGTGCACAAATGAATAGAGCTGAGGAATTATCCTGAAGTCTTATTTTGGAAATAAGATCTTAAACTGCCATTTCGGGTTCTCTCATTCCAGAGTTTTCTGGTTTTTGAAATTAGAATGAAACTACAAAAACTTGGCCAGAAAGTCAGTTTTACCTCCTGTTGGAGCTGGGATTGTGATTATGATTTATGCCAGTTGTATGCCCAAGTATGAGGGGAAAAGAGTGGTGGCATCTCCAAGTAAAATAGTACTAGCTCTTTCTGTTTTAATCAGGTGAAATAGAATTGGCCGAATATAGAGAAACGGGTGCATTACAAGACAGCATTCTACACTGTGTGAGAGAAGAAAGCATTCAGAAAAAAAAGCTGCGCTCTTTAAAACAAAAATCTCTTGATATAGGGAATGCAGACTCCCTCTTGTTTACATTAGACGAGCACCGGAGGAAGTCCTGCATAGACCGGTGCGACATAGATAAGCCTCCTGCCCATGCTGCTTATGTCATGCAAAGGCATGACCATGGTCGCCCCAGGCAGAATTCGGCTACGAGGCCTGACGACACTGAAGGCCCCGAGAACCCAGCAATGGAAAGCTTCCAAGAGACTCGCAGGCCTGTCATACCCGAAGTTAGGTTAAACTGCATGGAGACGTTTGAGGTCAAAGTAGATTCTCCTCTTAAGCCTGCTCCGAAAGAGGATTTAGACCTGATAGATTTGTCCTCTGACTCAACATCTGGACCTGAAAAGTGCTCGGTGCTGTCCACGTCCGACAGCGACTCTCTTGTGTTCGAGCCTCTTCCCCCTCTCCGCATTGTAGAGAGCGACGAGGAAGAGGAGACCATGGACCAGGGAACTGATGGTGCCTCCGGTCAAAACGCTGCCTCCTCCCCCTCCGCCCCCAGCCCCCACTCTGTCCTCAGCTTCAGCACAGCCCCGCTCGTGCAAGTAAGTGTGGAGGATTGTTCCAAAGACTTCTCTTCCAAGGACTCAGGAAATAACCAGTCAGCAGGTGCCACGGACTCTGAAGAACTTTCGAAGCCGGAGGAACCACAGGACCTTTCCTGTGGCAGCCCACTCACGCTCAAACAAAAGCGAGACCTCCTTCAGAAGTCCTATGCTCTCCCTGAGGTGTCCCTGGACGACAACCCCGAGCCCAGCATCGGGGAGGAGAAGCCCCGTGAGCTGATGCCAAGTTCAGGGACGAAAACCGTCCTTCTCAAAGTCCCCGAGGATACCGAGAACCCAACAGAAAGTGAGAAGCCCGACACCAGTGCCGAGTCGGACACAGAGCAGAATCCTGAGAGGAAGGCAGAAGAGGAGGGAGCTGAGGAATCTGAGTTCAAGATCCAGATTGTTCCCAGGCAGAGGAAACAGAGGAAGATTGCTGTCAGTGCCATCCAGAGAGAGTACCTAGACATCTCCTTCAACATTCTAGACAAGCTGGGAGAGCAGAAAGATCCAGGTAAGTTCGTCTCTATTCTTCCTCCCAGCCCGACATGCAGGTTTGTGCATCTTTCTCATTCAGGTCTCAGCACCGGGTATGCATCAAACTCTCAATCTTATAATGTCAGACAGTGACATTATAATTGCTTTGGAGTCACTCTGAATCCTTCCTGCTTCCCAAAGCATGTTGGATTCAGATGTGGTTCTACTGGCTCCATGAATGTTTCTGAATCGTTGTTTCTAAACTTTATCGTCCATTCTTGACCATCCTTGGCACTAAGAGGCAGTGGTTAATTCATAGCAAGATATCTCAGATATCATCTCAGCCTTCCTCAAATTGCAAAAGTCATCAATTTGAACTCTTTCTGCCTTCTTTGTTTTCTCATGCTTTAGCAAGCTTTGATACGTAGTCCAAAGAAGGAACAAACATGAACAGTTAAAATAAAGCACAGAGTGCTTAGAATGGTTAAGAATGGAATATAATCATGTAGGGTCCACAGTGGATCACATACTCTAACCAAATGTCAGCAGTCTGGTGGACATTGTGTGTGTTCAGGAACTGAAAAACCCCACTTGCAACCTACCCCCTCATTCATGGGCACCACTTGATGGTGAAGTTGTTATGGCACGTGGATTTCCTGCCTCAGGGGTCATTTCTTGCCTCTCCTTGGAGGCACTGTTTTTAAGAAAGATAATTTGAAAAAAGCAGCAAGCCATGGTGTACTTCATCCTAAAGCAGTCTTTTGCAGTATTACCATAATGCTGATTGCAACACTTCATGTCTCAGCTCTGATCTTAAAAAACAAAAACAAAAACAAAAAAACAATGTGACTCTTTAGAAAAAATGAAATTGGCCAGGAATGATCATTGTAGTAGATACATAACTTGTGGACCGCTGAGAACTGTCAAAGATCTTGGAGATTTATAGTGAAAATCTATCCTTTTCTGTAAGAGGAGACGGACGCTCTGAGGAAGTAACGTGCCTGGGTCCCACGGATAGGGAGTAGCTGTACCAGGACTATTGTCCTGATTCTAGTCCTTCCTCTCCCACTGCTCCACACAAAAGTAACTCCTAAGACAAGGGATTCAGATCTTTGATTTGCCCCGGCATTCCCTGAGAGTTCCAGCTGTTCACTACCTCCCAGAGCAGAGCTGTGTACCTCAAAGGTGCTCTGTAAAAATCTGTTGAATGAACGTTAGTATATTTGGAAAGGGTTATGCTCCAGCCAGGCAGGTGGAAGAATAAGAGCATGTCATAATAGAGTTTAAGAAGATTTCTAGGGAAACTGGGATACCTTCTTATTGTTTGGAGCCAGGAAAATTGCTACATATAGATGGAAAAAAGCATTGACCTACAGACTATAGAGGTCTATAGAGTGGATATTTAAGAAACCATGTAAGTCTATAGAGTGTGTGTGTATGATATATCAGTTCTGGTGTGTGAGTGTGTGTGTGTGTTGCCTCCTTTATCCATCCTATATCAGATTGTTTCCCAGGCTACCAGGGAGGAGATTGGTTTCATATTAATATGCCTGTTACCAGGACAAGAAGAAAGCATCTAATAATTATGATAATATGTTTTTTAAATATGTATATGTGATACTGTCATAATAGTTTTATATCTGTGTAGTGTCCTACCTGCCACAGACACACTGATCTATCCTCCCTCCCTTACTGGGTGCTGGAAGGAGGCCTAGGCTCAGAGTAAGACACAGGCTTCCCTAGACCTTCTTGCCTCTGTCAGTTGCAGTAGAGGGAGGCCCAGATATCTTCAGCTTCTAGTCCTTCCAAACTCAGAGCCTTGCCACTCACTGCTGATTGCCTTGAGCTACCAGGTCTGATTGCATCATGCACTTTCTCTCTGTTTGTATCAGACTCAGGTCACTTTTCTAATTTTCATAAAGTACTACACATCTCCTGTTTTGAACTTTTGTCTTACCTTATGCTAGCTACTGAAACCCTTCCTCCATCCTTCATAAGCAAAGTCCCTATATGCTGTCTCATCTGACTACTCTCTTCACGCCCTAGTCTAGAGGAAACCCGACTCTGCCCCCAAGGACACTGCTTCCCTCACTACCCCTGGGCTTGGGTGAGAGGTCGGCACCTTCCTTGCTTACAGCTGCCCCTTTCAGACCATTCCTACCTTGTCTCAAAAAAACCCAAAACAAACAAACAAACAAAAAACCCAACTCTGAACCTCATCTTACTGACCCTTGATTTTTTTTTTTTAATCTGGTAACAATTTGACCCCTGTCTCTTTTTTCACTCTTGTCTAAACTGTTTCTGCCTAAATTCTTATGATTCCAATATTAGAGTAGATGACCCTTCTGATGCTCTGGCTTCTCAGTTCCTTGAATTCATCTTCTATAGTGATTTTGTTTTTATCCTGCTCCCTAGCTCAGCTGTTTGTTCCCATGTTCATAACACAGACCTTGTTTTTACCAACAACTGCAGCCTTTCTACAGTGTCATTCTCATGCCTCCTGTTCCATTTCCTCTCTCTCTGGACAACCCTGTGATGGTCCTACTATCTTTCATGTCCCTCCTCTACTTGATGTCTTCTGTCCTCCTCCTTACTCAGGTCAATCAGTATAGCTCTCCCTCCCTGAACCCACTCTGGCCTTCACTTTTTCAGACTCTTACTTAAACACAATCCTTGTCATATCCATCTTTCCATCTACCCACACCCATACCTATTCAATGAGTGTGACTGGAGAAAAACACATAATATTGACTAGGTCTCATTTTAAGTTCATGGCCATAGATCTCAATGGGGCCTTAAAATACCTGTCAATCATATATTTCCCTGGGTAAAATCACGTTTCCATTCTCCTAAGTGACTATTTCATGGTGAATTGTCTTTCCAAACTTACAGTAACTCTTCCTATTTGACATAATCAGAAGAACTTTCCACAGCTTCCTACCACCTCATTTGCCTGCCTTCCAGCATCTATACTTGTACACCTGGCCTTTGTGGCAGGGTCTGGTTTTACTGCTTAAAGCCAGCCTTCCCACATGTGAACAAGATTCCATTTCTTTTACCTACTCAAGGATATTGGCCTAGAAATTCTCTTTTTTCTCCCACCACCCAAACCTTAGTTTTTTCTTCCTAAGATATTCTTTTTTTCCCCCCTAAGATATTCTTTTTATTTTTTCCCCTAAGATATTCTTGACTAGGACATACGGACATAATCTTTTTTCTTTCTTAAAAAAAGCGCCCTTGATCTGAGTTCTCCCAGTTATTATCTCATTTTGTTCCTCCCCTTTTAGCAAAACATTTTAAAAAATTGCCTTTATAATCATTATCTCTAATTTTCTCCCATTCTGTTCTTTCTAAAAAGAATTCATTCCTATGAAGCTTTCCTCCCTAGTGGCTCACCCAAATGTCACTTGTCGAGGTGACCAGTGACCTCCCCAATGGTCAGTTCTTAGCTCTTACCTCCCACTTTGGTTGGCTTCTTGTACACCATAATTTCTCGGTTTTCTGCTTGTTCAGTGGTCACTACTTCTCAATCTCTTTTGCTGGTTCCTCTTTATCTCTCTAATGAGGGAGTGTCCTACAGTCTGAGTCCTCTGACTCCATTCACTCTTTGGGTGATCTCATCTACATTATGATTTTACATACTGTCTGAATGCTGAGGCAAACTCACTCAGTTGCCTATTGCTGGAATAATACAGTGTAACAAATAAGCATAAAATCTTAGCAACGTATAATAATAAGTAATAAGTATTTATTTAATTGGACACTGTGGATTGGCTAATCTAGGCTGAGCTGGGCCGGGTGGCCAGTTTCTTCCTGGAACCTTTGAAGCCTGGGAATATCTTCTCATGGTGATGGCAGAGACTCAAGAGGGCAAGTCTAAATGCACAGGCACTTTTCAAGCCTTTGGTCATGTGATGCCTACAAACATTCCATCAGCCAAAACAAAGTCAAGAGGGAACCCAAAGTCAAGAGGGAAATATACCCTGCCTCTTATGAAGGAGGAACTTCTAAATCACATGGCAAAGCGCATGGATTCAGGGAGAAGTAAAGAATTGGAGCTGTATCTCTCAAGTTTTACATGGGATGTACTCATAATAAAAAATTCTCTATTGGTTATCTGAAATTAAATTTTAACTGGAGATCTTCTATTTTGTCTGGTCACCTTAATTTGCCTTCAGAATATATCCAGAATCTGGTCCCCTGCTTTCACTCTGCTCTGAGCCCCCACACCTCTCACTTGGGTTAGTGGCTATAGCCTCCTAATTGGTCCCCTGCCTTTTACCCTAATTGCCTTCATACCTTCCCAACACAGCAGTTAGAGTGATCCTTTAAAACGTGAGATTATACCATTCTTCTGATTAAAACTCCCCCCATTGGTTCTGCATTTCTTTAATAGTAAAAGCTCAGGTCCTTTATATTTCTGGAGTGCTATGTGCGGTCTCGATTCTCATTAGCTCTCTGACTTCATTTTGTACTGCTCTCACCACATTGCTTCTACCAGCTACAGTGGCCACCTGCCATTTTCTGAGCGGTCCCCACATAATCCACCCAAGGGCCTTTGCACTGGCTGCTCGTTCAGCCTGAAACTGTCTTCCCCACATGTCTACCTGGCTCTGTCTCTCACTTCTGTTGATCCTTTGATCAAACACCAGGTTCTCAATGAGGCCTGAACCACACCCCACCTTTCCACCCTTGTCTGGCATCTTGGAATCTCTTCTTCTCTGTTTCTTTTCTACAGAGAATTACTCTTATAACATATGATTTTACTTTTATATATATTATTGTCTGTCTCTCCCCACTGAAATGAAAGTTCCCAAAGGCAAGTTTTCTTGCCTATTTTGTTCAAGTGCGTAGAAGAGTTTGGCAGATGTTTGATGAATGAATGAATGGTTGTGGCATTTTCTACACATCACTATAAAAAAATGAGTGAAAATAATTTAAGCCAGTATATAGGTCTACTCCAATGTTTGTTGTCTTAAACTTATACAAATGAAAGGTTTTGTGAAATGATTTAGGATTGAACAAAAATTGTCTGGCTTGTGGAACCTTTGTATACAAGCAATTATTACCAGCTTGTTATAGTAATGACATTTCTTTAAAATTAAAGATACAGCAAAGATTTCAGTAAGCATAGCAAAACTCTAAAAGTCTCAATGATCTTTCAAAAAATTCTTGAAAATGAGCTTTAAGCTTTCGCATTCTACAATATTGGGGGGATTATTATGCCCTAGGAGCAGCATATGAAACAGAAGCAGATGAGGGTGAAGAGAGGTGATTGTGCATGTTTTTATTTATTTAATTTTAATTTTTAATTTTTTTTGGACTGTGTGTATTTTGAACTAGTGGTTTGGGGGGAATACCTTAGAGAAAAGTAATAGCCTAACCACTAATATCTTAGTGACTAAGGTAATTTAAAACAGGTCATTATTTTGCATTTACTCAAGAGGTTTCAGGAAACAGTTATACTTTTTTTTTCATCAAGAAATTATTAATCTGGCAACCATATTTATTTATTCAGAAAGACCTCTCAAAACTGGATGTTCCAGCATCAGTGCGTGAAAACTTTCCTCTCAGGCTCTCACCTAGGATCAGTTTTATTTCCCAACAAATTTAGTGTTCATCCAAGAGAATAGCATCTGCATACTTCAGTTATATGTATGTATGAATGTATGGTGACTTGCTCTGTGACAAGAAAAAAATTGACGATATGAAAAGAATGAGACAGAATAGTCTTGAAGCATGAGAACTTGAAGCCATTAGGAGGGGCATCCTCAAATCATAGCATGGACCATTCGTGGAAGTCTGTAGGGTAACAGGCTGCTCATTCTGTTCAGTATATAGTGTTGCTTAAGATGGCAAGGAAGTTTGTAAAGAATTGAGGGGCTTTGCTATGATAAGCCATTAAACTCTTCAAAAGTTATAAAGGGTAATCTTTACCTAGAATAGCGTGCAACAGCTTGTTTCCCATTACTGATAGATTAGTAAGACAACAGTGTATGCGGAAAATATTTCCTCTTAGATACATTTGTCAAATGGAAGGAGCCAGTGATATAGTCTGTTTCTTGCCTACCTAATAAAATAGAAAATCTATTTATACCAAGTTAGATACAGTCCCTGCTCTTATATTACTTATGGTTTAGCAAAGGTTCTACACAACTAAATAGACAATTACATTATAGTGTGTTAAGTTTGGGAAAGGTTAAGGACAGGGTGTTTTGGGATTACATAAGAGTATCACATGACCCATTTTGGGTTGTTTTTTGGGAGAACAGGGTTCCTTGAAGACCTTTTGGAGGAGGAACTGTCTGTATAATTGAGATGTAATTAATGAGTAACAAATTACCAGAAAGAAGTGGAGTGGTGGAATGATGTTAGGTGGCATGAACTGTAAGCATCTTTAGGTAATAGATGAAAAGCAATTCAGTTCTGGAAGGGTGATGTGACCTGCTCAAGGATATGCACTAGGGGCACAATGAGCTTTAGCTTTGTAACTGTGCTTTTGTTAATCTCTGAGAGGCATATATACATATGGAAGCACCTCTCCATGGAATTTTGAAACATATATATATTTCCATTAAAGTAATTAGTAGTACCAGAACACATAGAATGATTTGAATGGATAATTAGGCAAGAAGGAAAAGATGGAAAAGGTTCTTGAACTTGCTTTTAATCAATGTTCTGAGCTTTAAATAATATTTCTGTTTGTAGATCCCTCTACTAAAGGACTTTCAACTTTGGAAATGCCACGAGAATCCTCATCTGCCCCCACATTAGAAGCAGGTGTGCCAGAAACAAGCAGCCATTCCTCAATATCAAGTAAGATTTCCTTTGGTGATCATTTCACCTGTACATTGATTTTGGAACAATATTTGCTGCACCGTTTTCAATTTTCAGACTCCTGGTGTTGGTGTTTTTTCTTTATACACATTGTGTTAGCGTCCTAGGTGATGCTCTGCTGTAAGATCTTAGAGATCCTGATGCAAGGGCTCGGTTTTGTCAACCTCTCACATGTTTAATATAAATCAGTACCATTACTGATTGGCCAAGAATCCTAATTTGTTAAGGGATAATCACTGAATCTCATAATTCAATAAAATAAGAATTGTACATGACTAGCCTAAGCATAAGGCATGGAACTAGTTTAGGGACAAGTGAAAAGCATTGTTCATGACAGAAGTTTACATCGAACACCTTTGTTTAATTTGAATCACTTCCATCATTGACAGAATTGTATCTAGGTTATCATAAAATAAATGTAACAGATAGATCATGATCCCAGAGACATGATTGAATCTTAGCCCTTCTGGATCTGAAAATAAAAATGACATGAAATTCTACAGGATCTGTGGGAGGGAACTATTTTGAAACTGCCTGCTGTAGTTGGGTCCTAGATTTTGTCCTTGAGGAGTGTGAGTTCCATTGAGGTGAAGGTAAGGGTGTCCACCTGGCTCAGTGGAGTCCATTGAGAGACTGTAGCATAGGAGGTTCTCAGCAGGAGTCAGAGATACTGGGCTCCTGCAAGCCCTTGTCACATGCTGGTCTACCTTGTGCTCCATTTGGACATTGCATGAGGAGCTAGTTAATTTGTATTTGACCGTCTTTTGAAATAAAGATGATCCTAAAAACCATATAAAAGAGCTTAACTTAAATGCTGGACTGGTAGTATGGAAAAACATCCATCATCTTCATGATTCATTCATTCATGCATTCATTCATTCAGCAACTATTTATTGTCTGCTGGGTGCTTGCTGCTGGGGATTAAAAGTGAATAAATAAGAGATACCCCTTGTTCAAGGAGTTCATAGTCATAATAGTAATAATATAGCTTCCATTTATTTGACACTTACCATGTGCTGGGCACTGTGCCAAATGGTTATACACATGGTTATCTTAGTCCTGATATCAGCCCTGCATGGCAAATATTGTTGACCCCATTTTATAGACTAGGAAACAAAGGTCAGAGAGGCTAGATGACTCGCCTAAAGTCAGATAGCTACTGAGTGATAGAGACAGGGATTGATGGCAGTTCTGTTTGATTTGCAAGTCCATGCTCTCTTTTGGTATCACACGCTGCCCTGGAATAACTCAAAATCACTTATAATAGAGATTATAGAAATTCTAAGAAAATATTTTCAAGTGACTGTTACTTGCCCTTTTGGTAGCAAAGAAGGACAGGTAGTTCTGAATTTAATTATTCTTTTATCATTAAAATCTGTTTAATAATATGATAGAACACCTATTTTTAAGCCTGAATACTAGGATCATGAAAATACATTTTCTTCTCCTAATTTACATGAATATCTCCCCCCCCACACACACACACACACAAGAGGAAGGTAGTGAATTCTTTTTTTTTTTAAAGATTTATTTATTTATTCATGAGAGACACACAGAGAGAGAGAGAGAGAGAGAGGCAGAGACATAGGTGGAGGGAGAAGCAGTCTCCCCACAGGGAGCCTGATCTGGGACTCGATCCTGGATCCCAGGATCACGCCCTGAGCCGAAGGCAGAGGCTCAACCATTGAGCCACCCAGGCATCCCATGATAGTGAATTCTAATTAGAATTCCAAGTTGGGTATAATTTGAGGTAGGATGACTAAGTCAGCTCAACTTCAGTGCTAGTTAAATGTGTCATGAAATAAGTGTATCCCGTGTCTCACAATCCTAGAGTCGTGTCTCTAACTTTTCTGTAGTCAGCAGAATTCATCATTAGATTTCCACCTTCTTCCTCTTCTCCATTAAAAGCATGTATTGGATGGCTATTGGTGGTGTGTTCTTGGAGGCGTCATGCCAGGCACCTCACACACTGAGCTAAACACCAAGGGTTTTTACTCTCAGGGAATTCTGCTGTCTTTACACACAACTGAGAATCAGAGAAATCATGAAATCACCAGAGGTCTTAAATCCTCCTTTGAGCATGCCCATTTTTTAAATTGGTTGAGTCTTCTAAAAAATTTCAGCTTTTGCATTTTACCTGAAGTTCCACGTTTCAAATGAGTCATAATATTGTAAATTTTACCAATCAACAAGATTCAAAGATTTTCTGTGTTGGTTTGCATAGTCATTTTTGTGGATTTAGTTGATGTGGACTCCAAGACACAAGAATTCCCATCACAGTCCCCTCTTTGGATCAGTTTGCTAGCTGATCATTTTGTAGCTAACCATGTCGTGACTACCATGAATCAAACAGCATGCTACTTACATTAAAAATGTTATAATTGATTTCACATCTCACCAAGTTGTGGTCTTGGTACGGTGATTGTGAAACCTATATATAACATTTAAGGCTTTCCAGGAGCCATACAGTCATCCCAGTTTCTACCATCCCCTGATAGGGCATGTATGTAAGAAGTTGAAATTATCCTCCTAAAAGAAAGAGAATAACCATAACCACATGCTCTCCAATGTCCAGGAATATGGGATCATGTAGAAAAGGCACAGCAGCGAATTCTCTGCTTTTCTTAGTGGGCTGGTAGCAGGCACTAATGGGACCACTGGTAGAGGAATAGGAGGATAGGAGGCAGGTTGCTTTTTTACTCAACAGTCTACTGGCAGAAGTGATTTTTTTAAAATTCTGGTTTCTGGTTTGGAAATGCTCATAACGACATTTCATTGGTGGGATATTTGTCAATGCTTAATTGCAGGATAAAAATGTTACCGCTACTCTCTAAAACAAAGATTTGTACTAGAACACACTTGACGGACTGTGATTTGATTCACATCTTCCCAAACAGTAGGCAGAGGCTCATATGGAAATTGAAAGTGGTATTGACTTTGGAGTCAGCATGTTTTGATTCTGTGGCTACTTCATTTGCTAATTCGTTCCCAAGTAAAATAATATCATTTGCTTCAGTTTCTCTCTCAAAAAATTGGGGTTGATATGTCATTTTACTCCAAAATATATACATACACACACACCACACACACACACACACACAGACACGGGGACATTTTGGTGGGGATATAAATGGAGCCTGAAACCATGGATTCACAAGCACCATTAAAAGCAATTAAGCTATAAATTCAAAATAGTATTATCTGCCTTAAATTCTTTTTGGAACAACATAAAATATATCAATAAAAAGTAAATGAAAGTAATCATACTGTTGTAACTGGAGCAGATATTGACAGGATACAGATAAATACTCATAGGCACTGTTTCATTCTTTAGTAAAGGAAGAAAGGCACCCAGAACAGCAGTGTGCCTTAGTTTTTCTTTTGGATGGGAGCATACAATTTATCAAACAACTACAAATAGCCAATGAAGGTTCAGTTAAGATTCTATATGGATTTGTAGAGCCTTTGTGTGCATTGGAAATTTATTCCCCCTAGTAATCATGTCCTAATTTCCTCCATATAGCTCAGTATAGGCAGATGAAAAGGGGATCCCTGGGAGCTCTGACAATGAGCCAGTTAATGAAGCGACAGCTGGAACATCAGTCTAGCGCCCCCCATAACATCAGCAGCTGGGACACTGGTGGGTCAAGCTTTTTCTCTTGTTTTACCTCTCACATTAGCTACTGCCACTTTCTTTGTGTCCTCCCTGCTCTCGTGTGAAGGATTAGATTTTCTCTTAAGTTCTTTGGTTCAAGTAATTAAAAAAAAAAAAAAAACAAAAAACCCTAAGGTAATGAGTAAGTCTACATAAACTTTCCAAGTGTTCTAGAGCCACCCGTTTGTCCATTTAGGCTGGTGCAACTCTTTTTCCTTTAAGACCCAGATCCTAGATACTAGGTCATCTATCTGGGGGACGAGTGATGTGAATGCATAAAGGAGTGACTGGAACTATGATTTCACAATGCAAATTACAAAAACAAAATTGCTGGATTTATCAATATTCTCTGTTTTGTGATGTACCCCAAAATAAGGGCCTCATAATAGTATATACTTATAATAACAAATGTAGCTTATCAACATCATGGTCTACTGGTAGGTTTGGGAATATGAGTTGTGTGTTTTAGTTGGCAGGGTCACCAGGTTGCAGTCGCACACCCTCATGCTCATATGGTGGAACTGCATCTAACCTCAGTTTTAAAGTAAGACTTGATTGCCATGACATGTCTATTTTAAACATGATCACTGTGCATCTTCTGAACTTTGTTACCACGTGCTGCACACGTACTACTTTTCAAGCCAGTAGTACTGCCACAGTCTTGCTCTTTTGAGTGCCTGCCATTTGTGGGTTTTCTTTTTTTCTTTTTTAATTAAATGGGTCATTTGAGTTACAAGATTATAGATGTAGAAGCACTTTGCAACATGCATGCACTATGCAAATGTCACGGTTTGTTCCTGTGATATGCTCTGGGGGCCAACACTTGTTTGTATCAGACTAGTTTAATCTCTTTGTTAGTACACTCTGGCTGTTGTTATATGAGATTATTATTTTAATTTTAATATCTTTCAATATGACCAGGAATTATAATCTCCACAAAACCAAAATATTGACAGACATATTTTTTCTAAAACCATAATATTTACACACATTTTATCTTATCTCCCCCATCCCAACCGCCCAATTGTTCTTCCAAAAAAGGAGAGCTAGATAATTAAGTCCCACACAGCATACCCAATCCTACATTTGGCAGATAGTTTCAACTCTCTGGCCTTTATAAGGGTTCTTAACATTTTGAAGGTTTCGTGTTTTATCTTTCTTTGGTGATAAGGGGTAGTGAATCATGTTATGGCTGAAAGCCAACAGCAAGAGAGTCAAGGAGAAAGACAGGATAACCCACCTCAATAGCCTATTGGATCTGGATGGAGTCTTTCCGTCCACACCAAAGAGGACTGACTCTATTTCTCTCTTTACTGATGAAGCTATGTGAGGAAGTGAGAATAGGAAGGAGCCTTTGGTTAGTTCTCTGGTAATTAAATGCCTCCCTTTTGTCAGGTTGACCTGGGACTCCGAAGATTATTTTACCATGCTTCTATTTTCTGTGGCAAGTAGTTCAGTCGAAGCCAACCATTTCAGATTCAGATTACCATTGCAACCTAGTTTGATTGACTTAGTAGATTTATAAGAAGGCAAATAGATCTCAATTTCCAATCCAAATCTTAATCTAAAAACAGAATCTACATGATGCCAAATAACCCATTTAACTGAACTTTTCACATTCAACCAAACTTCAGTCTCGCTCATGTCACCCTGGTTTCTCACTTAATACTTGCCATTTACATGCTGTCTGAATTTCTTTCACCCATTTTCCTGGGCTTGTTTTCCATTCTCCAAGTTGGTTCTCTAGTCACCAAGCCCTACTAGAGCTTCATCTCAATAGTCTTGTTTTCATTAGTGCCACAAAAAGTTTTCCCTAGATCTAAGACCACAGGAGGGTTGATGTAGGCATAAGTCAGTGTTAGGTGGCATGCCACTTTATACCACATATATCGATTCACTGACTCACTGGTCTCCAAAGGGACAAAACTAGTCATGTAGACACTGCAAGAAGCAGTCTAAAACACGAGTTAGGATTGAGTCACCTCAGCATGCACCTGCTTGCTCACTGAATACCTGCCTCTTCTCCATCCTTGTACATCTAATGGCTGCTTCTTAGTCTCATCTTTCATAGGAAACAAATGTTCCAGAGGCCCTACTCCTCTGTGTCTTCCCCTGTCCCTCATCCCTGTTCCTCAGCCCTCAGTGAGATACCTGCCATTTCCTTGCTACCAGTTCCACATGTTTTCTGTATGACCTTTCTGGCCATTGCCCCAAAGATTGCTTATGTATTTACTGATTTGCATAAAACATTTATCTCATGGCTTTGACATTAACCTTTCAGTTTTTTCATTTCATATCAAGAGATAATGGTATTTGAGTTTTTTCAGTGGGGAGAATCCAGACTTTTTTTTTTTTTCTTTTTTGGATCGTTTTAGATGCTCTCCTGCTTTTAATTGCATTTCATATACCTGAATGGCAGGTTTTTAGTGAAACCCCAGACAACCCTACCCTAAAATCTAGGATGTTCCCTATATATATTAATAATCAATAATAACAGTGACCCCAAAAATGGCCCCAAGAGATTATTGGTTAAATTCTTTGTATTGTGAATTGTGCTAAATTGACTGCATTGAAGACTGAAATGCTCTATTTATCCACAGAACAGATACAGCCTGGGAAACGCCAGTGCAATGTGCCAATGTGCCTAAACCCTGACCTGGAGGGACAGCCATTGAGAATGAGAGGTTAGTTGAATCGTGAATCTCAGTCTGTGCGACCATGACATCTCATTTTTGAACGTTATTGACAGAAAGTTCTTCTTTACAGTGACTTTCTAACTATTGCGGGCCACATAAAATGAGTCTAGTCTCTCACATAATTTTTTAGAATTTGAAAATAGCCACACATTACTTATTCTTTCAATCTTCTTTAGACCACATGTCCCTAGGTCCTTTAGTATTCCTCTTATTACAGATCAGCCATCCATATTATTGGGTATCTTCTCTCAACATGGTCCAGCTTAATTGTGTTCATCCTAGAATGTTGAGATCATAGTTGAGTAACTTCTTTGAAATCTGAAACCTGAAATTGCAGAAAATATACACGTGGCATTATGGTGCTGATAGGAGTAAGCTGAGAATAAATCTGTGCCAATATCATCAGAATATGTATTTTCAAAATTCATCTCATGGCTAGTTAATAATTACTTCTATTCTTTTTTAATTCAGAAAGCAGGTTAATTTATCATTTGTAAATAACAAAAAAAGAAAAGAAAAGAAAAAAAACCCATAAAACAAAAAATGAACTATGACTGCATCTCTTAGCTACTTCCCTAAATCAAGCAGACCTATTATTTAGGACCATGTCATTCTTCTTATTTTCCTTAGGAATGAGGATATCTTTATCTTCAGCTTTTGCTGACATATATTGGGCAATGAGTAGCAGTTTAACTCCTGTATCTGATAGACTCTTCTCACTTCTGGGCCTAGGAAAAGCTTTTATGAACAAAGTCAGGGTGGTCAAACAACTTTGGTGCTTATCCACGATCCAGTGACTAAGTTCATAGCAGCAAAAATGGAATAAGGTAATGGGAACAAAAACAATCTTTTTCCCAATAAACTGAAGAAGTCCACTGATGCAGCTGAGGGACTGATGGGTGCTTGCATGCCATGAACAGACCAGCACCTTTACAATGCCTCCTATCTCTAAAATTCCCAAAGGAGCTTCAATCAAAATCTCCAGCTTTGGAGTTGGACTTTGGAAGAGGTCTCCTTTTTATTCAAGTTCCTAAGAACCTTCCATTTCTTTTGTTTTTGTTTTTTAAAGATCTTATTAATTTACTTAAGCACAAGTGAGAGAGAGAACACAGAGGGAGAGGGAGAAGCAGACTCCCCACTGAGCAGGAAGCCCAACTTGGGGCTTGATCCCAGAACCCCGAGGTTACATACAACCCAAGCCAAATGCAGATGCTTAACCAGTTGAGCCCCCAGAACCTTCCATTTCTGTTCCTAATTCCATACAGAGTACACTTTGGGTAGTGGTGCCATTAGAAATGTTGCCCACAACTGGGGGACAATGGGACTGCCTTTAATCTTGCAGACTTAGTTATAATTCAGCATAACAAAAGGTAGCTGAGGTCCATGGCTTCCTTTGCATTTCCCACCTTCTTCTTCTACCTTACTCTGCTCTCAAATTATTAGCAATTTTCAGAAATCCAATGATTTAACTAATGTTGCTATATGGGCAGCACCCAATAACTTTTATAGATGACCACTATTAATATTGGATGACACATTTTGGGTTGTTACTTGAATAAACAGATTCATAGTGCTATTATTGTCAAAAATACCTGTTTCTTGGCATTTGTATTGAGTAATTATTGGCTTGAAACCACCCAAATGACTTTGTTTCCATCCCTTTTCTTGACTTGAATTGTGAATTCTATTTAATAGTAATTGGTCATAGTCTTCTGAGAGACAACTCAGAGAGTTTTTTTTCTTTTAATTTCTTATTTCTAGGAAGACTGTAAACATATCACCATCATGGGCTGAATTTTTCTATCTTTAGTGTAGGCATTTTGGCATCTAATAGACATGGTCTGTCAATGTTTGAGAAACATAGAATATTAGATTTAAACTTTCTATGTTTTGGTTTCTTGAAGCAACTTCATGCTGTTTACCTTAGTGTTTAATAATCAGTCGTCTCCCTTTATCTTGGCTTAGTTCTTGACTTTTCTATTATTAATTAATTCATAGTTATGCTTGTAATAAATACTGTTGGTTCCACTCAAAGCACCATCTTGACGAAACAATTGGAGATTTTTGTTAGTGATGCGCTGGGGTACAGGTAGAAGAGAGTGTTAGAAATAGCTGATAAGTATTGTAGTAAAATTTAGATACCAATTTGGGATGTTTGGAAGTGACATAAAGATATTTTTAGATACTTTCCTTTGCTGTTGAAGTCTGCAGGTCTCCTGTTTCCCATAAAAAACACTTTGTAGACTTTGATCAGGCAAGGGAGTGTACAGTCTGGCAGCATCTTGATACCTTAAAGGCTTCAATACCATTTTTTTCCCCTCTCTCACACTGAAACAGATTGCCTACTTTGCTAGGTTCCTAAAATTTTTATTACTTCTTTTAAAAGCCAGTTCTCCAAATCATTATCTTTCTCCTATTTAAGAACAGATCATACAAATTTGTTTTGTTTTTCGGCACTAAATTACCAGTTCCTTGATGATAAACAGACTCTTTAATGACCATTGAGTTTTTCTACCTTCTTTCCCGTTTGGAAAACTCTGAGTCCCAGTTACTGCTCTGTAGAACATGGTATTATCCTGGATTGTCTCTCTGGGACTTTTCTTGGAGTGTCTCATGTCTACCATTCCTGGAGAATCTATCTGGCACTGGTGATTTTCTTAATAGAGAACAGTCAGATTTACTCATTGCTAGAGCATATGCCAAGGTTCCTGCCTTTGATGTCTCTGAAGGCATCAAAACCCCAAGTTTTAAACTCTGTGATTTTGATTGGCTAAAGTCCCTGGATGTTTCCTTCAAAACCCTTAATATTTTGTTCATAAATATTTCCAGTTTGAAAAAATGAAGGCTTTGGGGCTTATGATATTTCTAAAGTAAAAGGTTGTTCTGATATTTCTTAGCTCAAATCCTTCCCCTTGCTTAAGTGTTTGAGTTTGGGACCTTATTCTTCTCAAGTTAGCAGCATTTTCGGGTTGATATGCATTTGTGATTTTAGAACATAGATAGTAAGGGCAGCTTCTATGTATACCTAGCAAATTCAAGTTGTGAACTTATTTAAGGGTGCTCTTGAATAGATTCCCCCCCTTTCCACTTTTGTCTTTGTCTCCTGTTGGCACACTGAACCCTTTCTGATTTTTTCAAAGTCAAGAAGCAAAGGGAGAGAGAGGTAAGAGTCTAGCTCTTAAAATCACACAAACAGAAACAAATAGCCATCTTTCTTGAATTCATTTTACCTTTGAGGGTTTTTCACAATGCAGTTTATTTGATCATAGCACATCCCATGAGTGTGATCTTGGGAGGATTTGTAAGAGGAGGATGGGCCTTTGCCTGGCCCCAGGAAGAGACCTTTACTCACCAGATGTCTCCTTGCTGCTTATCCAGGCGCCACGAAATCCAGCCTGCTGTCAGCACCCAGCATTGTCAGTATGTTTGTGCCAGCACCCGAGGAATTCACAGATGAGCAGCCGACAGTGATGACAGACAAGTAAGCTCACACTCTTCACCAGATTTATAGAATTTGAGTTTGTGCACCACGCTTGTAAGAAAGTATCAGAGGAGGTGTGTTATGCTTTAAGTCATAACTTGTTCGTCAAGTGGCTGTCTCCCTAAGGGTTGGTGTGCATTTGTTACTTTAGAAACATGGTATCATTGTACACTCAGGTTCTATTTATACCAAAGCATGCTCCCTTTTCAGTTTGGACAAATGCAAATCCTATCCACTTACTGATTATTAGAAGCTTCAGATTAGTAAAATGAGACTAAGTTTGAGATTTGATTCTTATTCCCATCCTGCCAGCAGAATCCTTTCTCTGCACCTCAAACTGGTTATAGCACCTCGCAGTTTGGCAGCCTTTGGTATCCCCAGATTTCATACAGGATAAGGTCCAAATGCCTTTGCTTATGACAAAAGGCCCTCTAGATTTGTGGAGGTATGGCCTTACCACTCTTCACCAGGAACTCTTGCCCCAGCCCCCTCACCTTCTCCAGAGTATGCCTGAGGTGTTCTCTGTTCTGTGGCTTCATAGGTACCCTTCTCTCTGTCCTTCCTCTGCCTGGTGAGCTCCTTTTCATGCTTCAGGACCCAGCTTAAAGCACACAGCAGAATTAGTCATATATCCTCCTAGTTTCCATAGTAGTTACTATACCATTCTGTTCTACCGCTTACCATGCATTTTAATTGTTTCATTGTTCATAAATACAGGTTCTTCAACAGATTGTGAGTTCCATAGGGACTGGGACCCTTTCTTCTGACTTTTACACTCTAAGCTCCCTATACATTGCCTGGCACACAAACGCTTGTTTAGTGAGTATGGTAAAGAATAAGACTTGCAGGATTTCAAGTTTGGAGAGATCCCTTTGGGCTGGGGAGACTTCCTGGTATCCCAAGCGCTGGGTAGGCTTGTGATAAAGGGAGAAGAGTATGAGGTGCAAAGGGCTGGTGCCACAGTCATTTCTAAAGAAGTGACTTGCCCACCTTGGAGGGCTACCTTGGAAAGTCCACACAGGGAGCGCCTAGCTGTGTGGGGGAGGCTCTTCTTGTTTCCTCCTTGAGTACAATCTCCCCATTTTGTGTTCTCCTCCAAGTCCCAGTCTTTGTGTGTGTCCCATTCCCCCCTTTTTTTTTGTTATAGATGTGAATCCTACATTTTTTAAAAAGGCCAATTTGTCAGGGATTCCATATATAGAGTTTGTATTTAGGAAGTTTCCAGACAGAAAGTTCTCAATAGTGATCTTCGCTCCAGTCCACTCACTATTCCCAGTAGACTTTCCCTTCACTTTATAAAGTTGTCTGAAGGGCTGTGGCTTTGGCTGAGATGAATTAAATTGAACCTATACTTGAAAAAAACTTAAATTGAACCTATATTTGATAATGTAAAGAGTAGTGTTGGAAGTTAGGTTCGGGTGCCATTGTGTTTTTACGTATTACACTCAGTAGGCATGGCGAGTACGTAAGACTGATCCAAGTGAGTGGTAGAGAAGAGACTGTGATCCAGACTCCCCAGGCTTTCTTGTTCTTTTGGCTTAACTACCCCATCTCTCACCCACAAATAGGACATTTTTCAATCTAAGAGCGTAGGAAGGTTTCCATTTGTGTCCAGACATTTTTCATGTTTAATTTCAACAAATGAAAAAAATATCTGTTACTGACTATCCCTAGCAATAATTTTACAAGCATAAAATCCCTCAGTCAGAAGCTTCAAACTGTTAGTTCAACTGGCGTTTGCTGTAAAAGGGAACAATAATTCATGTACATATAGGCCAGACACTTGTGAATTGAATGTTTTCAGTGACTTAAAGAACCTTCCTGATCTCTGCCATGTGTGCTGTTTCTGTGTTTAGGGTAAGGGTGGCATTGGAGTCAACTATTTATTGTGAAAGTGGGACCACTGACCTCCTTTGGGAACTTTTTCAAGACTCACAAAAAATAGCTGTATATACTTTGTTATATCTTGAAACCATTGTTGGCTTTCGTGTACATCATTCCTCTGTTTTCTTTGCAGATGCCATGACTGTGGGGCCATTCTTGAAGAATATGATGAGGAAACCCTTGGGCTTGCCATTGTGGTTCTCTCCACATTCATTCACTTAAGCCCAGATCTGGCAGCCCCGCTGTTGCTGGATATAATGCAATCTGTGGGAAGGTTAATATCACTTCAGTTTTGTTTGGAAAGAAGGAGCCTAATTCCATCTATATCTTGAAATAGAAACTATCAGTTCAAAAGTAAAACATTCAGTAACCTTATAGATGTTTGATAATTTGTGGGATGGATCAACCTAGACTAATTTTAAAATTGAATGGAGCAAACTTTTAAAAAAGATTTTATTTATTTGAGAGAGAGAGAAAGTAAGTGTACATGAGCAGAGGGGAGTGGCAGAGGGAGAGGGAGAAGCAGACTCCACCCTAAACAGGGACCCAGATGCAGGGCTCAATCCCAGGACCCTGACTGAGATCATGACCCAAGCCAAAGCTAGACACTTAATGGACTAAGCCATTCAGGGCCCCTGGACCAAGCTTTTGATTGAATTTCCCAGCCGTGTTGGGTCATGAGCCACAATGTCACAGTGTCAGAATGAAGCTAGAGGAAATTACACTAAGAAAACTCCACTGTTTATTGGTGTTAGTTACTACTTGGGTTACTGTGTGGGGCATAAGTTCTCAGAACTGTGCACAGTTCATAGTTAGACAGTTTACAAGGTTTAGATATTATTATTTATAAGATTTATTTATTTTTTTAAATTTATTTATTTATGATAGTCACAGAGAGAGAGAGGCAGAGAGAGAAGCAGGCTCCATGCACTGGGAGCCCGACGTGGGACTCGATCCCGGGTCTCCAGGATCGCTCCCTGGGCCAAAGGCAGGCGCCAAACCGCTGCGCCACCCAGGGATCCCCTATTATTTATAAGATATAGATAGTATTATCTCTTTATGTGTTTTAAGATGGGTTCTCTAGGTGTCCTGCAATCATGAGGCATTGTCATGGGAGGGGGAGATGGAGTATAGTTTTACACTTTTGGCTCAGAAAATAGAAGGCTGCACATATTTTGGGAACAGGGCTTCTACCTCAACTGAGGGGAGATTAAACTAAGCTGCTTTGAGAATTTTCACATTAGGAAGGTTCCATTTAGTGGATAGGACATTAGAAAGAGAGTGATGTATTTCATGGGTATATGTATAACTCAAATTCAGTAACAAATTGTAGTCCTAGCGTGAACAATTTATAGGAGAGGATCAGACTGAATTCCACATGAATGTCCTGAGTTTCCAGTCTTGATTAAGAGTCGTAATAAGTAGTGTGAGTGGTAAGTGCTGTAGAAGCTAAGGATGGAAACAGTTTCTTTGGGAAGATCTCCATGGAGGAGGTAGGGGGAAAAAAAAAACAGAATTCTTCAAATTCCTGGCATTTGACAGAGGGAAAGATAATGAATTGTAATGGAGCTAAAAGTTGATTTTTTTTTTTAAGAAGAAATGCTGATTTCCAATTTAGTCAAACAAGAAAGCATTAAATGGTTAGATGGTATAACTATTCCACCTGTAATACCGAGAAATAGCCAGTGTGCAGTGATGAACAGTGGGTGATGAAGAGATAAGAAAAGAAGAATTATTTCATTTAAGTCCTTGATTTTAACCTAATCATAGCAATCAATCGTGGAATAAAAGTATCAGCTTGTAGAATTGAGAGTTTTTATTTTCGATACTTTTCAGATTTAGAATAGATAAAATTATTGGTTTGATCTGTACCATCTCCTTAAAAGAACTGATCTAAGTTGTAGCTGCCATATAGAGGGGTTTTATTTTGTTTTTGTCTAACATCAGTGAGAATAAATAAATGTTCAAGCATTGCCCGCTGTCAGGATGAAAAGATGTGAGCTTTGAAGATAAGTAAAGGCAAAAGGCTTTGAAGATAAGTAAAGGCAAAACAGTAGCAGATACATTTTTACATGCTTACATATACATATATTTAAATCCCTACTTCATTTGGCTAGACTGGTAAGAGATGGGGGGGGGGTGTGAGGGGGGCATTTAAAGTAGCCACCACAGCTTTCAGCAACCTAAGCCTGATCACCAAACCTACCAGGAAATGGATTCAGCAATCAAATGATTCAGGACTTTCTTGCATGCCACAATTCCAGATGAGGTAATGTGGACTTATGAACACTTAAGTTTATTTGTTAGTCCCACAGGAGATATTTCTAGGGCATTCTAAGCATATGTAATCTCAGCATTTATCACCCAAGACTTTTGTGATTGTGTAGTTTGCTCTCTACTTAGATCCCTCTTAAAATTTACTCATCCCTTTTTGCAGAGAGAGCCATCAAGATTGCATTTGCTGCACCCTTAATGACTATTTATGTCATTTGCCAAAGTTTATTGATGATTGTAGTGTCATTAACCAAAGCAACTGGGAATGGTATCTCGTGTTAGTGGTTGCTGGTCCCTCCAGTCCTCTCCAAATGCCTTCCTGGCCAGGCACACTCTTGTGGTCTTAAGTAAATGAACATGAGCATTCTCCTTATTTGTTTCTTCAGTGGCTTACTGATCAAGACAAGTTTTTCTAACCCCACTGATTTAGCAGGTTTAGACATTCTCTTTCTTAATACATATAGAATATTTCCATGTGGATGAGCCATATAATTATTAAAAATTACATGTTATATGTTGATTACTTGATACATTTCTCAATATGTCATTTCAGTTCATTGACAGAGTAGTTGACAAATACTCCTATTACCTTCTTTACTGTCTTACAGAGGCTTTTGCAGTTTGTGGTTACATTTCAAAGGTGAAATACAAAGAAATGAATTTTGAGTTGAGTTCAAATATAAAGAGATGGACTGGGTCAAGTGCTATTCTGCTGACTAACTTGGCTGCAGCGGCCAGTTTGTAAATTTGGCCTGGTGATAGAGGAAACTAGCTTAACTGTATGTGTTTCCGTTGAAACACCTGATTTGATGCAGAAAGCAGATCTCAGGAACTGGGCCAGGTTGAACACTGGAGGCGGACCACCAAGTGGGCCGCCTATCCCTAACCAGGGGATTTGTCAATGGTTTTCCTTGTGTCCCCATCTGAGCTGGGGCCTGCCGCAGTACTCATGCATTTCTTCCTGAAAACTGAATATATTCATATAACTCTGTTTACTTTCTCCTAGGTTGGCATCCAGCACTACTTTTTCTAATCAAGCAGAAAGGTAAGGTCCTAAAGTGGGTCCAAATGTCACTTTCTTTTTGTCCTCTGTGCATATCTGTCCTGTTTCTAAAACACCAGTGTGTGTACCTAGAAGGAATGTCTTTAGGTTCAGTTGCAGCTCCAGAGAACAATTTCCGGTCATTCATTAATTCATGCATGCATTCAGTCATTTTATTTTTAATCTTTTTAGGCATTCGCTCATTTTAGTCAACAAATATTTATTTTAGGGACACCTGGGCGGCTCAGCGGTTGGGCGCTTGCCTTCGGCTCAGGTCACGATCCTGGGATCCGGGATTGAGCCCTGCATTGGGCTCCCTGCGAGGAACCCGCTTCTCCCTCTGCCTATGTGTCTGCCCCTTCACTCTCTCTCTGTGTCTCTCATGAATAAATAAATAAATAAATAAATAAATAAATAAATAAATATTTAAACAACAACAACAAAATACTTATTTTAGACCTGCTCTGTAGGAGGCAATAGGCTGAGTACGTAGGTTTCAAGTAGGGGCAAAAGTGACATGATTCCTGCCCTATGGGAACCTACAGTCTGTCTGGGAGGCAAACATAGATAAAATATTTGCACAAATTTGTCATTGTAAACAGCGCTTAGTGCTATGGACACAAGTATAGGGATACTGTGTAAAATTCATTTATTTAGCGAGTATTTATAGAGTGACCACTAGGAACTGAGGATACTAGTTAACAAAACAGCAAGTCTTGGCTCTCCTGAGCTTATATTCTGGCTGGGGAGGCAGACAATAAGCAAATTAACAAAAAAAACTGATAATGTAATTTAATATCATTCAGAACTAAACGCTATGAAAAATAATCAGGTAAGTCCAGGAGATACAGAACAAATGGAGATGATATTCTGGGTGTAATAATGGTCACGGACAGCCTCTCTGAGAAGGTGGTATTTGAACAAAACCTGAAAAGAGGGGAGAGCAATCTATGTGGCAATTTATAGAAAGAATGTTCCAGGCAGAAGAAACAGCAAATGCAAAGTCAGGAAAGTGCCCAGGATATTTGGGGAGCCAGAGACTAAGGCAGGCCTGAGCAGAGTGAGCAGAGTAAAAGGTAGGAGAAGAGCGGACAAGGGGAGGGCAAGGCATTCCAGGTAGGGCCCGGGAGGTCATTGTAAGGAGTTGGGCTTTTACTGAGGTAAGCAGGGAGTGAGGAGCAACATGACTTCACTTCTGTTTTGCCAAGAACCCTCGGCTTTTGTGTTGAAAGTAGGTCATGCAGGAAAACAGGTCAGGGATAGAAGCAGGGAAGCCGGTGTGAAGACCATTTCAGTGGCAGGTGCAAGATAATAAAGACTTGGTTTAAGGTAGTGAGAAGTGGTCTCATTAAGGATACATTCAGGAAATATTTTTAAAGTTGAGCCAACAGAATTTGCTGTTGGTTGGATGTTGGGTTTGAGAGAAAGAAGGCAGGAATGATTACCAGTTTTGTCCGGACAGCTGGGTAGATGGCTGCTGGGCCATTTACTGAGATGGGCAAGCCCAGCTGAGAGATGGCAGGTCTGATGCTGCCTGGGCATTAGGAGGAAGGGGGAAGGATAGAAGGGCTTCCCTGAAGAAGTGGTGTTTACACTAAGATCTGAAAGAAATGAGTTGGGTTTAACTATGCAAATAGCTATGGAAAAAGCATATCCCAGGTCTTGAGGTGGTAAGGACATTGTATAGGAGGAACTACAAAAAAGCCAGTGTGGCTAGAGCCCAGAGATGTAAGACTGGCTTTCCTGATTATACAGGGCCTATAAATTATATGAAATATTTTGGGTTTTTCTAGCAGCATTGGGAAGCTGCTGAAGGATTTTTAAGTAGCAAGAGGTGTGTGTGTGTGTGTAGCATGTACAAAAGTTACTTTAGCTGCAGTGGGGAGAGGGGACCAGAGGACAGCAGGAATGTGTACTGGATGGGACTTTGGACACATTGATCTCTCTGCTTTAATTTTCTCATTTATAAAAGAGAGATACTATCTATAGCCTTCTTGTGCCTCAGAGGGTACTTGCTGTGAGGTCCAAGTGATTGAGTATATGTGAAGCTTAACTGTAGCAGCTCCTGCAAACATAAGATGGTGCTATTGTTACTGTACTTCTGTAACTTTTGGTTTTAGGAATATTTGCTCTTCCTTTTCATGCTTATTTATAGAGTTTTTTTTTTACTTTTTCCCCTAATATTTTATTCTAAAAATTAAATATACTGCAAAATTTGAAGAACATTATAGTGAACACTTACATACCTATCACCTAGATTCTACAGCAAACATTTTACTGCTTTATCATCTATCCATCCTTCTAGCTTTCCATCCATACATTTTAGTTTCGGTTGCATTTCAAAGTAAATTTCAGATATTAACATACTTCATATATTCTTTGGCCAAGTTATCATTAACTAAAGTTTGACTTTGTTTTAGGCTTTTTTTCTTTTGATGCAAAATTTCCATGCTAGAGAGTTCACTTATTTTATGTGTACTGTACATTCACTGTTTTTTTTTTTGACAAGTGCATACCCTGGCATGACCTAAATCCCTGTCAAGATACGGAGCATTACCATTGCCCTCAGAAAGTTCCTTTGTGCATCTTCCTCAGCTCCACCCACATAAGCAAATGATAGCCTGATTTTTTTTCTACCATAGAACTTGATATAAGTGAAATGATACTGAAATTCGTCCATGTTGTTGTGTATTATCAATAGTTTGTTTCCTTTTTAGAGCTGAGTGCTATGCCATAGTTTGTTTCTTTATTCTCCTCTTGATGGACATTTGCATTGTGTCCAGTTTGTGGCTATTATAGATAAAGCTGTTATGACCATTCTTATACAAGCCTATTTGTAAACCAGGTTTTTTTTTATTTCTGTTAGATAAATAGCTAGGAATGAAATTGTGGCATAAGAGGATAGTGTGTGTTTGATTTTGTAAGTCACTGTCAGAACTTCTCTTTAAAGTGGTTGTGCCATTTTATATTCCCACCAATAATGTATGAGGCTTTGGTTGTTTGACATCCTTGTCAAAATTTGGTGGTGTTGGGTCTTTTAAACTTTAACCATTCTGATGAGTATCACATGATAGTTTAAATTTGCATTTCCCTGATAGAATAATGCTGTTGAGTCTTTTTTCAGTGCTCTTGAAGACCCTCTATAAATCTTTTGTGAAGTGTGTGTTCAAATCTTTCACACATTTTTAACTGGGTTGAGTTGCAGGATTTCTTTATATAGCCTGAATACCACCCTTTATTAAATATATTAAATATTTTCACCCAGTCTGGGGCTTATCTGTTCCTTTTATTAATATATATTTTGATGAGATGTTTTTAGTTTAGATGAAATCTAATGTTTAAAAATTTTGTTTAAAGATTTTATTTCTTCAAGAGAGAGAGAACGAGAGAGAGAAGACCTGAGCTTGAGGTTGTGGGGAAGGGTAGAAGGAGAGAGAGAAGCAGACTCTCCACTGAGCAGAGAGCCCACAGGGGCTCAATCCCAGGACCCTGGGATCATGACCTGAGCCCAAGGCAGATGCTTAACCAACTGAGCCACCCAGGTGCCCCATAATGTTTTAAAATTTTTAAATAATTTATGACTATTTCTTACTGTTGTCATTGCCCATCCTCAAATCAAGAAGATATTCTCCAGTGTTTTCTCTAAAAGTTTATATTTAGCATTTATGTGATTCATCTCAAATTAATTTTTATGTATAATGGTGTGAGGATAGGGATTGAAATTCCTTTTTATCCATGTAGAAACCCAGTTTTTGCAGCACCATTAAAAAAATAACTTTCTCTTTCCCCACTGGATCACTTTGTTTTCTCTTAAAATCAAATACAGTAAGTATTAGGGTCGATCTATTTCCAGACTCTATCCCGTTTCATTAATGCTTGAGTTAGCACCACACTTTCTTGAATATTGTAGCTATATAATAAGTCTTGAAGTCCGAGAGTATGAATCTTCCAACTCTGCTCATTTTTTCCAAGAAAGTTGATTTGCATATTCTAGATTTACCAAATTTTCGTATACATTTTAGAATAAACTTCTCAGTTTGGGGACAAAAAGCCTTTTGGGATTGTACTGAGACTATAAATTAATTTGGGGATAACTAACAACATAAAAATATTGAATCTGTCAATTCATGAATATGGTATACTTATTTCATTCAGTCTTTTTTGTTTCTTTCAGCAGGGTTTTGTGGTTTTTAGTGTAGAGATCTTACACATCTTTTGTTAAATTTATTTCCAAGAATTTTGGGTGTTTCAATGCCAATGTAAATGGAATTTTTTTAAAAAATCATTTTCTAACTTTCTGCTGCTACTTTATAAATATTAACATGTAATAAGCTGGGTTCACTTACTAGTTGTAGTAGATGCTTTTAAAGATTTCTTAGGATCTAAAAGCATTTGTATGTTAAAAATGTCATTTCTGTAAATCGTGACAGTTTCTCTTCTCTTTGATTTTTATGCCTTTTATTTATTTTTTATTGTCCTATTGCAATGGCTAGGACCTCCAATACAATAATAAAGAAGTCAGTGAGCCTCCTTGCCTTATTCTTGCATTTACAGAAAAGCCTTTAGTATCACCATTAGCTATGTTTGCTGTAGGTGTCCATAGGGGCTCTCTACTGGATTGAGGACTTCTCTTTTGTTTCTAATTTCCTGAGAGTATATATCATGAACAGATGTTAAATTTGTCAGATGAGTTTTCTATATCTGTTGAAATAACTGTATGGTTTTTGCCCTTTATTATTTAATATATTCAATTCCATTGATGAAATTTTGAATATTAAGTCCTTCATACATTTCTGGGATAAACTATTTGGTAATGAACGATCATCCTTTTTATCTGTAGTTGGATTCAATGTCCATAAGGACTACTGATTTGTCTTGTTTTGTTTTCATTTCTTTTTTGTTCCTTCTTGCTTTGGTTTTATTTGTTTTTTTTTTTTGTAATGACTTTATCTGATGTTAATTTTAGGGCTATGCTAGCCTCATAAAATAGGGTGGGAAGAGTTTCCTACTTCCCTAATTTTTGAAAGAGTTTCTGTGAGTTTGGTGTCATTGCTGCATGACCTACAAGTTTGAATCAGCATTCCATGGTAGACACAGCATAATTACACGGTTTAGGTAGGAAGGACTTTCTACCACTTACCTATTTGGGTGCTTTGATTTCTACTTTCTTCCTCTGTTAATTTACCCCCTAATCACCTCTGGGAATGTCCTTCCTGATACTTAGGTCTCAGGAGTGCATAATCATCTCTTGGCTCCCTTTTTTGATGGGTAGAGGTGGTGTGCAATGTAAGGGGAATTGCACAGATCAAGAAAAGTTCTCCTATCTCTCAATAGCTATGAACATCTCCCTGCCTGCATTTCCTCTGAGATCAGCTTTCCATGAGCTAATGACACTATCTGGGAGCATCTTGCTAATAATTTCATCCTGGTTTTCATCCTGAACTCTGCCATGTTCTGGACTTGGAGCCTTTGTAGGCTACCTTTTCTCTCTGGGCCTCAGAAGCCTCAGCTGTATGTACTCTGGGGTGGCTGGAATTAGTTAGACTGGAACCACTCTGACATTTCCTGGTTCTCTCTTTCTAGAAACTTATTGTTAACAGGGATTCTGTGGAACTACAGTATTTCATCTCACTAATGCAAATGACAGTGAGATCTTCTGTAAGAGAATTGATGTGTAAATACTCTAAATAAGGAGGTACAGAAATATGTAAATTCATGCTGGGTGCTCCCTGAGTCCCTGTCTTTTCTCTCTCCCTATTCAACCCCAGCATGATGGTTCCTGGCAACGCTGCAGGGGTGGCCAAGCAGTTCCTCCGCTGCATCTTCCATCAGCTGGCACCCAATGGCATCTTCCCGCAGCTGTTCCAGAGCACTATCAAAGGTAATTCCTCCACAGGGAATCCAGACAAACGTGCCCAGTCGCTGAAACCTGGGCACTACTAAATCTGATTGTTGACTTTCCAGATGGGACTTTTTTACGGACCTTAGCCACCTCTCTGATGGACTTCAATGAACTGAGCTCTATTGCTGCTCTCAGTCAGCTCTTGGAGGTAGGCCTGACTTGATGACCCACCCCTCCCGAAATCGTGCCTGAGAAATTAATTCAGTCCTTTAATTTAAAAGTTAAATTTGAGTTAAGTATTAAAATGTCAAGTTAATCTTAAATAACTTAAAGGGTTAAAGTTAATTAAAAATAAAAATTGCCAATGCATGGAAGAGTGTCAGCTGGACATTGCTGTTTTGTGTGGATTTACTCTCTATTTAAAGTTTCTAGACACCCTCAACTCAGGAGTGGGTGGGCAGCTGTAAAGCACACTCATCGCCATACTTAAGCCCATTAAGTGTGGATTTACTCTCTATTTAAAGTTTCTAGACACCCTCAACTCAGGAGTGGGTGGGCAGCTGTAAAGCACACAGACCCCCATTCAGGCCTTCAGAATGTGCAGTGGGTAGAGCAGTGCACACTGTATCAAGAGACTTGGATTCAAGTCTCAGCTTCCCTGCTTCTTTGTTTGGATTCAAATCCTATTTCTTTGCTCAGTCATAGGACTTGAAGTCAATTCTCACCTCCATTGCTTGTTCACTGTATCACAATGCTTGGGTTCACGTGTTCAGTCCTCTGCTTATTATGATTAGCTTTCTCAGTTAGCTTGGAGGGTTGGCAGATGGCCCTAGAGACTTTGCTGCTTCTGTAGTTATTATGCTCAGGCTTTGGCCAGCAGAGTTTCCAGCAGGAATCATTTATTGTATCTTCTTAGCAACCCTAACTGCAAATCCTTAAAAGATGTTTCTTATTTCTCACTCACATTTCATCTTCTCTCACTGAATTAAAGTCAACAGTTTTCCCCAAGTTTCTATGAATTTGTCATTTCTTCTCTGTGTTCCTCCTGCCTATTACAATGAATAGCCCATATAGTAGGCACACAACACGTGTTTAAGCCGTGCATATATGATTTTTAGAGCTGATCTTTGACTAATAGCTGTCTGAATCCACACATTGTTGTTTCAGCAGTTGATTGCCTATGCTTTTGTGTTTTTAGGGTCTAAATAACAAAAAGAATTTACCAGCAGGGGGTGCTATGATACGCTGTTTGGAAAACATTGCTACCTTCATGGAAGCTCTGCCCATGGATTCTCCTAGCAGCCTCTGGACCACGATCAGCAACCAGTTTCAGACATTTTTTGCCAAGCTGCCTTGTGTTTTGCCTCTGAAGGTAAGCTGAGTCCAGGATTTCATTTTCAATTATGATCTTAGAGTTTGCCATCTGCTTATAGAGTTTTAATGTTTCATAAAGTGCTGTACAGAATCTGTTAGCCACCAAATGCAGACTGTGATGTAGATTGTGCTCTCCAAATGTACAAGCTTACAGCAATCTGCCATAGGCATTTTGACATAGTCATTTCATGTTTCCAGTTGATTTTTAGACATCTAAGGTATTAGATTATGTCCATATACAAATTTTTCTCAAGAGATGTGTGTAAGTAAATATATATATAGTTTTACCTAAAAGGAGACTAGACATACAATGTAAAGCTAAGTTTCAGAGAACTATATAAAGAGAAATGATTGATTGTGTTTGGAAATGAAGTACTTGCAGGACCAAGATGATATTATATTTCTGTTTGGCTACTTTACCATCCCCCCCCACACACCCCACTCCCGTAGCCACCATACCCTCCTCCAAGAATACACACAAATTACCTAGCTATGAATCTGATAACCTAAGGATCATTTTCAACATGAGCCCATTAAGTGTAGAAGCAGAACTCTAAACTGTACAAGCTGGGAAAGACTTACAAAAACCATCCCTTTGATGGTGGCAGTGTGAGCATTAGAACTCAAGTCTCTTGACTCCTGGTCCAGTGTCCTCTTCAATAACTGATGCCTAGAGTCCTTCTAAAGCAGGAGTGAATTGAAGGCATTCAATCTCCTAGTAGAGAGAAAGGAGGCGGGTGGTCGTGGCCATTTCTAGGTCCCTGAACCTTACTTGTTCTATAAGCTTTTTGTGCTTTATACATATCACAGAAATATTTAACTCACAGTAAAATAAATCACTTGTTGATCTGACCAGTGAAGTTACATGTTGGCAATACCATTTCTGAAACAAGTATCACTTGTATGGAAAGTGTTTTATAAAGACAAACCAACTCTGACCATGCCTTTTTCCAAATTGGTAGATTTGGAATATATAGCCCCAAAATAGGGTCTGTAAGGATAATTCAGGGGCCTATAGCTTGGTGTGTGCTGTTTTCTCTGATTTTAAAGTTACTATGAGAAGCGGGAATACTGAGATCTTGACCATCTCTCACAGCCCATGATCCTGTCTGCTCACAAATCTGGAGTTGCTGAATAAATCTAAGCAAAGAGAGTTAGCATTGTACTTTGAGACCATGTGTGCATATAGATACTGTAAATGCACATGTAGGGGATCCCTGGGTGGCGCAGCGGTTTAGCACCTGCCTTTGGCCCAGGGCGTGATCCTGGAGATCCAGGATTGAGTCCCACATCGGGCTCCCGGTGCATGGAGCCTGCTTCTCCCTCTGCCTGTGTCTCTGCCTCTCTCTCTCTCTCTGTGACTATCATAAATAAATAAAAATTTAAAAAAAATGCACATGTAGGAAGTCAAGTGATGCATTTTAACATGGTCCCATAGAATCTCTCCAGGACCAAGAGCCATATAGGGCTAGTCCTTGCTTAAGGTCACAGAATTGAAGAGAAGGGATGGGTCAGGCATGGCAAATGCAGATGCCTGTAAGTTGATGCTATAATAAAAATATTTAACTTCATCCCTGACCAGTTGGAACTATTGCCACCTGCAAACAACTGGTAAGCCTAATTTGTGACAGTCAGCCCTGCCCATAGGGACCCTGACTGCAAGGGTATTGAGTGGAGTAAGATAAGAAAATACATAGAACTGAGACCCTTGAGAAATGGAAAGCACCAGTCCCTCTAACAAGTCCAGCTGCTACAGCATACCAGCCAGTTGTCACGTGGGAATGCCGGCCTACTATTGTTGGTCTTCCCATGGTTTTGAAGAGGATATTTCCTGATTTTTAAAACACCATGGTGACCTGATGAACAGCTAGTCTTCAGCTTCTGGTTTAAAGTAATGTAAATGTCACATGAACTCCGGTTGGTATTTAGCAAAGTAAACCAATAATATTGGAACTAGACCAATAGTTCCCTTAGAAGGGACCAGTAAAACACTTTCAGAATTTATGTAAAAACTCTCCCTCTAGATCAGATCTGGGTACTGCCTTTGATCATATTCTGTTTTGTTTTTAATATCTGGGAAAAATATTAAGCTCTTAAAAAGCCTTCTGTAGTTTGATCTTACCAGTTCAGAGAAGTGGTTCTCAATCTTCAGGGTGTATCAATGTTCCTGCAGGGCTTGCTAAAAAGCAGATATCCTGGGCCTTATTCTAAGAGTTTCTGATTCACTGGGGGGTGCAGCCTGAGGATTTACATTCTGACAAATTTCTAAGTAATTCAAAGTGCTGCTAGTTCAGGGGGTTATACTTGGGGAACCACTGGCTTAGTTTGTTCCCTTCTACTAAAGGTTAGTATGGTGTACAGCTGCAGGGATTGTAACCTACTAATGTGATATGTTTACAATGTGAAATAATATTGCTTATTTTTGTTGTAACACCCCCCCCCAAGTAAACTCAATTTAAAAAGTACATTTGATGTGGAATTTTGCCAAAATACAACTCTAATAGATTTGGGAAGCATAGTTTTTTTCTTGTAGAAATTTTCCTGCTTTTTTGCAGGTTTTTATCATGTATTTTAGTAGCAGAGGAAGGGCAGATGAAACTGGTTCTTATTTGGATTAATATGCCTAATGGTTTTAAATAGATCTGAGTAGTTTTTTTTCCCCAATATGACCCTTGACAAATTAGTGTATCTCTTTAGAGTTGGACCCATTTGATATCTACCTACCCATCTATCAGTCTGTCCATTCATTCATCCATCCATCATCCATCCATCCATCTGTTCAATTCTTTATCCAACTCACTCTCTGATTTACTTTTAAAAATATATCTTTGAGAAATAGTTTAGGAGCTATGCTTAATTATTTAGCTGTTTAATATTATTTAATTAATGGTTTGATTAAGTTTTTTAAACCTGAGAATGATTTTTTTTTCAACATAAATATATGGCATAGAAAACTGTAAGGAGGCAGCAGCATTTGAGATTTTTTCCCCCTAAAATAAATGCTTATAAAAAAATACATGAAGCAAAAGATATATTAAAGAAGGGTACTGACTTTTACTTTTTTTCATATTTGTTCACAGTGTTCTTTAGATTCCAGTTTGAGAATTATGATTTGCCTCTTGAAGATACCCTCTACCAATGCCACAAGGGTATGTATTATATGTTTCAGTAAAACAGCCCACTGGTTATTCAATTATTTTTTAACCTAAAAAGACAGGCATATTAATAATTTTGAAGTAGTTATTGCATACTGAATGTTTCACTTTCAAACATGATGAAAGTGTCTAGTATAAAGAGTTCTAGTATGTCACAATATCATTTTTTATAATTGGCCCTCTTAGTTCTGGGCTATGGCCAACAGTCTGCCCTCCACACTGTGATCTAGGTGATCCTTCCAAACACAGATCTTACTGCCTTGATTCCTTGCTTAAACATCTTTGATCCCATCTCATTTCTTTTAGGATAGTGTTCAAATTTCTTAATGTGGCATTCAAGAAGGGACTTCATTAATTTGCCAGCCTACCTTTCTAATTTCAGCTTCAGCTCCTTGTCCCATCCCCCATGCCTCCTGCCTACTTTCAGAACCATCATCATTATCATCAAAACAACAACCACTGTTTGTTGAGCACTTACCATATGGCAGGCATCATGCTAACTGCTTTATGTTTATAATCTTATTTAATTTCATACTTCCTTGCCTTGGCTTCAGCCATTTCCTCTGCCTGAAATGCTTTATGCTCTTGCTGGTGAGGTGAACTCCTCATTCTTCAAGATGAGAATCTGAATCCCATTTAAATTAAAAAAAGTGAATTGGAATTCTCTGTAGCAACTTTCTCCCATATCAGATCCCACAGTACTTGATAGAGCTCTCTGTACCAAAACTTACATTGTATGAAAGTCTCCCCAGTGAGACTCTGAGCTTCATGAAGTCCACACTGTGTCTCCTTCACTGTGTATTCCTGGGCTGCATTATATACAATGTTTCTTGGCTGAATTATATAGAATGATGCAATAGTTTGCATAGCAATGGCTATAACTACTAGTTAATATACCAAGAAGCCACATCCCCTATAACTTTATACCTTGACTGTGCTTTCATAAACTGGTAGTTTGTGCAGGAAAAGTTGCAAAGAGATCATTTGGTCTAATCTGATCATTTATAGATAAAGAAACAGGCTCAACAAGATGAATTGGATTGGCCAAGGTTATATAGTTGATTAGTAGAAGGTTTGAGACTTGAACCTAGATCCTTTGATTCCAAGTTCCTTGATTTTTCTGGTATACTCTACCGCCCCATCACTAGCTGCTTTGCTGGATTAAAAAAAAAAAAAAAACAAGGTTTCTTATTTAGGTTTGAATTCAGATTTTTTTTCTTTTTTTTCTTTTTTTTTTTTTTTTGGTGAATAAAGATGCGTTATATATCAACTGGAGATATAGTCCGGTTGCCGTTCATCTATCATCCGTATTTCAGGGCAACAACATTTATACAGAGCAAAGAATACTGAATCAACAGTACTATTCTGAAGGGTTCCTCTAAGATTTTCTATATGGAAAGTGCTATACGGGTTTCTGTAGGGAATATAAACAAATAAAGGGCATAATTCCTATCCTCCGGAGTGACTAACATGTAACAAATACATTTTTATATCAATAAGGAAAAAGGATCTAAAAAATTCTCGTATCCTTTGATTTAGTTATTCCTTTTCTGGGAATCTCTTCTAAATGAGAAAATGAAAATGTAAATTTCACACAAAACATGTTTATTGGAATGTTATTTATAATAAAATAATAATAAAATAAAACTTTTATAATCCAGACCACTAGGACTATGGAGGTTGAGAAGTAGTGGAAATCATGGCATGAAAATCTTTTGGAGCCCCGTTAAAATTGTGTCTTCCCTAAAGAGCAGTTCTACCTCTGGAAAATTGCCATTTGGAATTTGGATTTGAATTCCATTCAATAGCTGTATGGCCTTAGGCGAGCTGCTTGCCTACTTAAACCTCAGCTGCAGAATAGGGACACCAGAGTTCCAGAGTTCTGATGCAGATCACGACTAACAGTGACGGAGGGCTCACTGCTGCCAACCTACATTACCTCCCCAATTTCTGACAGCAACACTAATGAGGTGGAGACCACGATTATCCTTATTTTACGGAGGGGAGAACTAAGTCCAGAACTAAATCACTTATTCCAGGTCACAGAGAGCTGGAGTTTGAAAATAATTGTGTGAGATTCTATACTTTGTGTCATTAACTATTATAACATACTGTCCCTCTGGGATTGTCATAAGAAATTTGAACAAGATAAATTATGTAAAAACACCTAACTGCCTGATACTTAGTAGGTTCTCAATAAATGTTTCTAAATGACTTTAGAGAGCAGATGGATCTTAAACTGACCCTTTATGGGTGGGATTCAGATGGAGACACCAAAACTGTGCCTTCCTGATAAACACTGGCAAGAAGCTGGGTCGTGATGAGTTTTATCTAAGCTAATAGTGCTTGTACTTACATGCACGGTGCTTTGTGCTACTTAACCAAGATGACAGATTTCAAAGGAGCTGGAGGGGCGAGCCCATAGATGCCTACAGATTCTGAGATATAGAATGGAAAATCATAATACAAACCTCACAGAGTCTTGGTTGCTGGGGTGGACATGAAGACAGTGTTGGAGTTGATAAGGTTTATAAATGATGCCACCTGGGAAAATGGATTTCCTTTTCTAACAATAAAATGATTAAATCATACTCTTTCAGGCATTGATTGAAGGTACAGTTCTGTTCTTGTTACATCAACAGAGTGGCTCCAGTAGCCACCTGGCTACAGATTTTAAATAAAGGAACAATCCCATTAGTTAAAGTATCAGAAGACTTTAATACTTTTTTTTTTAAATGAAAGAATCAGCAGTTGATTTTCTTTGGCCCCAATCTCATTGCAGAGTCTGCTGGAGCCATTTTCAAAACTGCTCAGCTTTGTAATTCAGAACGCCGTCTTCACTCTGGCCTACCTAGTGGAGGTGTGTGGTCTGTGTTACCGAGCTTTCACAAAGGTAAGCCCGCCTACATGTTTGTTCTCTGAGAAACTGAAAACTGGCAGGGACATTCTTTCTAACCAGTGTCAATGCTTGTTACATTAATTGCTTCAATATAGTTAAACATGAGCAATTCTACTGAAGTCTAATAATTACCCCTGGAAGGAAACATCTTGTGCCAATATATACAAACTGTATCTTAAATATACACATTTGAAGAAATGAGGGTACTGTGGTTTAAAAGAGAAGAGATAACTGTAAATGAAATTAGCCAGTGGCCTTAATGACCTCTTATGGTCCCTTTCAAGTTCACCATCCCATGATTAGTTGGCAAGCCATCACAGTATGTCATTGTTATACCCAAAGTAGAAAAAGTATCAGCTTGTCATTTGTAAAATCCTGTGGAGTGCTCCTTAATTCTCATCACTTGTCTGTCTCCCCACTTCTGGATTCTTAGCCTCTGAGATTATAATCTCATCTTTTGTCATCTTGCCCTTTATAATGGTTTCTGTATTGCATCATCTTTAGTTTCCCCTGGCCCGCTACAGAGGAAGTAGAAAAGTACTGCTTACCCAGTGCACCCAGTAGCTTCGGTGAAACTAGGAGATCCTCCCAACGGAGAGGCAGGGTCCACAGGGAGCGTCTCTGTCCTTAAGAACAATGTGCAGTGTTACTCTTCCAATTTCCAAATGTTCCAAGTTTATTTTCAGTGACGTCTCTGTTTCTGTTGTTCTCTCTTGAACCTTCAGAATATTCCTTTATTCATATTGTCCACTTCTAAAAGCCTTTTGTTTTCCCCATTAAGAAAATAATTTTATATCAAGGCTTTCACTCTATTTAAAACACCCTCGTCTTTTTTTCTTACCATCTTCCGTCCATTCTGCCATGTTAAGTGTCCCATGATAATCTTCTATTTAGTCTTTCTGATTACAAACTGTTACTTTGCCTGGAACAATATGTTTTCTCACTATCCAAATAATCAGCATTTTTTTTCTTCTTTCAAATCTTTCCTGAAAAATAAATTCTTCCTTTTTTTTCTTTCTTTTTTTTTTTTTTGGTCAGTTAAAACAATAGATCTGTAGGACACAGTACCAGATACAATGTAAAGACATACAAATACAAATAAAACAAATCATTTTATTTATTAATTTTCTTGATGATTGGTTTGTTTTTTTTTAAACATATTTTTTATTCTTTTTTATTTATTTATGATAGTCACACACAGAGAGAGAGAGAGAGGCAGAGACACAGGCAGAGGGAGAAGCAGGCTCCATGCACCCACCGGGAGCCCGATGTGGGATTCGATCCCAGGTCTCCAGGATCGTGCCCTGGGCCAAAGGCAGGCGCTAAACCGCTGCGCCACCCAGGGATCCCGATGATTGGTTTGTTTAAATGATACATTTTTTTAGGGTAAGGGCCATAATGATGAGTTTGTGCTTTCTGTGCTGTGTACTACAGAGATTGATTACAGAGGACCTTCACTATTTTGAAGTCAAGATATTCTTAGGTTTGAACATTCATTATATATTACATGCTTTCCAAACCAGTCATCACTCTAGTGGCCTCCTGCTTCCTGTTGTCATCTGCCCATTCCCAGGTGTTGAACTTGAAATGTTTCTTGTAGAAAGCTTCAGTTTTAGGGGGTTCCCACCTTCCTTATCAATAATAGGAAGCTATTGGAAACAGCTTAAGAAAGAATAGTGTCTAAGTGAGCCTTCTCCCTTATTCAATCAAGAGAAAAGGCATGGAAAAGCAGGGGCTTTGGAGACTTCTCTTTTTGGCAATCTGGCAGTCTAGATAATTGAAAACTGTCCCACTTAGCATGATAGAAATGCTAGATAAAATATAATGAATGTGATTTTAAATGTGTAGGTAATTTTTTAAGAATGAAAAGGGCAAAATTGGAGAGGAGTTTGAGAACCAGAGTGGTAAGCATATAAGGTGAGTGCAGTCACTGTCGTCATACAACATTATTAAAATATTATGGACTATATTCTCAATGTAGTACTTTTCATCTCTATGAATTATCAATTTCATAACTAGGATTTTGCATCTTTCAATTTCCTTTATCTATTCCTTGTGTCCCCTCACCCTTCTCCCCTTCTCCCCTCTGCCAACCACCAGTTTGTTCTATTTAAGAGTCTGTTTTTTTATTGTTTTGTTTTTCAGACTCCCCGTATAAGTGAAATTATGTGGTACTTTCTTTCTCTGTCTGACTTATTTCACTTAGCTTAATACCATCTAGGTCTGTCTGTATTGTCTCAAATGGCAAGATTTAATTCTTTTTCATGGCTGAGTAATATTCCAGCAGATGCACATGTATGGCATATGTGCACACACACATACTACATCTTCTTTATCCACTTATCTATCAGTAGACACTTGGATTACTCCATATCTTACCTAGTGTAGATAATACTTCAGTAAACATAAAGGTACATATGTCTTTTTGAATTAGTGTTTTTGTTTTCTTTGGTAAATACCCAGTAGTGGAATTACTGGATCATATGATATTTCTATTTTTAGGGATGCCTGGGTGGCTTAGTGGTTGAGTATCTGCCTTCGGCTCAGGTCATGATCCCGAGGTCCTGGGATCAAGTCCCACATCAGGCTCCCCTTGGGGAGCCTGCTTCTCCCTCTGCCTATGTCTCTGCCTCTGTCTCTGTGTCTCTCATGAATAAATAAATAAAATCTTTAAAAAATTAAATTAAATTAAAATATAAAACACATCTAAAGACATTGTGGTATGAAGGAAAAAGAGTTTAAAAATATACCAGGCAAATACTAATTAAAAGAAAGTTGAAATCAGTAAACAGAATTTAAGTTAAAAAGTATTATTATAGGGCAGCCTGGGTGGCTCAGCGGTTTAGTGCTGCCTTCAGCCCAGGGCCTGATCCTGGAGACCCAGGATCGAGTCCCACGTCAGGCTCCCTGCATGGAGCCTGCTTCTCCCTCTGCCTCTCTCTCTCTTTCCCCCTCTCTCTCTGTCTCTCATGAATAAATAAATAAAATCTTTAGAAAAAAAAAGTATTATAAAAAGGTTGCCCTCTGTTGATAAAAGGAACAATTCACTTGGAAAATGTGACAATTCTAAAACTTGTAGAGTTAATAATACAGCCTTATATAAACCAAAAATGAATAGAATTACAAAGAGAAGTTGCCAAATTCATACTCCTAATGGGAGATTTTGACACATCTCTTTCAGTAATTGATAGATCAAGTAGATAAAAAAATGAATAAAACTTACTAGTTTTGAGCAATATAATGAGCAGATTGAATCCAATAGACATATGAAGAATCTAAAATCCACCAGTCTGAGAATATATTTAAGAAAAAGCATATACATAACACTTATAAACATAGACCAGGTAATGGGCCACAAGTAAAGTCTTTTTTATTTTTTTTTATTTTTATTTTATTTTATTTTATTTTATTTTATTTTATTTTATTTTATTATCTTATTTTATTTTTAAGTAGGTTCCAAGCCCAGTGTGGAGCCCAGTATGGGACTTGAACTCAAGACCTGAGCTGAGATCAAGTGTCAGATGCTTGACTGACTGAGCCACCCAGGCATCCCAGGCCACAGATAAAGTCTTAACACATACACTGGGGAATACTCATTTCAGAGAGATCAAGTTCTTTAATCACAATGCAGTTAAATTATAAATCAGTAACAAAATCATAACCACATAATAGGTGTTCAAGGGTGACCTAAAGAAAGGCTCCACATTGAAGAGGACACCACTCACATCTTAGACATACTACATTTTATGTGAGTATTGAGGCAGGTGTAGAGATTTGGGGCCTCCTGGTTAAATCCTAGAGCAGCTGGGATAGGCACCCCCTACATAAAGTCACACCAGCTCAGTGGCCCTTAAACACGCGAACAGCATATATGCACACATTCCTGGCACACATGTGCAGGCGGCTATGCCCTGTCTTAGCTACCACCTAGGGGCCTGAGATTCTTCTCTTGACAGTCCCCTCTGCTCAGATGTCTAAATCCTGACTCCCTGCCAGATTCTGACCCTAACCCAGTCACTTTGCAGGAATGGGGTGTGTGTAGAATGTATCCCTGTGTAGTGCTGAGGATGTATGTGAGTGGGTGACAGGGCATGTGCACAAACACATCCAGGGTTAATGTGCACAGGTTTGCAGCTATGTGTTAATGTGATGTATGTTTGTGTTGTGTGTGTGTCCTTTTTCAAATTTATACAAAAGCACTGAATGGATTAATGGTGTCTAGGACCTGATATAGTTGGAAATTTGAAATATGCTTTTAAATGATTCATCAAAGGAGATACGAGAATTTAGAAAAATATTTAGAACTACACAAATATGAAAATACTATATTCTAAAATTTAAGATATATAGCCACAGAGCTATTTAGAAGAAAATGTATGGTTTTAAATACTTCTGTTGGAAAAAAAAGAGAAATGAAATGAGCTAACAAGTCAGGGTGAAATAAATGTAATAAAGTAACCATCAGAGGATTTAAAGGAAGGAAATAATAAAGATAAGAGCAGGAATTAATGAAATGGAAAACATAGCCACAGTGGAGGATCATTACAACCAGAAGAAGGCTTTTGGGTTAGACTAATAAAAGACAAAACTTTAGCATGACTGATCAAGAGAAGCAGAGAAAAAAGGCACAGATAAAGAGTATCAGTGGTGAAAAAGGGAACGTAACTGCAGACATAATAGAGATTTTGAAACAACTTTATGCTAGTGAATTTGAAATCTTGCACAATAGGGACAGTTTTCTAGAAAAATGTAACGTAGGACAACCAGGAAAAAAAGATGACTAGACCTAAAGGATTAAAAAAATGGAATCCATAATTAAAAACTGTTCAGTTATAAAGATAAGTTCTATTAAACAGTGAAGGAACAGATTGAGCTCGACTTTGTGCAAACTAATACAAAGAATCTAAAGAAGGGAATGCTTCCAACATCTTTTATGAACCCAGTAGCATCTTGTTATCAACCAGACAAGGGCAGTGGGAGAAGGAAAAATCACAGGCCAATTCTACTTCAAAGGTATAAAAATTCTGAATGAATAATAGCAAATTAATGTGTTAAAAATAAAGCCTTGGGGCACCTGGTGGCTCAGTCACTTAAGTGTCTGCCTTTGGCGCAGGTCATCATCTCAGGGTCCTGGAATCAGGCCCCGCATGGGGCTCCCTGCTGAGTGGGGAGTCTGCTTATTCCTCTCCCTCTGCCTCTCTCTCTGCATGTGTCCCCCACTCCTCTCAAATACATACATACATACATACATACATACATACATAAAACCTTAAAAAAAAAAAAACAAAGCCTTATGGCCCAGTGAGGATTTTCTTGAAATATAAGAATGGTTTAAATATTAGAACATTGATTTATGTCATCATGTTAGCAGGTTAAAGGTGAAAAATTTGTATCATACAGCAGATAAAAGAGAAGCATTCTATCCCATTTGGGATGACTTTTGTTAAACTAGGAAAAGATGGGAACTTCCTTAACTTATTATGGTGCCTACCAGAAATCTCTAGGAAACATTATACTTAATGGTGAAATGCCAACGGAGTCCCTTAAAAATAGTAAGTAAGGCAAGAATGCCCATTATCACTGTTCTATTCATTATGATCCAGGAGCGCCTACTCAGTTCAGTAAGATAGGAAAAGCACCATCAAATGTATAAGGATTGGAAAGGAAAAATAAAACTCTCACTTTCGATAGATGATGTGATTACAGAGGAACCAAAGAAAATCTACTTGTAGACACTTCTTTATAACTTTTGTGAGAGAGCTCAGCAAGGATGCTCATTACAAATGAATACTCACCTTTAATATTCAGCTACGAATTATTATAAAGTATACTTTAAAAATGTCACCTATAGTGTCAACAAAGAATAAATCTAACAAAAATGTGCAAGAACTTTATGGAAAGTCTTATTTGACAATGTTAAATAAATGGAGACAGTTCTCATGTTTGTGGATGAGAACCCAGCATAATAAGGACAGCTAATTCTCACCAAATAACCCATAAATTTATTATAATTTCAATAAAAATTTTACACTTCTCTCCTGATAATAATAGGCTAGATCATTTGTACCTATCTTTCCACTTAAAAAGTGAAAAAAGAAGTGAACAAAATAATTTCTGAACATTTAAGTGCATCAAAATGCCAACCCAGGTATAGATGAATCACCAGGCTAAGATCTGGGAGACCACAGAAGTGCAGAGATGTGATTGAGAGGTTGAGCTGCAATTCTGAAAGATCCAGGAGGTGAACAGAGTTAATGCAGGACCTATCAGGAGCAGGGATTCAGTCTGATACTCTACCCCTGCCAGCCCGCCCCACCCTGTTTGTCAGGACCACAAAGTGAAGATAATCCAGAGGTAAAATTGCCCTCACATGGATCAAGCTCAATGTCAGACCCTTCAGTGGCCCAAGATAAGATATTATAAGACTTGTGTGTTTAACCCTGGACCAGACTAGTGCCTTCAGGGACCTGGTGAAAATCGAACAGAGAGCTTTTTGGATGAAGAGAACATTTCAAGCCTCAAATAATTTCTAGAAATATATATTTTTTAATATTTTATTTATTTATTCATGAGAGACACACACACAGAGAGAGAGAGAGAGTCAGAGACACAGGCAGAGGGAGAATCAGGCTCCCTACAGGGAGCCTGACGTGGGACTTGATCCTGGGTCTCCAGGATCATGCCCTGGGCCGAAGGCAGACACTAAACCCCTGAACCACCCAGGGATCCCCTAGAAATAATTTTTTAAGAAAGCATTCAGCACGCAAAGGTAATCAGACATTCAAGGAGGCAGTATACCATGAATAAAAATAAAGAGAAAGAAAATGGATGCAGATCCATAGGGTCTCCATTTACTTGGTTATGATCAGGGAAGGACACGCATTCTAAGCTACTTGTGATGTGCTGCTGCTCTTTGACCTGGGCATTCAGTCGATACAAATCCATTTTATCTGCACATTTATGTTTTATGTACGTTTCTTCATGTGTATTGTAGTTGGCAATAAAAAAAAACTTTGAAAATGACCTCATGTTCTATTAACGGGAGAACAGATCAATGAATTTTGGCATGTTCATATAATAAAAATGTTATTAAGCCATTTAGTTGAAAGAACTAGAGCTACATGTATCAATAGGGACTAATTTTAAAAAATGTAGTGAGAAATGAAAAGTTGCAGAAAGAGATGCACAGAATGATACTGTCATAGAAAGTTAAAAAGACATGCAAAAATAATATTATGCCTTGTGATGAAGGCATGTATATATAGTAAAAATATACATGAAATAATAAGAACCAGATTCCAAATAGTGGCAACCTCTAGGAAGGGAGAAAGAAAAGAGAGCACCATATGCTTCAACTGTTTCTGTGATTTTTTTTTTTTTGAGAGAGAACGAGCACATGTGCAGGAGTTGAGGGGGAGGACAGAGGAAGGGGAGAATTTTAAACAGGCTTCACACCCAGCATGGGGCTCGATCTCACCACCCTGAGATCCTGACCTGAGCAGAAACCAAGAATCAGACACTTAACCAACTGAGCCACCCAGATGCCCCTCTGATCTTTTATTTATTGTGAAAAATATTAAGTAAAGCAAAATGTTATGATTTGACACTTTGGGTGGTAGTGCACAGTATATTGCATCTCTATTTTTCTGCCTGCTTAAGCACCCATTTGAAAAGTAAGTTCTTTAGAGAGGATGTGAGACAGCTGTTTCTCTCAAATCATTTTCTTTTGGAAAAAAAATGCCCTTCGATTTGTTTAATTTCTGCATTTCTTGGAACTTACCATTTCCTGTAAATGAGGACCAAATCTATTGGTTTTGGCATTTAAGAGATATCCTGTTCTTTTCTTATCTGTTGAATTATGTTTTCTCAGTCCTTCAGTAAACTCATTACACACAAAAAATGCCTTTTAAATTATTTCTTTTTAGTTTTAATTTTACTTCTTAAGGACCGTTCATTATGCATTTTCAAATACTGTGTTTCATTTCCAGTCTATGGAACTTTTGGAAGTTCTTTTGACATAGATCTATTCTAACCGAGTTTTTAGACATAGCTTAAAACTTCTCTTTTGTTCTGTTTAGGAGCGGGATAAATTCTACTTGTCTCGTGGTGTTGTTCTGGAACTCCTGCAGGCCCTGAAGCTCAAGTCCCCTTTACCAGATACAAACCTCCTCCTGCTTGTCCAGGTGGGCTTATGTGTGTTGTACTTTCCATGAGATCCACTATGTTTGGAAAGATTAAGGAAGGTGTGGGGATATTGCACAAATCAAATAACTCTGCCCAGAAATGAGAAATAATCTATCTTATATGAGCCATAATCAAAGCAATATTATGCACTCAGCACTTGCACTGGCTAAACCAGATGAAAAAGGAGCATTTATTTTGTTCCTGTGGTGGAACTAGTTCTGTGAGGGGCTAAAAGAAGAATGGAATAGTAATTTCTGTCCTCAAGAAATATACATCTGGGTAGGTCAGAGGGCAGATCATTAACAACTACTAGAACTGGCAAGAGATTAATGAAGCCACAAATAAGGGACCAGGCTAAGATCTGGATGCAGAATTACCTACATATGGATGGGTTGTCAGATCTCTGTGAAGCAGAAATGAAGTTGAGGGTGGGCCCAACCATATATAGTCAAGTGGCAGGACGTGTGTAGTCCAACTGGGGTAGCCAGTGGATGTGAAAAGCACCAGCACCCATAGGAGTCCTGAGGCAGAGGGACTGGAATGCATACAAGGCAGGTTCTGGAGAACTTACAGTGTCAATGCTTTTGGCTGTAGGGTTACTGATGAGGGACCAAAGACCTCCATCCCTGGCATTCTTAGCTCAGCAACTTAGACAAGTGTGCAGGTTTTTTATCACATGAGACAGGCTTTGACAGGTGAGAGAGATATATATAAACAAAATCCTGGGGGAGTTTAGAACAGGAGGCATCCCATCTCTTACGATGTGAACTCAGGGAAAACTTTATGAAGGAGGTAGCATTTGAGCTAGGCCACAAAAGACTGGTGGATGCAGGCAAAAGTCTTTCTGTGAGGTTGGGTTTCAGCGCTGGGGGCTAAGCAATGGGGGGAGGCTTCAAGAGGAAGGTGGAATAAACTTAGGGATGATCACCTAAGGATAGAGTTGAGAAAAGCAGGCTGGCTGTGCTAGAGACACCAGCATTGGGTAGACTGGGATCCCACCTCACACTCCAAGGGCTGAGGCTAGACTTAAAGACGTGGCCATGAGCTACAGCTGAGACCAGGTTGTCTGTCATTCAGACTGCCTTTGCGCAAAGTGCGCAGGAAATGAGTCATAGCTGTTGTATTTCTTCCTGATGAGAGGTAAGACCAGTCCCAGAGAATGGGCCTACAAGGTTGGTCAAATGACCAGGGGAAAATAGGAGCTTGAGATCAAGGAACTAGATAAGTGACCCTGGATCTTAGGTACTATGGGTGCCATTTGGAAAGATGAGGGAGGAGACATTATAAGCACCTGTTATTATGCTGGGTGCTTTCCATCCTCCTCGCATTTAATCCTTACAACCGTGGGAGGTATTAGTTCGTATCGCAGATGAGAGACTGAGGCTATCAGTGGGGGTTCAGTGACTTGCTGAAGACCACGTAGCCAACATAAGTGGTGTCCACCTCTGCCACAGTCTACTCAGTGTGGAGCCCTGCCTAGTCAGGTTCCCAGCATCACTTGCCCCTCTTACCTTCTCAACTCCTAGCTGTTGCACTGCTCTCCCCTCTCTCCACACGAATGCAGTCTTCTGGCCTCTGGCTGACAAAAGGAATTTTGCTCAAACTCTGCTTTTTAATCAGATTACTTCCTGTACCGAAAACCCACACTGACCTGAACAATGAGGTCTTCCATCACCTGGCCACACTGGCCATTGGCCAATAGCCATATTGACTATTCAGTACTATCTCTCACTACAAATAGTTACAGACTACCTACCTCGGGCTAGGTTTGAAGAGATATGGTGATGTAAGACATTAACCCTATCCCGATAGTATGCTAACCACTACACCAGAAGTGTACCTAGTATGTAGAATACTAGAGCAGAGGGAGTAGCCAGCTCAGCCTGGGAGATGGAAGAAGGCTCAGTAAGCCAGTAGGAGCCCTGACCTGGCCCAGGTGCTGGGGAAGTGAATAAGCCATTGCCCTTTCCTTCCAGGAGTTTATTCTGCAGTAGGTGAAGTTGACATGTAAACAGACATTTCCAATACAGTGAAGTGGGTACAATAACAGAGGTATGCGCTGAGTAAGGAAGTGGTTGTGGAAGAGGAACTGTGTGGACTTTGAAGTATGTACAGAAATTTAGGAGTTTACCCAGGAGACAACGAGGAACAACAGCTGTCATTTAGCCTTTAATATTCACTATTGGTCTCCCTCCTCCACCACCATATACTACTAGTCCTTAGAACCAGAATTGAATGTTCCTCAAAGGCATGAAACTTAATGAGAAGTTGATGTGCTTTCAGTGAGCCATGGGCTAGTCTTCCGGGGTGCACTGAAGCCCTCTGAGAGCAGTGATTGCTGGCCAGTGCCAGCAGTGAATGTCAGGCATGATGCAGTCAGAACGAAAGGCCTTGCATTGTGCCAGAATGCTAGATAGCCCAAGAGGAAGACAAGAAAAATCACAGCCAGGAAATACTTGTGTTCCTTTTTTTTAAAGATTTTATTTATTTATTCATGACAGACAGACAGAGAGAGAGGCAGAGACACAGGCAGAGGGAGAAGCAGGCTCCATGCAGGGAGTCCGACGTGGGACTCAATACCCGGTCTCCATGGGACTCAATCCCCGGTCTCCCGGATCACACCCCAAGCAGAAGGCGGTGCTAAACCGCTGAGCCACCAGGGCTGCCCAATACCTGTGTTCCTAAGGAGGGACTGACTCTGAATCTCTTCCATTGGCTAGCCTCTCCTACTTAAGCTTCAGCAGCTTCACTTTAGAAAAAAAGAATTTATTTATTTGAGAGAGAGAGCACAAGTAGGAGGGAGGGAGAGAGGATGAGGGAGAAGCAGGCTCCCCACTGAGCAGGGAGCCTGATGTGGGGCTTGATCCAGGATCCTGAGATCATGACCTGAGCCAAAGGCAGACACTTAACCTATGGAGCCACTCAGGCACCCCAGTTTCACTGCCTTTGAGTATAAGCAGCTTTGACACCAACAGACCATAAGGATTAATGGTATTCACGCTGGTTTGGAGTAGAGGGCAGGTGAACTGGGCCTAGGGATTTAAGCTAGCAGGTTGACAGTGTCTGGGAGTAACTTGCTTCCGATGGTGTTCCAGATGGGGACCTGCCACCTCAAAACAGCATAGGTTTCCAGGCCCTACAGGTGCTTTCCTGCCTCCATGTTCCCTTAGTTGCCCTCAGTCATGAGTGGAGCTGATCTCTGTGGCTGATCTTCTTGGGGTCTAGCACCCCATGCAGTGTCTGCTGCCAGGGGTTGGTTTTCTGTGAAGTACATTAGTCAACCATAATAAGCACTTGTCACAAGACAGCAAAAGAACACTGACAGTTTAAATTGCCCAGTACTTAAGGAAACCATGAAAACAGTGATTATTGCATCACCACTAGGTGAATAAATAACAAAACAAATTAGCTTTAGGAATAAAGAAGCCAAAAAAAGTAGATTGTTCTGAGTATGGTTTTTTGGATTCTCATATACCATTTCAAATAAATACCATTTTCATCTTTTTAGAACAAGTATGTATTTGTCATTGAATCATTAAATTTTAAGAATCAAGTTGTAAGATTATTTAGGTTGGAGAGATATTTCAGAGACACTTAGAGGTCATGTCCATGAGAACCGACTTTATGAATAATATTTCAGTCTCCCCAATTAGAAAATGGTAAACATTACGCCATTTTGAAGTAATATATTTTTGTTCTCCATACTCTTAGAATAAACTGTTTTCATCGCTGAGAGAAATAAAAATTAAGCCCACTTAAAAAACCTGAGGTAGTTTCTTTATCTTCCCAATGGTTTCTGGCTAAGCCATGGAGAGAGGTCCTCCCTGGGGCTCCTCATGGGCTGAGGGAAAGGGATCTTTCATCTCTCTTCATGAATAGGACATCTTTCTACAGGTTTTTCCTAGTTCCTTTTCTCTTGCCCTTGGCTGAAGGATTCCTGCAGGGTTTTCTGGAAGATATTGGAGGTGATAGCCTGTTGTCTGGTAGCTTCTCTTAGGCCAGAGAATCTAGTCTGGAGTTCGAGAGAAGCTTTCCTCTTTACTGATGGACATCAGCTCCTGGTACCTGGAGGACCAGTCTCACAGTATGGACAGATAACATGTCTGGGGCTAACAATGCCTTCCTCTGATGGCAGTGGGGGTGACTTTGTTTAACTCAAGGTACAACTTGGAAACGGAAAGGAAAGCATTGGTTGGAAGGAAAAAATGCCCCAGTGATCTGTCATGAATGACACTGGTTCCTTTAGAGACAAGAGAGTCAGTTGCTCAGACCTTGGATTTACCCTTCATTCTTTCCTCCCACAGGGACCAGGAGGGTACTTCCGTTAGTACTTCTCTAATCCCGTACTAGGTAGATGAGTTTATGGACATGGAGCTGTTGCTAGTCTTCTCATAGATAGAGACCTCTGTTGTTTGCCAAATACTCTGCCCTTAAAGAACAATGGAGCATTTTTCCAAGGGATGTGGAGTCACCCAAGTTTTAAATGTTTCAAGGTAGGATAGGTACCAATTGTTTTTTTTAATTCCTAGAAATTCTTTCTGGAGGCCCGGTATCATGGGAAATCTCCCACCTGTTCGCTGTGGTCATCTAGCTGTGACTCCTAATACTTGTTTCAACTTTCCTATCAAGTCTTAGACATGCAAATGGATTCTTTACTTTTTAAAGAAATGTGGCTTTGAGATAGGCAAGAATTTGCTAAATTGAAAAAATAAAAAGGTGCATTCTTCAGAATCTAGGTTGTCAACCATCAGGACATAGCTCTTCTGCACTTTGGACAGATGCCCTATGTTGTTTTAATTCAGACATGTGGACATTTTTGCTTTCACCCACAACATCTTCTCCTCTGATGGCCTGCTGTAGATATCTTATATGTAATAGGTTATTGTAAGTGTTCTCTAGTTGGATTAGAGCAGAGTCTTCATAATACAGATAACTCACTAAGAGCCTCTGTGAAAGCTATAGAAGCTCAAATCAAAACAAATTTCCTCAGCTCCTATTATGTTTCAAGAGTAGACTATGCTAATTTGCATCTGGTACTCCCACTGTGTGTGGGATATACCTGTACAGTCAAGTGTGAGAAACCATGTGGGTGAAAGATTCTCTTTTAAAGATAGGTGAGTGGTGGGCTGGAGGACAAAGAAATAGCTGTTGTCTTTAAGTCAAAGATACTATTGACGTGGGGCTATTAGTTGAGTTAGTAATAATCTGATCACTCTCTGGATGAAAGGTGGAGATACTATTTTGAGTCTCACTTTGATAATGAAATTAGTAATAATTTCATAATGGATGTCGTGTTTCTTTTGTATTCTTTTGTGTTCGTGCGGGAGTGCGTGTTTCATTAGACATATTTCTGTCTCAAAGTATAGAATTCTTCTTTCTGCAATAAACATCCTTTCTCTCTCTGGTTTTAGTTATATCTTTATATCGTGAGCAGTTCTATAAAATCATAATGGGGTTTTGCAGTTTATGGTTGTCAGCTGTGTAAAAAGACAAAAGTATTTATTGAGGTTTTAATTGTATATATTATGTAAAAATTACACTAGATTTATGTATTTTTATTTAAGAAAAAAAATTTTTTTAATTTTAAATAAACTCCATACCACACATGGGGCTTGAACTCACAACCTTGAGATCAAGATCAACTTGATCAAGATCAAGTTGCATGCTCTACCAGCTGAGCCAGCCAGACACCCTCCAAATTAAACTGGATTTAAATGCATGTATTTGATAAAAATCAAATAATACATAATTTTAGAGGCCCTATCTACTTTGATACACCAGAGACTCTGTGGTACTTCCATAAATGTCGGGGTGGATTTTTTATTAATTCTGACTTCTAAAAGTTACCACAAATCAGACATTTTTATCTGGTCTCACATCATTGACATTAGTAAGCTGACAACTGACTTCCATTATGCTGCTCATTTGGCTTTGCTGAGTATGGCAGGTGAGGAGGACTTCTGCTGAAAGGAGAGACATTGAAGTTTTGCTTCTCCACAGATCTTCTGTTGCTCTCAAGGACACAGCCAGGCTGTGTAAGCACACACTAGGGGGCCATACACAAGCACATGCTGTGCTCTGACACCACCGCAGAGCATCCCTGCTGCCTGGGCTTCCCTCCCCTCACACTTACATGCACTTCTGTCTACCTCTTGGCTCTCGACTCTCATTTCTGCTGTAAAGAAAGTAATTAAAATGTCGGTATCCTGGCAGAGGTTTTGAAACTTAGTTATGAGTAGTTTGTCTGAGATTGCAGACTCAGATAGCTTTTGAAAATACATTTTATGGGAAAACATGCAGTATCTGCCAGGAGATTGGGACTGTTTCTTCTTTTGGCCCTGTACTTCTATCCAATATTTTACTTTTTTACTGAAAGGTTCTGGTCAAAGTTATAGGCTCTCTCTTTAAAAAAAAAAAAATCCTGATTTATTTAGTTTTTTCTTATATTAGGAATAAGTCCAAGTTGGAGGGCTGCAGGAGCATTTCTGAATAAAATAATGGAACATTTTAGGATTTCCTGGATGCTACTAGCTGGTACTTTCTTTGCCAGATTCAGAGTTAATGGCCAAATAGATCCTTCAGTTTTCTGTAACTGTATTTGAGGCAAATGGAAATGATTGTGTGAGAATGGAGAATGGAGATATGGAACTACACCTGCCTCGAGGCTTTCAGAGACAACTGTGCTTGCTGTCCTCTGGCCTGCAGCTCAGTTCTGTAATGAAATACTCCTCCTGGAGGACCACACTTGAAGAGCAGCTCTTGAGCAAAAAGTCTCAGGGCGCCCTCAGAAGGTCTTTGGCCGAAATCTCTGGGTTGTTAGCCAGAACCCGCCCCTATTAATAATGCTCTAATTCTGAGCCCTGATTAGCCTGACAATATGCTGGTTTCTATTCTTAATCAACCTCCCTTGAGCTTTTCTCTATGATCTGAACCGATATTACTTTTCCCCGGTCTGCCAGGGTCCTGACTTACCTTACACGACTCATCATCGTGAACTACCTAAATTTTCTGTGCTCTTCCAGTGTGAGAGTGGAATGAAGGAGGAGGAGGAGTTGTCAGTGTCAAAGCTTCTTTCAGAGCCACTGAACTATGCAGAAAAGCAGCTCTGGATCCCAGACTAGTTGGGGCCACTGGCCAGGGGCCAGGGAAGAGAAATTAAGCAGGACCTAATAGCTCACAGTGAACTCTGCAGACTTCATGTTTAACTTTTTTCCTGAAACTATTAGTATATAGTTGGGTATTGCATGAAGTGGGAAACACTTATAAAATCTGTAATGAAGCAAATTAAATAGTAACCTGGGAAATCCATCCCCCATCATGATCTTGTCGTAACTGATTAATTGATTCTTTCACAAAGTTTTGCTGAGCCCCTCGATGATGTCAGGCAGGAAGCTAGTGCTGGGGGTCAGGTGCATGGAGTCTGTGCCCTCAGAGAGCTTGTAGCAGGTTGCAAAATAGACTCCTAGGTTACTGCAGTCTCATGTCGTGACTATCCAGTGGAAGCGTGTCAAGAGGCAAGGACGGGAGTGGGGGTCGTTATCAGCACAGAGGGGAGGTGTGGGTGAAGTGAGAGAGGGAAGACCAGAAGCTGAGGGGCCTCAGATGGGAAGAAACAGGTAGAGTACTTACAATGAGTTTGATTGTTTTTCTGTTTTCGTCTTAAATGTATAATATAATGATGAAGTCTGGAAAAATCTATGTGAATTCAGGAACTGTCGAGAAGCACTAAAGAATAAACAGAATAACTTCAGAAAAAGTCTGACAGCATTGCCGTCTTTCCCCTTTGACTGAGTGCACCATTTCGCTGCCATGTAGCTGTCTGGGTAAAAGTAAGAATCTGTGTGTCAATCTCAATTCTACAATTCTGAATTTCTGATAGGAACCAGCTGTTGTGATTAGCAAGTCCCACATATCCAGGGCAGATTGTCACAAGAGTAAACACTAATGCATTTAAGCCAAGTTAATAAAACTATAAATAACTTATTACTGTCCAAGTGCTCTTAAAAGTAATTATGCTTTCAATTTCTTATTAGTTTATTTGTGCAGATGCTGGAACCAAACTAGCGGAGTCAACAATCCTGAGCAAGCAGATGATTGCCTCTGTACCTGGAGTAAGTCCTGGCTGAATTAACTATCTGTGTTTTATATTTCTTCTCATTTCCCCATTTAATAAAGAGGCATTTCTGGTCTGTGTCCTGGCTCACTCTTGATAGAATAAACACTGTAAAACTGAGAACATATTAGCATTAAAAAAAAAGAAAGAAAGAAAGAAAGAAAGAAAGAAAGAAAAAAAAAAAAAGAAAGAAAGCACTAGTGAAAATTTAAGTTAATCCTAGTCCCTGGAAACTTTTAATTCCAGGAGACATCAGTAAAACTGAAGCAGCCAGTTAAGGGAAGGAAAGAAATTACCAGACATACAAAATACATTTGATTACAATTCAATTTTTCCAGAATCAGTTTTCTTTTACTGGCTCCCATTAACCAACTCAATTTAACCACTGCCAGAAAGAAATAAGCATTATGATACTTTGGTTTTCTTTGTAATATTTCCTCTGAAAATTAAAAAAAAAAAATCCCATTATTATGAACCAGTGAACTATTTGGTAAAATAGGTTAAGATTTTCACCAACAGGGCTAACAATGAGAAACCACAATAACATTAAGAGTAAGTTGACTGCAACGAAACTCAAGAAATTGTAGAGATATTTATTGTTAGTTGAAAAAAAGTATTTAAGTTTTAAATTATTTAAATTTTCAATAGGGAAATTTTTAAAGAAAAAGGATCACTTATAATCCCTCTGCCACTTTCACTGCTACTGTGTATGTGTGTGTATGTATATATACATTCCTACAAAGACAATCCTCATGTTTATTTTGAATTATATCCTTGGCATAAATTCCTTAGAAAGAAGGAATGTCTTAATGCTATGTAGTCTCCTATTGTTTTCTAAAAAAGTTTTTATTAATTTACATTTATAAGTACACCAGTTTTATTTACAATGGTAAACATTATTTTATTAAAATACTAGTTATTTAATTTTTTTGATATGGAAAAATTTTGACAGAGAAATAATAATCACGCAACACAGAGATAGTTTTGTTGCCACCATACTAATATATTTTCTTTCACTTTTTCTCTGCATATTTTTTTAAACCTAATTAAATTATAATATAGATGCAGCTTTGGTTTCATACGTCCTAAGCATTATCTCCAAAGTTTGATGGCTCCCTCTTGTGAATGCACCATAGAATAGTGCTTAAGTGGATGTGGGTTAGACCCACAGCAGCATCTGAGGTCTGCCATTTACTAGCTGTGTGATCAGGAAAGTTATTTAACCTATAATTCTTTGATTTGTATTATCTATAGAATGGGATATAATAGGGCCCAATGTCTAGTTTGGGGAGTGAGATAATGCACAGAAAGCATATTAACATGATGCCAGATATATAGTAAATGCTAAGTAAATATTACCTATTATATATATTAACATTAATTATTTTGTGATATTTTTGTTAATTTCAATATTTTGCAGTCATAACTAATACGTGAGAAACATCTTTGTGCTTAAGTCTTCATCTATCTTTGAGACTATAATAAATTTTTGGGAGTAGAATTACTAGACTATGTTTTTTTAAAGAGATCTTAATAGTAGTTAGGGTGATAGAAGATGCTATGAGATGAATTTCCAGCCACCTAACACACAGAAAATTGATTGTTTGCTCATATTAAGTTTAAATGGGTATCCTGATTAGTAGAAGGAGGAGGACTCCCATATGAAAGTTTGGGGATCAGGTTCCTTCTGTCATGTGCAGTCCTCTGCAATCTGCACATAGGTGGGAAAGAGAAGAGAATATTGTACATGGAAGGTTTTCATGAGCCAGGTCTGAATGATGCATATTTCTTCTACTCACACTCATTGGCTAGAACTGTCATATGGCCACTCCTGACTGCAAGAGATGGTGGGAAATTTGGTCTAGTTGCATGGGAGGGAAGAAGAGAAGCAGTTCTATAAGGACTTAGCCAGTCTGCTGCACACTCTCTAGTTTCCTTATTAATTCTTTAAAACTCAGTATTTGCCACCTACATGATAGCTTAAAAATAATATACCTAATAAATCAGAATTTTGTTGAAATCGTTAAGTAAAAGACAAACATTCCAATAACAGAAAAGCAAAAAGTTAGAGGATCCATATACAGAATCTTTTCCAGTGCCCAGTAAGCCATTCAGACAAAATATGCTTTTTACCGTCACTAACAATTGGTGAACTATAAATTAATACAAAATATTATAATATTTAAAAACATAAAAATTGAAATCAGCTAGCAAATCAGCAGATCTTTCTTAATGATTAAACTTATTGATGATGTAAAACAAGCATTCTTTTAAGCTGCTAGTGGTAGTGAAAAATGGTACCCCCTTGCCAAAGAACAATTTGAGAATTTATTTCTAGTACTGTTTGAGAAAATAATTTAATATAAATATAAATAAAATAAAATACTTTAATATACACATAAGGAATATATTTATTAAAGTAGCATTTAAAATAGTAAAAATATGAAAATAAAATTAAGATCTAACATTAGCATGTTGTTTTTAATTTTTTACTTTTTTAAAGATTTTATTTATTTATTTATTAGGGAGTGAGAGAGCACAAGCAGGGGGGAGGAACAGAAGGAGAAACAATCTCCCTGCTAAGCAGGGAGCCTGACTTGGGACTCAATTTCAGGACCCTGGAATCATGACCTGAGCTGAAGGCAGACACTTAGCTGACTGAACCATCGAGGCACCCTAGCATATTGTTTTTTAAAAACTCTTTTGAGTATAGTGGACATTTGAATTACTTTCACATCTTGGCTACTATACATAATGCTGCAATAAACATAGGGGTGCGTATATCTTTTAGAATTAGTGTTTTTGTTTTCTTTGGATAAATACCTAGTAGTAGAATTTTTGGATCACTCTGTGTTTCTATTTTTAATTTTTTGAGGAATCTCTATACTGTTTCTGCAGTGGCTGCACCAGTTTACATCCCCATCAACACTGTACAAGAGTTCCTTTTGCTCCACTTTGCCAACACTTGTTATTTCTTATCTTTTTTTATTTTAGCTATTCTGACAGGTGTGGGGTGGATATCTCATTGTGAATTTGTTTTGGTTTTTTGTTTCTTTTTTTAAAGATCATTGTGATTTTGATTTGCATTTCCCCGGTAATGAGTGATGTTGAGCATCTTTTCATCTGTCTGTTGGCCAACTGGATGTCTTCTTTGGAAAAATGTCTTTTTAGATCTTCTGCCCATTTTTTAATCAGATTTTTTTGGTGTTGATTAATATTAGTGTATTGTTTAAATAAAGTAAGTTACCTCCATAAAATAGATTATTTTGTGGCTACCAAATCAAGTTTTCAAAGAGTAATTAGTTGGAAAATGCTTATGAAGGATTTAATTTTAAAGCAGGCTAGAAAAAATGATCTCAGCCTTATAAAAATTATGTGTATGTGTGTATATTATATGCGTTCAAAAATGTTGGAAACAAATATTGATAGTGACTGTCTCACTGATGGAAGACAGGAACTAGAACAGTGATTTTTCTCTCTTTTGTTAATTTCTATTTTCCAAACTGAAAATATGTCACTTTTACAATCTCAAAAACATAACTTTGAAATGAGATATGAGTTTCAAGGAAGAATTGGGTATGAGTCACTTCCATTCATGTTTTTACGTTTAGATCGCTTTTCAGCACCTTAGCATCAGTTTCCCTATTAAAATGAATATGGGCATTCTAAAACAAGTGGAGCTTGACTCTTTATGTTTTTTGCTTTTTAAAAAAACAACACACCTAAGGTTATGCCTATGTTTTTGCAAAGTAAAAAAGAAAAAAAAAGGTGGGTGGGGAGATTGGAAATGATATGCTTCGTTTTATAAGGGTAGATGGCTAAGATGATCCTGCACTTGAAGGCTTTTATTAGATGTAGATGCTGTCTCTGGAGCCAAAGTAACTGGATATTAGTAAATTCATCGCTCTCATTTTTTTGAAAGTTAAAGTGAAAAGACAAATATTGAATAATGCACCTAGTAATTATTTTCCTTGACATTTGCCTCACTGAAATGGTATAAAATATTGCCTGTGAAAGAAACAAATCCCTTTGAAGAAATTAAAGAACAGAGTATATGCTCCTATTTGCATGACATGTGAAAGGTCAGAGAAAATGAAATAAATAGGGGGGAAATCCTTTCTTGCACTAAAGGATTAATATTCCAAAAGCAGGAACACAATAACCTTTTATAATTCCTTCACTTGATTTAAATTAAAAGAAGAAAACCTTAGAACATACAAAATGCTTGGAAAACACCCTGACAGAACTGCCAATGACCTTATTTTACTGTTTGTTATCCTGTCAGAGGAACTGACAGGCGTAACATTCTAGAAGAGATAGAAGGTGATATAGTTCAGGGCTGTGCAGATTTACATGAATATGGGAAAATGAGAGCCACTGGGTGAGCTAGTTAAGTCTATAATGTTCCAGAGTTTCCAAAAGAAAGCTAAGAAAGGCCTTAGCATAGTATTCAGATGGCTTCAAAGATGACGGCCTGCTTTTGATCCACATTATACACAGCCTGATGTGTGGGTTCTCTCATACAGCTTTGATGGAGCAGCCTGTCTGTTCATTTGCCTTTTCTTTGCTTATAATCCTAAATTCACTGCATTGCCCTGGGCGGGTTTATGCCATTTAATAACGGGAGATGCAAGTATGCTTTCTTTTCCTTGAAAACCTCCCAAACATGCTGCTGGTGTGTAGGGAGGATGATCATTTCTTTTCTCTCTCTCTTTATTCGTGGCAGGAACACAGCAATCATACATTTATCTATTTAATAGTACGCCTACTGTGTATAAGGAGCTAAATGATAAATAACTTGAATATAAGAATTTGGGGCTCTTTCAGTACATGTGATGTTTGTTTATATCATTTTCTTCTTTGATGGGAAAAGATTCAAGCTTCTGGTGTTGGAATTAGGTGGCACATATTTGATGTGTACCTAAGGACTCCCCAGAGGGATAAAGGTTGCTCTAGTTGTAGGGTGATTCATGTCTTAAAGTCTCTGATCCGAATGGCTTTACAGAGGTTTGATCTCTGTATCCAGTTCAGTTGAAGAACAAGCACACAAAAACCAGTTAGATCACCCAGTGTAGAAAAAGCAGGTTAACGCTGTCTACCCTAGGCTGTCCCTGTGTCTTAGCTCTCCACCTCCAGCCTTTCATCAGTTTTTGTCCAAGTGGTAGGCAGTTAGTCACAGACTGTGGAGAGGAATGGAGTGAGTCAGAACCCCAGAAACTGACACAACTCATTAGTAAACAGTGTGAAGTCAGAACGAGACCAGTGACTGCAGGCAGGGCCACAGTGAAAGGCCATGACTTGGGAGGGCACCCCCAGCGCTGTCCTTGTGTTTCAGTGTGGGACGGCTGCGATGGAGTGTGTGCGGCAGTACATCAACGAAGTGCTGGACTTCATGGCAGACATGCACACGCTCACCAAACTGAAGGTAAGAGGGCTTCCAAAGCTCGTCTCTGAACAAGACACAGAGATGTTTAGAGAACTAAGCAGACCGGATGGGATTTATTATTCTCTGGGGCAGCAGCTGGGGTGCTGTCTAACCAGCCTGGACCCTTGGGAGTCTGGAGCACTGAGTTTCCAGCCTGTGCAGAGAGGGAAAAGAAAGAAAAGATGTTTACATGGCAGGAGTTATGTGCATAGCTTTAATTCTACCATTTATTTGGTTCTCATGATGCCTCAGTTTTACAGATGTAGAAACTGAGGCCCAGGATGATACGGTAATTTGCTCAAGGTGGCTGTACCGATAATGGGTGGAGTCAGGGTTGACCTAAAACTGTAGTGGTTCCCCAGTCATTCTCTTTTCACTATGCCACTTAGTGTCACTTAACTACCTTGAGCCTCACTTTGCAAGAAAAGCCTAAAATCTACCTTTGTGGAAGGTTATGAGGTTTGACGTGGCATTGTGCATGTGAAAAGACTTTTGTGAACCATAACACATTATGCAAACATTAGCCTTTCATGGTGATCTGCATCAAAGCTCTCTTCTTCAAGGAAATAATTAAAGACAAGGGTTAGAACAAAATCTGATTTGCATATGGACAAAATCCCAGTGAAGTTGTCGAGCTCCTTGACTGATTGCTTTGCAGGGTGGGGCGAATTGCTGATACAAGTCAACTTCCCTGCCTAAAGTCAACTAGGGAACTAAAAGATTGATAGTCTCAGAGATCTGGGGAAGGCCCCAGACAGAGGGCAGAAGGGAATCCAAACATGGTCCAAGGAGCAGCCAGATTGCAAGCTGGCAGTAAATGATGCCTTTTTGATAAACAGGATCTAGTTGTCCCAGAAGGTCATCAGCTACAAACGCAGTTCCTCTATCTCCCAACTACATTTCCAGGCTCTGCTCAGATGATCCAGATCTTTCTTGGAATAGGGATAGATTTGCAAATGCTAGGTGGAAAGTAGACCCAGAATGTAAACTGCTGACTTCTTGCAGTATCTGAACCCAATTGTTCCTAAGCAAAATCCCCTGGCCCTTGACCATGCAATGGTTACTAACTGCTGAGTCTGGTTGCCCACGCTCAAATGACATTAATATCCAGTATAAAGAAGAGGAAAAAAAAAAAGTATAAAGAAGAGGAAGCATTGTTACCTAAACATTTAAGCTAGTTTTATAGTCACTTTCAAAATACAGAGAACACAATAAGAAGAATCCATGATGATCAAAAGGTTGGGGACTAGAGGTATAATTCAACACTCTAATTTGACATAGATTAGGAGGCAGATCAGAGAGGGCAAATGGCTTAACTAAAGCCATATGACTAATTAGGGAGGATCTGGGGCTGGAACATAGGTCTCAGTTTCCAGTTCAGTGGTCTTTCCACTAAGCCACACTGAGGAAAGGAGTTTTTCTGCATTAATTCAACAAATATATATTGAGCACCTATAATATCCCTGGTGTTGTTCTAGACATGTAGGGGTGCAAAAGTGAGCAAAAAGACACGGTAGCTGTGCTCATTTAATTTATAGTCTGGTAGTGGGGGCCAATTTTAATGAAAATTTCATACAAGATAAAGTAAAAGTGTGACTTTCATAATTGCTATGAAGAAGGGTAAAACAGTAGTACAGGAACTCCCCATAGGATGACATGACCTAGCCAGGGAAGTCAAGGAAGGCTTCCTGGAGGAAGTGACACTTGAGCTAAAATCTGGGTTATACGCTTGGGAGCGTGGTAGAAGGTGAGGGAATGACAGCCTGATCTTTTTTTTAAAGAGTGACCTGGAAGGTTTTCAGATATTCTGCCAAAGTCATGAGATACCATTTGCTTTTGCAGAGCCACATGAAGACATGTTCCCAGCCTCTGCATGAAGATACCTTTGGTGGACATCTCAAAGTTGGCCTGGCTCAGATTGCAGCCATGGAAATCTCACGGGGCAACCACAGAGATAACAAAGCTGTGATTCGCTATCTGCCGTGGCTCTATCATCCCCCTTCTGCAATGCAGCAAGGGTAAGGTCCTTATTAGTTCAGCAGCAAGGGCTAGAAGACGCATCAAAGATTTATGGAAGTGGGATGTGATTAGTTGGGAAGACGGAACCGAGCCTCATCTTCATCCTTGCTGACCTGGCAGCACTTTTGGACACAAGCACTTCCTGATATGCTGCCAATGAAAGGAACTTGCCTTCACACAAAAACCTCAGCCATATCCTGGTGGATGGTGAAAACTTGGAGCTTAGAAGTGCCATTTTAACTCTTAATTCGAACTAATTAAACACATACATAGCTTCTGCCTTCAAAGAGCATGTCGGATTGCAGCTGAAACAAAACCCGTAGCAGAGAGGAGATGAGTGGTGGAGACACAAGGGAGAGGGGTGCTGCGCTGGTTACAGGCTGCCATTTTGCATGATCAGCTTCCTGGCTGGAGGGGAGGCTGACAGTCGGGGTGAGGAGGGCAGGAAGGCAGCAGGAGGAAATGACAAGAAGGCTGGAAAATGGGTGTGTTAGGTGCCCATCTCTATTCCTTCCCCTCTAGTGGGGATGTCAAACCTTCCAATGAGAAAAATGGAAAGAATTTAGAAAAAGAAGCCTGTCGGAAGGGCAGCCTGGTTGGTGGAAGATGATTTTTAATCCCATATCACCAGAAGCTGCTCTTTTCTCAAGCAGCTAAGGTCCGGGATCAGAGCAGGAAACCAGAAAAACAGATACATCATTTTGTTGGCACTCTGTCACCTTGGTGTTTTATTGTATGTAATTGTCCATAAAACCACATTTTTAATGCCCTCTGTCAATAAGCAGTTGGTGAGCACCCAACAAAACAGAAACCATAAAGTCACCTCTAACACTTCCTTCTACCTGCCAGGCCAAAAGAATTCATCGAGTGTGTCTCCCGCATCCGTCTGCTGTCCTGGCTGCTCTTGGGCTCCCTCACTCATAATGCAGTGTGTCCAAATGCCTCCTCTCCGTGCCTGCCCATACCTCTGGATGCAGGCTCTCATATCGCAGACCATCTTATTGTTATTCTGATTGGATTTCCAGAGCAATCAAAGGTAAGTGATTTCTGCAAGCTGAAGACCATAGGCATCGAAATTGCTAATGGAACCCTTATCAGCCAATTTTGTTTCTTCTGAAAAGAAAATGCATCTTATCACTTGCCCTCCTGTGGATGTTAGGAAAGCAGCTTTGTGCTAATGCCTTATTTAAAATTGTTTAAATTCCTACACTATCTTTGCTTCCCCCTTAAATTGTCTTTCAGTTTACTTTTATGAAGATCAAGTATGGAGGCAAGCAAGAATTAACTTCCTGGGCATTTCTGTCTCAAAATAATGAAGAGAAATAAGAGGCTAGCAATATAATAAAAATCCTATGATCAGTTTTTGGAACCCAATATGAGTTTGAGGCAAATTTTCGCTATCATTTTTCATGTGCTATCTATTCAGCTCACATCTCTAGAGATAGATATATAAAGATACAAAATGAAAATAAGGCCAATTGGGAACTCACTAATGTGCACACTAGAGTGACCTACACAGAGGAACTTTGTAAATTGTAGAGACAGATGATGTGTTTAAGGGGATAAAGTAAACCCCAGGTGGGGGTTTTGCAGTCATGAGCCTGCAAAGCAAAGCAGACACACTGTACTAATCAGTTTAGAGAAGTCAAGGATGCTTCTTCGAAAGCTTAGGCCAGTTCCAGGAAGTCATGGTGGGTTTGGGAGCAGCTGGGACATAGGCCAGAGCAAGCCAACTCTATGATAAGCTAGAGCACCATCCAAATGGCCTGAATGATGTTTACAGAAGGAATCAGGCAGTCAGTTCCCAGTATTTTGGGCCAGATGTGTATTTGATTCCTAACAATAGTACTTTGTAATTTGTGACCTTGAAAAAGTCATTCAACCTCTCTGATCTCCAGTCTTTTTGTGTGTAAAATAGATGAGGAGATGGTTTGAAAATTATGGAAGTGATCTTTGAAAAGTCTTTATTTAGCACGGTGTCTGGGACATTGTTGTTGCTCACTCAGTCGGGGCTTACCCTGGTAGGAATACTGTCTTTGCTGCTGCCATTTCTCCTACTTGTAGTCGTGTGATTGAGAAGTGCTGGCAGTGAGTTCAGATGCACCATCTTATTCCTCCTGACGACAGGGGGGTCCTATTATCCCCATGTTACAGACAAGGAAATACCTGAAGGTGGTAAAATGGTTATCCTTCCTAATCTAGTTTAGAGAGGAGAATATCAGCGTCATTAAGGGACAAAGGGGTGGGTAGATGTGTTCTGAAACCAAGATGCCTTCTCTTTGAAAAGATGCTCATTTTTCTCTGAACACATACCCACTGACCAAGTGGAAAGCAGGTTGTCTTCAGGTGGCAAATCACGAGTTTAACTTCGAGATCACTTCCTCTGCCTCAGATCACTGGAGGTAGACATCCTTTGGCTGTGCTGCTCAGGAGGCCAAGGCCCTGTGGGGCAGGCCCTGTGGAGCACTGCAGCCCACCGAGAGGTAACGGCTCCTGTCTCCTCCTTTTCAGACCTCCGTGCTCCACATGTGCTCTCTCTTCCACGCATTTATCTTTGCTCAGCTCTGGACCGTATATTGCGAACAAAGTGCCGTAGCTACAAACGTCCAAAGTCAGAATGAATTCAGCTTCACAGCGATACTTACCGCGCTAGAGTTTTGGAGCAGGGTAACGCCCAGCATCCTCCAGCTCATGGCCCATAACAAAGTGGTGAGTCCACGAATAAGTTTCTCCTTGTGGCTAAAAGGCGTGACCTACATCCAGTCCTCCCATTACCTGTTCTTTAAGGATCTCAATTGTAATATACCAATGCATGGGGGATTTTTAGGTTATAAACTGGATGTTCTGCTTGCATAATAATTTTGATGGAAATACAAAGCAAGCAAGTCAATTTAGTAAAAACAACTTTTGTTCACTCTCTTTAGTGCCAAAGAAAATTTATATGAAACTTATACCTCTAAGAGCTGTTTCATGCCTTAAAGTCAGGAGATTTTGGATTCCAAGACAATTTGGAAAAACCCCAGCCAATTGGGTCATCCTTTTGTGGTATTTAAGAACAGATCAACCACATATGTTCATTCCACTCAGGGCTCAAAATCTGGAAAGAGTTTCCCCTCTTTGAGTTGCCCTGGGAGGACTTAAGCCCCTTAATCTTCAAATCCAGTTCAGTTTTAACTTGGATGGCTCACCAAGAAAGGGGCTGCCCTAAATCTCGCTGGAAAATACCTGGAGTATTGTTAGCATGAGCCCACATCATTGAGCAAGCTTGGATTAGTCCTATGAAGTTAAGAGTGGAGGTATATGTGGAGATGTGACAAGGAAGTTCTTTTTTTTTTTTTTTTTTTGACAAGGAAGTTCTTTGATTCAGTTTGCTACTTTGAAGGATTCTCAGCTGGGAAAGCAGGAGTTAGTATCTTGGTTGTGGGGGCTTTATCAATCGAATTCTCATCTGTGAGGGACAGGACTTCTGGAAGAGTGTATTGTAATGATGATTCCTCTATGCCCAGAAACCCAACGATGCACTGTCCACAAAAGGCATCCTGGAAATGACTTTTGATTGATTGATAATAGTCTAAGAAACATTTTCTCTCAGCTCTAATTGGAAAGGGGATTATATATTTCCTTCAGTGAAGCACTTCCTTGTCTTTGGGGAAGCAAATGTTATAAGGCAATTCTGTATGGAGAGAGGTTATTTTAGTTCAATTTAAAGGAAATTTATGTGACAGTTTTAGGGTGCACACACGGTTCTGAGATAAACATTTCCCAGATCATAGAGTCTGAAACTGAAGAACTTAGAGAGCAAGCATTCTGTTCTGTAATTTTACAGGCAATGAAACTGGGACCTTAACTAGAGATTTGGTGTCTTTCTACTGTCATTAGTTTTTAGACACCATTAATACCTCTCTTCCAAATCTCTTGGTATGCAAAGGTTAGAAAATGAATCTGTTACCAATTAGTACAAATAATGCTACTAATGAGTTTGGATGAGTTTTATCCTGAAAAATTTATTAAACTATATATGCCAGTCTGATAAAATCCTCTTGGAGTGTTCAAAATCCATCCTTAGGAATTTTATTTTATTTTATTTTATTTTATTATTTTTCATGAGAGACACAAAGAGAGAGGCAGAGACATAGGCAGAGGGAGAAGCAGGCTCCCCACGGGGAGCCCCATGAGGGACTCCATCCTAGGATCCTGGGATCACAACCTGAGCCAAAGACAGACACTCAACCACTGAGCCACCCAGGTGCCCCCAGCCTTAGGAATTTCTGATGAGGAGCATCGTCTGCATTGTATTTTTGAACCATCATCAATGTGGCTGCCTTGTTCTGTAGAGAACAAAGCCACCAAGACAGGTGTGTAATAAGTGAACAGCCACTCCAGGCGAAGAAACTGGAGAAAGGGTCAAGATGGAGAAAAGGACCTACAACCAAATTCTGTAGTTAGAAGGAGGGAAGCAAAAGGCATGTATCCTCTGGTAGGAATTGCGCGCAGATGAGTGAGATTAATCCCTGAATTCCACTGGCAGCCCTGAGTCAGATAAAGAGGGCACAACTGTTGTAAAATCTCTGGAGCTCCTTAAAGCCAGGTTCTAGTTGAAATTCTAGAGGTTTCAAGGCTTCCGGATCACTGGGAGTGGAACTGATTTTCATATTTGTTGTTTCAGATGGTAGAAATGGTGTGTCTCCATGTGATTAGTTTAATGGAGGCATTGCAAGAATGCAATTCAACAATTTTTGTCAAGGTAGGAAAATCTTATGATTTTTATAGACTGTTTCTTGCTGCTAAAAACAAATGTGGATTTACTTTGAATGTGCCTTTGACGAGGAAAACAAACCAGATTTAATTTTGACTATCAGAGTCAGGGACTGGAGAGTTCAGGCTCACATAACAACCCTTCCCCAAATGGTTATCATGTTATTTTTGCTCTTGCTCTACCACTGTGACTGACTCTAGCTGGATTAAAGATGTTGGACTGTGATTGCATGTTAACACAATTAATGAAAATATTACTGGAGAACGTTGATCTGAAAATGACCTTATAGTCCTATAAATTGGTTGGTGGCACCTCACCTTACAAGATATCCAGAAAACCAAGGAAAATAATCTTTCATTGTTTGATTTTGTAGCTAGAACTTTTTTCTAAGGTAAATTAATTTCATTTCCAATATTACTACTCTAAATCACTGTTTAGTGTATGAAAGCTTAAGTATTTGTCATCTGTCCAAGGACATCAGAGACATACTAGTGTGATAAATTTAGAGTAAAGAACTTAATTTCTCATTCTTTTTTTTTTTTTTACTTCCCCTCTTCTTCCTTTTCTTCTATCCTTCCACCTCTCCGTCTTACTGATCATTAATTAAAGATCTTTAATTTTAGGCATCCTACAAATTGTGTACTGGTATCTCATCATGCTTTAAAGTTGCATTTCCTTGTTGACAGATGACATTAAACATCTTTTCATATGCTCATTTGCCATCCATGTATCTGCTTGGTAAAGTATCTGTTAAAATTATTTGCCTTTTTTTTTTTAAAAAATTGGGATGGATCTTTTTCTCTTTTAATTGAATTTTAAGGCATAAGTCCTTTATCAGATATGAGATTTGCAAAGATTTTCTCTGCAGTTGTCTTTTCATTATCTTAACAGTGTCTTGTGAAGAGCGAAGGTCTTAATTTTGATGAAGTACCATTTATCAAATTTTTCTTTAATGGATCATGCTTTAATGTTGTATTTTTAAAAATCTTTGCCTAACCCAAGGAAAATTGAGATCTTAACAATATTGAGTCTTCCAATCCATGAACACAGTATATCTCTATATATTTTTTAAAAGCTTTGATTAACTTCTTCCAGCAATATCATGTAGATTCCATATGTAGGACTAGCATAGTTTTGTCAAATTTATCCCTACGTATATCATAGTTTTATGGTATTATAAGTGGTATGGCCTTTTTATACTTAAATTTTTTATTGTTTGTTGGTAGTATTTAGAAATACAACTGATTTTATATTGACCTTTTACCCTGCAAACTGTTAAACTCATTTGTTAGTGTTAGTTTTTTTTTGTAGATTTCATCAGCTTTTCTGTATAGACAGTTGTGTCATGTGTAAATAAAGGCAGTTTAATTTCTTCTTTTCTAGTCTTTATGCCTTTTATTTCTTTTTCTTATTGTATTGCTCTGGCTAGATCCTGTAGTCCAAGTTGAATAGAAGTCATGAGAGTGGGAAACCTTGCCTAGTTCCTAATCTTAGGAAGAAAGCATCCATCTTCGCTCATTAAATGTTAGCTGTCATAGGTACTCTTTGTCAAACTGAGCAAGGTTCCCTTCTATTCCTGGTCTGCTACAAATTTTGGTCAGGAATAAACCGTAGGACTTTTCAGATACTTTTCCTACATTTATTAAGATGGTTATTTGACTATTCTTTTTGACTGTTAACAAGGTAAACTTTATGGATTGATTTTTGCATGTTAAACTAATCTTGTGTTCCTGAGACAGACCATACTTGGTTGTGCTGTGTATTATTTATCCTTTTTATATCTTGCGGAATTCTATTTGCTAACATTTTAAAATAATTTTTTGCATTGATGTTCATGAGGAATGTTGGGCTGTAAATCTCTTTGCTTGTGATAACTATTTTTGGTTTTGGTATCAGGGTAATGATGGCCTCAGAATGATTTGGGAAGTATTCCTTCCTTTTCTGCTTCTTGAAAAAGTTTGTGTAGATATGGTGGGTTTTTTTCCCCTTAAATATTTGATAGAACTCACCAGTAGAACTTCCTGGGCTTGAAATTTTCTTTGCAGAAGAGTTTTAAATTACAGATTCAATTGCTTCAATAGATATAGGGCTATTTAAGTTATCTGTTTATTCTTGAGTAATCTTTAGGATACTCTATGTCTTTCAAAGAATTTATCCATTTCATCAAGGTAGTCAATTTTATTGGCATGAGGTTGTTAATAATATACATTTAATATCTGTAGAATCAGTAGTATGCCACCTCTGTAATTCCTGACATGGTGATTTGTGACTTCTTTTCTTTTTCCCCCTGGTCAGTCTGTATAGAGGCGTATCAATTTTAGTCAGTTTTTGATTAAAAAACAGCAATAACCAGCTTTTGGGTTGTTTTCATTGATTTTCTCTCTGCATTTTATTTCATTGATTTATGTTTATTCTTTCTTTTGATTACTTTAGATTTAATTCACTCTTGTCTATTATAAATAATATATTTTTTTGTCTATCATAAATTTACCTCTAAGCCCTGGTTTAGCAGTATCCCACAATTCGATATATTGTGTTCTCATTTATATTCAGTTCAAAATACTTTCTAACTTCCGTTTTGCTTTCTATTTTAACTCATTTTCAGTTATTTAGAAATATGTTATTTATTTTTCAAATATTTGGGGGTTTTCTATTATGGATTTTTAGTTCCATTTGTGGTCAGAGAACATACTGTATATAATTTTGGTTATTTTAAATTGAGATTTGTTTTATGGCCCAGAACATAGTCTATCTTGGTAAATGCTGTGTGTGCACTGGAAAAGAATATCCCTTCTGCTTTTTGGGGGGTAGTTTCCTATGCTGCTTGGTTCTAGCTTATTAGTAGTGTTGTTCAAGTCTTCTGTGTCCTTCCTTCTGTCTACTTATTGTATCAATTATTGAGAAAGGGGTATTGAAATATCTCCATAACTGTGGATTTGCTTATTCATTTTTTTCAGGTTTACCAGTGTTTGCTTCATGTATTATGAATCTCTGTTATTTGGTGCATAAATGTTTAAGATTAGTATGTCTTCTTAATAAAAGGGATTCCGAAGTGGCTGTCTTCATTCTCAGGAATCATCTGAGGAATCAAAGTGAACAGTACTTTGACATTAATAAAGGCAGTCTAGTTTTCTTTTGACTACTGTTAGGATGGTCTATCTTTTAACATCATTTTACCTTTTAACCTCTTTGTATCTTTATGTTTATAGTCTATTTCTTAAAGGCAGCAGATAGCTAGATGTTGCATTTCTTTTAAATCCAGTCTGACAGTCCCTTCCTTTTAATTGGGAATCTTTAAACTGTCTTCATTTAATGTGTTTTGTGCCATTGTTGGGCCTAAATCTATCACTTTGCAATTTGTTTTCTATATTTCCCATCTGTTTTATATCTTCTATTCTTTTTTTTTTTTCCTTTTGCCTTCTGTTGGATTGAGTTTTTGACGATTACATTTTGGCTGTAATCTCCTCTTCCTTTTCTAGTTTCTTTTTTTTTTTTTAAGATTTATTTATTTATTTATTTATTTATTTATTTATTTATTTATTTATTTGAGAGAGCAGAGCGAGAAAGAAAGAACACAAGTGAGGGAGGAGGGGCAGAGGCAGAGGGAGAAAGAAAAGCAGGCTCCCTGCTAAATAGAGTGTGATGTGGGGCTTGATCCCAGGACCCTGAGATCATGACCCAAGCCAAATGCAGACACTTAACCAACTGAGCCACCCAGGTGTCCCTCCAATTGATTGATTTTTATTCTCATTATAGGTCATCTTTTCCTGCTTTTTTGCATGCCTGGTAATTTTTTATTACATTCTTGAGATTTTGAAGTTGACTTTCTTGGGTACTGGATATTTTTGTATCCCTATAAATATTTTTGGGCTGTATTCTATGATACAGTTAAATTATTTAGAAGGATTTTTTTCCTTTTGAGACTTGCTTTTAAGCCTTGTCAGGTGATCAGAGCTGCATTTTGTCTAGAGCTAATATTTCTTTACTACTAAGGTAATAGCCTTCTGAGTATTCTACTTGATATTCTGTTAAAGAACTTAAATTAAAAAAAGAAAAAAGAATTGTCCCCTCTAACTAGTTTGTGGAGACACAAATTATTGCTGGCACTGTGTGATCACCACTCATCTTTTTGGGTTGTTTTGTCTTCAGCCTTGGGTGGTTTCCTCACATGCGTGCATTGGTCAGTAGTTAGCTGAAGATTCAAGGGGGACCTGTTATGGATCTTTCTGTACAGCCCTCTCACCTCCAGTACTCTCTGCCTGACAAACTACACACCTCAGTCTCTCTAGACTCCCAGCTCCTTTTCCTCAACACAGGGAAACAGGCTCTGCCCAGGTCCTGGAAGCTTTCTAGGCAGTGAGCTAGGATAACTGTAGGGCTTGCCTTGTTTACTCTCCCTCAGGGATCGCTGTGCTGCACTGCTGATGCCCACAGTCTGAAAACCATTATTTCATATACTCCATATGGAATTTTAGTTGTTCCAGGCAGGAGGGTAAATCTGGTCTTTGTTATTCTATCTTTCCTGAAAGAGAGAATTTCACACCTAATTTTAGTTTTGAAAGCTGGAACAAGCATGGAATGAAATGAATGCAGTCTAACTGAGCAGAAAAATCTTTAATTTTTTCCTGTAGCATAAATCAAGATAAGAGGAAAGGTATCAATTTTACTTTGGTGAAAAACAACCCATTTTTTTTAATATACATCAGTTTTCTGGATATCATTTCTAGAGAGGAAAAAAACCCCAACCAACTTTATTATAACATTACAGAACCCAGAATAAATTACGTCTAATTCTTACTGACAGCTTTGTAGGAGCCACTAGCAAAAGAGAACTGAAATAAATGTTATTCAATAAGTCAAATTAGCATTCCTGAAATAGGATGACTGCTGGCTTATATAATGCTATCAATAATAATGAGATTTAACTTGAAGACTTGAAGTTATGAGATTCATAAATCACAAATCTGAAGGTCCTTTGCAGTTATATTTTAGAATGACATGTCACATGTTTCATAAATGGGCTAATAGCAAAAACCCTTCTAAAACCAACCTCACTTTTCCTCTTGATTGCCTCATACAGGCCTTTAGCCCCAAGAATAGCACTAGGAAAGGTATCCTCCCAGGGTCAGAGTACTTAGTGCTTCCTGCCTCCTACTCTGCTTGGTCCCTCAGGATCTTAACAGGAGGTTAGTTTGGGTCTTTCCTAAATACCAAGAGGCATACAGACCTGCTCCATATTAAATAGATTAGAAGTCAACAAAAGAAGTTTGTAGGCATTAGGGCCCTTAGAGGTTTTGTTTTGTTTTGTTTTGTTTTGTTTTCTGTACAGACTGGAGAAGAAGTGGTTAGACTACCTTACTTTTTCTCAATCAGAATGTTTACATGAGCCGGTCTTGCTAATGGCCAGAGAACATAGCCTTAACTGTCACTGATCTTTGTAATCCCACAGTTTGTTAATAAGGGTTGGTGGTTGGAGGAGGCAGAGAGAAAATGTCATTTCCTGATTTTTTTTTAATTTTTTACATTTTCTGATATTTTGACTTTTAGTCCAGTTATATCATCTGGTACACACCATATGCTGTCCCAAACACAACATTCATGCTAGAGACAGTATTACATGGCTACATGACTCCAGGATGAGCACTGTGTTGAGGAACCAACATCAGTGGAAATCAAATTAGCAAATTGTATGTCCCAGCAGAATGTTCAAAGCAAAACAGCAGCCAGATTGGACCTTGGGAACAAAAACATAGAAATGTAATTTCTCAATTCACTAAGCTTTGTGTGTGTCTATGTATGTGTGCTTGTGTGAATGTGTTGATGAGTTAAATGAACCTGCAGCCCGTGGCCATTGACTAGTGAACAGAGAGGTCATTGGTACACTGTCCCCTCATCCCAGCAGCCCTCCTGCTAGTTCTTTCATTTCCTTCATGGCACAGCTCCTCCAGTTTGCCTAAGCTAGAAGCCTCAGCTTCTGCTTTGACCTTTTCCTCACTCCAAAGAGGGTCCTCAGACCCTCCCAGATTGTGTCTGCAGGCACCAACCACCCTTTTCCCTCTCCAAAGCCACCCCTGATCTTACCTGGACCATCGAGGCAGCCTCTACTCAAGCCTCAGCCTCCATTCTCCACATCCTTCCTCACCCTACCTTGCAGATTGCTGCCACTATGATTTGTTTGAAGCACATTTCGGCTCACAGTGAACAGGGCTCCTCTCTTCAGAAGTTCTATTGGATTTGGAAATAAATCCAAATCTCCTAATGTGGCAACCCAGATCATCATGGGTGGATGGCGGGGGGCCTCACCTCTGCTTTTCTTTTCTTTTCTTTTTTTTTTAATTTTTTTTTATTTATTTACGATAGTCATACAGAGAGAGAGAGAGAGAGAGAGAGGCAGAGACACAGGCAGAGGGAGAAGCAGTCTCCATGCACCGGGAGCCTGACGTGGGATTCGATCCTGGGTCTCCAGGATCGCGCCCTGGGCCAAAGGCAGGCGCCAAACCGCTGTGCCACCCAGGGATCCCCTCACCTCTGCTTTTCTAAACTTGTTTTTCATGACCCTCTCCTGAGAGCCCATACTTCAGTATCACCTGAACCCCTACCACCTCCTCACCCCTTGGCACACTGCCACCTTGAGCTTGCTTCCTGAAGTGTGCCCTTGTATTCATTTGCTAGGGCTGCCCTGACAGTCATACCCTACTAGTTAGTACAACAAACTAGGCAGCTGAAACGGAAACTTCTTATCCCACAGTTCTGGAAACCAGAAGTCCGTGGCTGTGGCTAAGGGGTCAGGAGAGTTGTTCCCTCTGAGGGCTGTGAGGGAGAATCTGTTCCATCCTTCCCCCCTAACTTCTGGGGGTTGGTTGGCAATATTTGATGTTCTTTGGCTTGTAGACCCCTGCCTGCATCTTTGCCTGGTGCTTTCCTGTGGGCATATCTGTGTCCTAATTTTCCCCTTTTTATAAGAGCATCAGCCATATTGGATTAGGAGCCCACCCCACCCTACCGTAGAATGACCACATTTTAACTAATTACATCTGTATTGATCCCTCTTCCAAATAAGGTCACCTTCTAAAGCAGCGTGGGTAGGGACAACAGTGTCTATTTTGAGGGGGCACAGTTGAGCCATGACAGCTGTACTCCTCTATTGAACAGGCAGGAGCAGAGGGTTGGAAGGAATACAGTGAAGAGGTATGATGCATGTTAGTGAATTAAAGATCTGAGCAGTGCTGTAATAAGGAACCTAGCATTTCCCAACTTGTTGGACCAGCGTCCCACCCCCATTTAAACCCACCAAACTGGAGTGCTGTGGAACAGACTCTGGAAAACACTATTTTGTCCCCAACTTCTGGATTTATGAGATGTTATGTTCTAGAAGGTAGAACCATGGCTGAGAGACCAGAGCAGGGAGAGGAGAGCTGCTGCTGGACGGACACCTTGTGACCTCCAAGGAAGGGCACAGCAGAGAGGCTCAGGGTGGGCGGGAGAGGCAGCAGAAGGGCAAGGCTCCCCACGTGCCCACAGTTTGAGCGCCTTGCTCTCTGCCAGAGCAGGGCCCCTCCACTCGCCTGTGTGTGACAGTACTGTTCACACCTCTGGCCCGTCTCTCTTGCTGTGTCCCACCTTCCAGATCACAGCCAGGCTCCTTCCGGGCTTGCTTTTTTCTGTCCCTGAAGCATCTCAGCAACTTCCCTGTGATATTTTCTTAACAATAGAGTCACCATCCTACTCAGGGACTCAATTTTAGAGATCCTGTGGAGGAAATTCTGTTTCAAGAAAGTGAGGATTTAATTAAATAAATACACATTTAATTTCCCGTGTGTGGTAGCTTTCAAGAGACAATCAGTCATTTACTGTAAAGTGTGTGTTTCAAGCACTCATGGGGGCACTTATTAACCTCCCAATGCCACCAGCTCAGCGGGATTTGGCCTCAGAAAGATGTTTTTCCGATAATGGATCACTCCGCAGCAGGGTCCCATCCTTTTGTGATGTTAAAGGGGTTCTGTGTGCCCTGCTTTCCTGAGCTGTAAGCTACGCTTATGGGGGTGGGGATGGAGAACGCTAATAACAAGGCTTCTGTGTTTCTCCACACAGCTCATACCTATGTGGTTGCCAATGATTCAGTCAAATATCAAGGTAAGTTGTCCCTGGGTGGACTGGATGCTGAATTACCTCCAGAGAAGGTCATAACATTCACAGGGTTCACTGGTGCTCCACTAACTATTGGAGAAAGGTGAAGTCACCCGGCTCCTGGCCTCTGAGGGCTGATCAAGCAGGAATCTCTGTGGGCCCAGGAAGAGGCTGCAGGCCCAGGTGACAGCAGAAGCCATGGTCGTATTATTCACTGTCGATGAGGGTGTGGGTGGAGGGGCATCTGAGTCTGAGGGTGTGGGTGGAGGGGCGTCTGAGTCTGAGTCTGAGGCCTGGCCACTAAAATAGGCTTTTTGTGGGGCACCTGGCTGGCTCAGTCGGATAGATTTTGCAACTCGATCTCAGGGTTGTGAGTTCAAGCCCCACGTTGGGTGTAGAGATTACTTAAAATAAATGTAATAAACTCTAAAGAAAGACCAAAATGAACTTTTTGTGACAGGAAGAATTCTATTAAGAAAGGCTAACATTGAACGAATGACCCAACTGAGCCAGAAGGGAAGGGACCTGCTCCCTCGTTCCACATGTCATTCTTTTACTATGAAAACCATTTCTTCTTCCAGATTGTCCCTCCTCCATCCCACCCCTCCCCTGCCCCAGCTTTAGGGAAATCTGTGGCCAACAGGGCTCACAACCCAGCTTGTGCATGTGCATAAACATGAGAACAGAGAGACTGTGATCATGATTAAAATGTAATGAGCGACTCTCATGTGCCCACTTCTGTCTTAAACCCTCCGCTAGCTCACATATCCTTAATAAAACAAAAACCCCATGAAGTATGACTTTCCCCAGTTTGCCCATAAGAAAATCCAAACACAGACGGAAAAACCTCATTCCCAGAATTGTCCCCAGAGGAGCTAGGGTCTGAACCCCGGGCGCTGGCAGCGGAGCACAGGCCTGTGTGGTGACCGGCTCCAGGAGGACAAGAGTAGATGTCAGCCCACACACGGCGTGCCAGCTCCAGATTCCCGCTGCACCGAACGAGTCAAGATGGGAGTGGCATTACTCAGACGGATCTGGGCCTTTAGAGTCACGGTTCCTTGCCTGTGTCGCGGGCCCCACACACTGCCAAGTGTGGGAACTGACCTCCCATCCAGGCCACACAGCCCCTGAGCCACACAGCTGAGTTCTGCCTGCGGAAGAAGCCCAGGCTGGCACTCCCTGGGTGGACCGGGAACATTTGAAGGCAAGAAACTAAACTAGCTATCTCACCCTTCCTTAACAGCACTTATCTGCGGGACTCCAGCTTCGCCTCCAGGCCATTCAGAACAACGTGAACCATCACAGCCTAAGGACGCCCCCAGGCTCGGCCCCGAGCAGCGCCGGCCTGGCAGCCCTCCGCAAGTGGCTGCAGTGCACTCAGTTCAAAATGGCCCAGGTGGAGATCCAGTCCTCAGATGCGGCCTCCCAATTTTATCCTCTATGAGTGGACTCCTCGGCTCTCAGTGTCAACACTCTGGTTTAGCAATAATGGGTTTCAAAACAAAAACAATTTGATCCAAGCAGGTTGGGGAACATATTGGTACTGTACATTCTCTTTCTAGTTTAGTAAAAAGACGTGCAAAGGCCGGAGAGGGCCAAAATGAAGCTTTCTTGCTACACATATTTCTGATGACTCCTTGGGCTATCTGATTAAGTGTTTCCTTACATTATTTTTTAAAAACCAAATCATTTTTCTTTAACTAACTTCTATTTTTTTTAAGAAAAAAAAAATAGACTGGTGGGTACTCACAGAAAAGTTGTATAAGTCCCCCTGTTGCTATTTTTGATGATAGAGAATAAATAGGGTTTTTGAAACCTTTGTAGTGTTTTTTCTTAAAATCCACTCTTGGCAATGCAATAAAAAAAAAAACCCGTCACCATAAGCCAGTGACACTTGACTGAAGCTTTTTGTCATTATCCTGGGAAAAAGTGGCAGCTTGCAAGGACCATTACAAAGTGCACTTAGAAATTAGGTGGTTAAACTGTGCCAATTGTTTTCTTTGTTTTATAATATCATTTTCCAAAACTGTCCAGTAAGTTTTATTATTTTTAAAACTAATTTTTCAACTCATTAGTTCTAGGCTGTACTTTTCTTGTAAGCTTTATGATAACTACTTTAGTTTTGTGAATAATAAATTTTATTCTTTTGTTAACACTTGTATACAATTCAATTTAAAACTGTAGATTGCATACTGGACCAGACGATTCCCCACGCTGGCACAGAGCACTGCACCCGGAGTTATGTTTCATAAAATGGAATTTTAATAGTGTAAGAGCACCAAGATTTATCAGCACTTCTACTTAGCATTTGACTGTGCATTCACAAATGATATTTCTCTTCTCTATCCCTGTAATGCACTGACTACAAGAAGACTTACTATACATTTAAGCTGTATATTGACATGCTATTAAATGCATTTTTTATTATCTCTGTGAGCCTGGGGTTTTTTAAAATCAGTTTATACCTTTCTTGTAAACTTTTAAAACTTCTAACTTCCCTTAAAACTAAAGTCTAGTTATTGAGAAGAAAGGCCTTTCTTTCAGGTCACTTGGTAAGAGAAGTACACAATTCATCTGAAGTTGTTCTCCAGGAAGGAACTCGAGGGCACAAGGCTATTTATTTATTTATTTATTTATGTTATTTTATGTTGGTTATTATTAAGAGGTCTCTCTTTTCTGCTGGGAATTCTGATACCTTCATGCTTCTCAGGGAGAAGCAAGTCCTCCTGTGTTTACGTGTTTCACATGAGTTCTAGAAAAACAGGATGGCACAGCTTCGTCCCTGCCTGCGGGGAACATGTTGGTCCCTAGATTAAGAAGAGAGAAGTGATCATTCTGCCTATGAAGAAGTGCTTCTGAAAGGCCTCCGTAAGTTAGAGTGCTCCCAGTTGTGCTTGTTTAGGCCTCCAAGAACTTTCTGTCTCATACCAATCCCACGTGTACACTGTGACAGCTCTGAGGTTGTGTCCTGTCTCCGGATCCCCAGGGCCTGGCACGCAGCACTCATTTCATTAGAGTCTATTGAGTGGGATGGATTTGATTAAGAAAGCAGGTCTTTCTTGAGCTCCCCAGTAGACTTAGCAAGGGCTGAACTGTGACATTTTCTTTCTGTGGAGCGATTCCTGGAGAGGGTGGTAACAGAAACCGGCCTGAAGAGGCAGCCTTAGCTCCTTCCTGTGTGAGGGTCTGGCTGACACGCCCGTGGTGGCTCAGTGGCAGCCAGGCTCTTTGCTGGGCCTGGGTCCAAGTCCACCCTGCTGCAGGCAGCCCCGTCCTACCAGGAGGCAAGGTCCAGAGTCCTCCACAGGCTCTTCTCCAACCCCTGTTCTTTCAACGGACAGCTGTCTCAGTTTCTCTTTGTATTTGCATTCTCCTTCTGGAGAGGAGCCCTCAACTCAGTCCTCTTGACTGGGCTCCTGTCTAAAGCTTCCTACTCTCTGGAATGTTTCTTTCACCCCAGTCACAATCTATCTGGGGTCTTGCCCCCCCCCCCCCCCGGCAGGTCTTCCTCCTTGCCCCTGAGAACCGTGACCTGCTTTCCTGCCAACCTGACCCAAATACTGTCCCTGCTGGGACCCTGCTCTTCACTGGTTTATAGAGACCAGTAAGCAGCTTCTCTGGCCTACACTGCCCTCAGGCCCATCCCCCAGTATCCTCATCTTCTAGCCTTAATGTCAACTGCCCTCCCCCAACCCCCAGCAAGTCAGACTCAGCCTCCTAGAAGAAAAGAGTTAGGAAGACAGGGGACAGATGGAAGTTGAGCAAGATTGACCCTAAGGAGTAAGAGGAGAAGCCAATCATCTAGATCAGGGGTCAGCCCACTGCCTGTTTTTCTAAGGCTTTATCAGAACACAGCCACACCCACCATGTACATATGGTCTGTGATGCTTTTGCTATAAGGGCAAAGTTAAAGAGCTGGGACAGAGACACATGGCTCTGAAAGCCTAAAATATTTACCATCTGGGCCTTTACAGAAAAAGTCTGCTGAACCTGGCCTGTCTGAAGGCCACGGAGAGAAAGCGCATCTAACCCTTGCATAGATAATAGCTTCCTGCCACCTCCGGGCTTTTGAAATTTTGTTACTAATATTTCCTCATCTGTAAAACGGGGACAATGACACATTCTACTTCGTAGGGTTGTTGAGATGATAAAAGAATGCAAGGAAAGACAGCAATGCCTGGCACATGGTAAGCACTCAATGAAAGTTATGACTTCCTATTCTTTTTCTCATGTTAAAGCCTAGGGAAGGAAAGCTACTTGCCCAACGTCACATGGCTAGTAAGAGGCAGAGCTGGAACTTGACCACTGGCTGTCTAACCTCAACGGCTGTGCTCCCAACCACTGCCATTGTTGGTTCCTACCACAGCCCAGCCCCGTGTGGCAGCCTGAGAGCCAAGCAGAGGGCACAGAGAATTCCAAGAAATTTTTACCTGATCCAGACTTGGCCAGTACTAATCATTGGCTTGGAGAAGGGCTAAGGCATAGACTCAGTGTTCCCTATCCCTGTGGAATCCTACTGGCTTTGGGGTGTGAACAGAACATTCAAAGATGCCCAAGGGTAGACCGAGCCAAAATCTGCAAATGCACAGACTCCATGATTGTTGGCAAAGGACCTGCCTCTTACTAGTTGGGTGACCTTGGACAAGTTATTAAGCCTTTAAGGATCTCTATTTTTCCTTCTGTGAATGGAGCTATCTACCCATCTGGGGGTGATGGAAAGCTCATGTGAATGGAGGTCTGTGATGGCACTTGGGAGGCTTGCCAGAATCTGTGGACCACCAGGAAGACTGTACCACCTTAGGAAGACTGCCCGAGGGGACGGCTCCCATCTGCAGACTCACCTGTTTTTTTCTTCAGCTAGTCCCTCAGAAGCAAGACCTGCAACGCCACGAGAGCCAAACATGATCATTATTCACGGATGTCCGGTCTCCACTGTGCATCCTGTCTTTGCAAGAGGGTCATTCTGCCTCTCATCAGGATGTTCTCAGCCAATCTCTTCTGAGGTCTCATACTGAGGTCAAGTGCTTGCAGCAACTGCCCCATTTCCATACTACAGCAGGCCAAATGAGGATTGGATCGGATTGGAGAAAACGGGTTTATCCACCAAGACTCTTTCCTGAGCTGGGGTTGAAGGCCTCTGGTGGTAACTGGACAATGCAGATCATTTCATATACTTCTTGAGTAGAATTAATTTGCAAATATGTATATCGGGCAGACCGAGTGTTTTAACAGTAATGTGAGTGGTTGGAACTCAGTGGAATAGTACCAGACCCCGTTTTCATGAGAGTTGATCCCTTTAGGAGTTGACTGAAGTCTTATTCATAAAACGTTGGCCACTCCACTCCACTGACGGGAGCAACAAGCAGGAAGTCTCTTGAATAGAGTTTGAGAGAAACCCCAAGATCCATCGTGTATTGAGTGTCTACTAGGTACTGAGCACTTTACATATATTACCTTTTCTTCTCTTAGCGCTGCTACGCTGTGATTGCCATTTTGCAGGTGAAGTAACTGAGGCCCAGACGTTACAGGACTTCTCCAAGGTCATACAGCTAGCTGTGATAGTGTTAGAACTCAGTAAAGGTTAATGTCTCTTCCCTTTATCTGGTTTTGGGCTCTTTTGGCTAACATGTGCCAAGCGTGGGGTAGAGAAGTCTGAGGGCTTTCTTGGGAGCAGCTCCACCTTGGTGTTCCTGTTTGCTGATCATTTATCATAAATTTTCATCAAGCCAGCATCAGCTTCATCTGACAAGAGCTTTTCCCCCTTTGCTTTGGGAATTCATTTATTTGAAAAAAAAATTATAGCTCTCACATTAAATCACATTTAGTTTCCTATTTGATATAATAGTTTTATGGAAAATAATAAAAATTTCTGAATTGAAGAGTATGATGTTGAACCCTTAGGTTGGGGGCCTGTGGAGAGTCCACTCAGACACTTGCCCCAGTTACTTACAATCCTAGCTGCCATGTAGGGGGGCTTACTACATGTCAGGCACTTTAGATATGTCATCTCATCTAATCCTCACAAAATGATGTGAGGAAGGCCCATCCGTTATCAACCCCATATTACAGATGAGAAAACTGAAGCTCAGAGAGACAGTGCTTGTGGCTATCACTGAGTAAAAAGGTAGAACGAAATTTGAATCCAGCTCCATCTGCCTCCAAAGTCCTGGTTCTTTCTAATACATAGTCAGATAGTTAGTGCCAGGTCACCATTCACTGGACCCAGAGGTAGAATAACATAGAAAAGTCACCACCTGGCGGCCTCCTGGTTGAACTTGGCCCGCAGCATGTTCTGCTTGATGAGCTTCAACTTTTCATTTCACCTTTTGGTTTGAAATCTCTTTGATGGAGCGCATGGGCCCCAGTTTTATATGGGTCCCACTATTGGCCTCTGTCTCCTACAGGAAGACCCCAAAAGCTTCTCAGCAAAATCCTGTTGTCTCTAGGTTGATTTGCAGGGCCTGGCTTGCTTCACACTTAGCCTGTGCTGCCCTGTCGCCTGTGAGTTGGCCACCCAGTTACAACCGACCTCTCATTTTATGGGCTCCCTCTGCAAGCCTGTGGCAAAGGAGGACTTGGGGCTGATCTTCAGGCCCTCTTGGCCTTGTTCCCCCCGCATCATTTCTCTGCCCCCCACCTGCACGGCCACTGGCTGGGGCGCTGCCCACCTCACCCCCCCCACCCCCCGCCACGGGCCCATGCATCTGTTTGACCTCCTTTCAGGTTGGGGCAGGTGGCCCCAGTCAACCACCCTCCGGGTTCCCCAACCTCAGAGAACCGGAGGTCAGCCTGTGGTGCCTGGTGAGCCCCTGGAGCCGGCTCTCCCCTGGAGGGTACACGGGACGTTGGCCAAAACCTCAGATTTGGTAGAACAAAGAGCTGGCTTTTTAATTATGTGGCCCAGACACCCCCCCCACCCCAGCAGACGGATGGAGAGGGGAGCCTCCCGGGGCTGCCTGGCGGACGCCCTGATTTCCGCTCCTTCAAGTGGCCACTTGGAAGAGAAAGGAGCCGGTGAGCAATCAAGCGTGAAGGACGAAACCCGGCAGGTGAGGACAATCAGGCCGCGAGCCGGGGTGCTCTGCAGAGGGAGTCGGCAGCTCCAGACAGCAGGGCGGACCCAGTGCTCCCTGCCGGGCCAAGGGCTCGCAAGCAGACGCAGACGCCAGGCGGCCCGCTGGGCTGGAGACCGACCGCAGCCCTGTCCTCCTCCAAGCCCTTGACCTTGCCAAGCCTCGGTGTCGTCAATAGCAAAAGCGGAGACGGTAACTCCCCTCTTCCAGCCTTTTCTGTAAAGAGTAAGCGAGCCAAAAAAAAAAAGAGTAAGCGAGCCAGTGTCTGGTACCCGGCAGAGAGGGAGTC